CCTCCAGCTCCATCCACTGACAATCAGCTGTATAGAGTCATTATTTAACCTGAAAGACAGGTAATGTTAGCATCAGGTGAATAAAATATGACGCCTTGAGCATTCCTCAGTAAAGCTCCTCACACACAGATGGATTCAATAAAACTGACAGTCAGAGGCTCAGATGTCAAACAGAGAGGAGAGAGGCCTGTAAGAGGAGAGCTGGAGGCACTGGCAGGAACACGCTGTCCACACACCAGAGATGGACTTAGAGACAAAGAGACAGAGAGAGAGAGAGGTGAGGAAAAACAGAGCCTCTCTGACAGAAACAGACAGCAGAACATCAGTGATGCATGCAGCCAATAACAGCAGGGAAATGTTTGAAGGTCTCTAATGAGGAGGACACTGAGGACAGACTGATCTCTGAGTCCTCCAGGAAAAATACTCTTACTGCAACCCCCCAAAAAACAATCATGAAAGATTTATAACATTTTCCTCTCATTTTAAATCAAACAATTTGAACAACAGGAGCTTTATGACAGCAAGCACAAACATGCAATCATCACGCTGAGAGGAAATAAACTCAGATGTCACATATATCTGCTCCTTAAGTAGTGTTGTGACATTGTGTGCTGGACACTGTGGCGTTCAGTAACATTAGGCTACAGTATCTGAAGTATTTTGTGTGTTCTGTTTGGGTCGTGTGTATTCATTCATAAATGGAGTGGTAGCTACATAGTGGGTGAGCATCATTAGTCAATTATCCCCTCACCACCTCTTTGCTTCAAGCACATTTACCGTTCTAAAACCAACACCCACAGTTCATTTGCTGATGACGCTGCTCGCCCTCTATTCCTCCATGATGGCTGATGAGGGTTTTGAAAATCGCCATGTTTCTGTCCTGAAAGGAAATCCAGGGACAAATTTTATTTTGGGTCCTCTATCTTGGAGAGCTGGGTGTAGGGGGGTTCATTGGCTACGTGATCACAGACAACAACTCACTACTACTTGGTAGGACTGCGCGCTACATGCTTACTTGCACCTCTTACCTGCCTGGCTACCGTAATAGCCATTGTTTTAGTCAACATGCAACTTTTTTTTGTCTCGTTCACAAAACACTAAAATCAGGGACATTTACGGGGACAGCTTTAGCAAGTCATCCAAAATGGAGAGTGTCCCCGAAACTCTTTGAAGTCTGGTCACTCTCATTAGTCCACAAGCTAATTCGCTAGCTAGCTTACATGCTAAGGTGTGCTTTTGTTGACCAGCATCACTATACACTCAACAGCTCGTGATGGGTCAGTCTCACTCAGCTTCAACAGAACAACAGACGGAGATATTTTCCATTATATACTTTCTCCTGATGTGTCCGTCCAATCATGGAGTTTAATTGATAGTTAAACCCACCTAATTCTCGCACCCACTACACCAATTTACAAAAAAAGGTATTGCTGGCGTGTGATTTGTTTAGGCAGCGTGAGCACGTGAGACTGAGGTGAAAGCATGCGTCGCATACCACAGGTGTGACAGATGGCAACCCTGGATAAACCTGTTTGTCCATGTAGAGGAGGTGAAGAGGTAAATATGAACGGACAGATGAATAACCTGATAAAAGTGAACAAGTTTAGCGGCAGGTTTGATGAGAGTGATCTGCATGAACAGCTGAGTGTAATTATCATTAGACTGATTTCATCCTGTCTTTACACAGAAAATCAAACAAACGTGTGTGTGTGTGTGTGTGTGTGTGTGTGTGTGTGTGTGTGTGTGTGTAATAACAGAGGGGAAACATTATTGTAGAATACTTGTCACACAGATCAGACCCACATGGACTCTGGATCCAATCAGAGTCAAGCTGTTTGTTTGTGTGTTGAGAACCAAAGCCACCCTCTGATTGGTTATTAATGCACTGAGTCATGTGCCACACACAAACACTAACCCTGCAGGAGGCTGTAGATGACTGGCTGAAAGCTTTGTGTGTTTTGTGTCTGTGGTAAAGTTCCAGGTGAAGAGAGTCTTTGTGTTTTTGTGATCTAAAGATTTTCAGTGGATAAAGATTTGACACCTAGTATTTCAAATTAGTACTGCAGTCTATTTATTAAACATTGGCGAAAGCTGTTTCCCCTTGCCCTCTCCTTCCAACATTGACGTGCACGTGGGTTGCCATATAGTGGACATTGAAGCTTCAGGACTGTAAGACAAGGCTGTAACTCTGCTTGGAAAATGTCAAGTAACGAGTCCTTTACCATAAGATGATAAGCTTATGTAAAACTTTGTTGAACATGTACAGTAATCGCACTCATAAATGACAGGAAATTCTAGTCATATCAACCAAATGACCAATCAAACCAACCAATCAATCCATCAACCAAATTAACCAACAAACAAACCAACTAACCAAGTTTAGTTTTGTTTGTATTTGTGCAGGTAGAAACTTTGTGTTTGGTTCCTCTGGTTGTGTTCCCTTGGTTGTCATTTGCATGGATATTTCTTTCACTGATATTTCCTCTTGTTGACGACCATCATTTCTCTGTTTCTGTTGTAATTAGTCCTGTTCTGCGTTTATATTAGGGGTCACTCATGATATCAAACTGAAACTGTCATGGTGCTAAAACCAGTTCAGCTGTGTGACTCTCGGTTTCTCAGGCTGTTTCTCGGGTAGTTTACTGCTCTCTAAGAGAACAAGTTGCTGGATGGAGGTTTGATCTGGCCTGAAGGGAGAGGAGTGTTAGTAAGCCATGCCAGAGTAATAAAGACAGTTTGTACAAATACACAAACTTTACTTTTTCTAGTAGGGTTTGAGGGGTTTTACAGTGTTGTTATCAGATATATAGGTGGGTTTGTAGAGTTTTACAGTGTTGTTAGCAGTCATGAAGGTGGATTTGTAGAGTTTAAACTGTGTGTTGGCTCAGAGTCTCAGTTTGGCTCTGCAGAGACTCACTTCAGCCAAGAACATGAAGAAACACTGCAGCCTTAGATGGTGTTCATTTACTGTCAAATAATAACTTCTCATGAAATCGACCACCACCGTCACTGAGCTGCTCCCACCCCTCTACCTCACCCCTTTGCCTCACCCCAAACTCACTCCTCCATCCCTCTCTACTCACTCTCTCACTGTGACTCTTGGTGTGGTTATGAACGTCACCTAATTCAACACAGATTGAGAAATATGACATACTCTGTGTGTGTGTGTGTGTGTGTGTGTGTGTGTGTGTGTGTGTGTGTGTGTGTGTGTGTGTTACCCTGGGGCTGTTTGTCTAACTTCACTCTAATATGACCCAAAATCTAATTTAATTCAAACAATCAGAGCAGGATGAAAACAGCTCCAACCAAACCAGCTCTCGAACCCTGAGGGAACACTGCAATTCAACCAACACACACACACACACACACATAGTTCAGGCTCTCCAGAGAACCATGTAACAGTATCGGTGTAGATTGACTGTGGTATTAAATCTGTAGCAGAGGTTTGGATCCAGAAGACTGGAGTGCAGAAGGACCAAGAGGCTGGTGTCCATCAGGCCTGAAGCTGAACCCTCTACAGACTCTACAGCACCGAGCTGAAGTGTTAGTTCAGCAGGAACAGCCGCCATCATGTTTTATATTCAAGGAGGTCAAGTCCATGAGAGGAGGGTAAAACACAATCTCGTGGTTTTCTGCCCCTGCTCCACACTGCTCCTGCCTCAGACTTCGAGCGCCACCACCTCCGTTCATCCACCCACAGCTCGAACTTGGACTTTTTACATGTTTTATCATTACTTGTTTATTTTTGCATGCAAAGTCAATCCGCAGGAGGTGAGTAGTTTTAGAGCCTGAACACAGATAATAATCTGCTGCTATAATTAAGTTTTAATGATACAATGTGACAAGACTGGCTAAAACTGCTCATCATTGCTCCTGCCTGATCCATGTCCAGGTCCAATTTACAACACCTATGACACTAATGATATCAAAGTGTAAAAACACACCAAGTTCTGCAGCTCTGTGAAGTTTCTCTCCAGTTCTAGATCTTACTGTGATGTAAATGATGCTGTTAGCATCTCCACTCTCTGCTGCACAGAGCTGCACTGTGCACTCTCATCCTGACAGCTCTAAATACTATCCATATGGCTTATGTAATAAGCTGAATGGAAAGGGACACCGCTTATTATTTTATTGTGAAGTCACTCTGTGTCCTTCCTGCAGCTTGTCAAAATAGAATAAATCTTTGTTGTGCATAATGGCACAATGTTTGTATGTGCCAAAGTAAAAGGCCTCGGACTGATTTATCTGATTACTCCTTTTGCACATATCCACTGGTGAATTGCTGCCTTGATAACTGAAGAGCTTGAGTGTGACAACTCTCAATTTTCCCCAGCTCTCAGTAGAAATCTCAGTCTAGTTGTAGTAAGCTGTTATTGCTGGTGTATATGAATGAACTGTCGTTTGCAGTAAGGCTCATTTGCAAAGAAAATTTTGCTCCAAATGAATGAGTAATAATACAGCATTTAAATGCATGCAAACAACACCAACACAAACTGCCTACAGTGCAGTTTGTGGAGCATTTAACCCTTTGTGCTTACTTTATGAATTAGATGTCTTTTCACAAGTTAAGAGGGCTCAGTGTCCTCTAGTGAGTCACACCTTCTGTCGCGGGTTCAGTTTCTTTAAGTTCTTTTTCGGTTGTGGAGGGAAAGATGATGGCACAGTCGAGAACCGAGTACGGTGATTTCCTTTTATTTACACCATCTCCAAAAAAATACCCACAGGTGAAAACTCTTATGTACAAAAAATATTTACAAAAATTATTTACAAAAAAGACAGAGGAAAAACTATTTACAAGCCGCAATTCAAATACCAGGACCAACATACGTCTGCTCAACCAGGAGGCACACCAACAAGTGAGCTGAGCTCCTTTAAATACCCCTTGGCCCCTCCTCCGGACAAACCAATCAAAACAATCTAGGGGTTTTTCAAGATATCAGCTATTATATCATAACTAATATTTCTACATACACAAAATAATACAAAGCAATTACTGTTGCTCACACCCTCCACATGGCTGAGCCAATATTAAACCCAAACACAATATTTTTCCTATAAATCAATTTGTTCCCGGACTTTGGTTTCTCCCTGGGTCACCTGACCCGCGGAGGCACGTCACCTAGTGCTACTTAACAGGTTACCCGGAACTGCCTCTGTTCAGTCCATGAAGCGGAGACAGAAGGTGAGTGTGTATGTGTGTGCGTGTACGTGTAAGCGAGACCCGTGTAGGTGTTTGAGTGTGCACCCTCTAACACCAACCACGGGGACGCAAGAGTCCAATTATTGTCTTTAAATGTTCATTTTGACTCCCGTCCGTCTGTCACTCCAGCCGCGAGTGACCACGCTATTCCCCCACGTCGGCGACGAGGGAGAGCGAGAGGGAGAGAAGGCGTCCAGCCGCGAGAGAGAGCGTGCGTCCAGCCGCGAGAAAGAGAGCGGCCAGCCGCGAGGGAGAGAGCGGCCAGCCGCGATGAGGACGGCGTTAGTGGCGCCCTGCCACATTACCCCTCTCCTCCCCGAGGTTGGCGATGTGCGGCAACCTTGACAGATAGTCTGCCACAACATTGCTCTTGCCCGGCCGATGGTGGATCCGGAATCTGAATGGTTGGAGGGAGAGGTACCAGCGGGTGAGACGACTGTTGTGATCCTTCATCGAATGAATCCACGTCAGCGCCCGATGGTCAGTCTCCAAGTCGAACTCCCTCCCCAGCAGGTAGTATCTCATACTCTCCAGGGCCCATTTGATCGCCAGGCCTTCCTTCTCCACCGTGGAGTACCTGGTCTCCCGTGGCAGCAGCTTGCGGCTCAGGTACAGCACTGGTCGCTCCTCCCCAGGTTCACCTTGGGCCAGGACTGCCCCCAGTCCCACAGCTGAAGCATCCGTCTGGACCAGGAACCGCTGTCTGAAGTCAGGGCTTCTCAAAACTGGCGAAGAGCACAAGCAGGCTTTGAGAGCGTGGAAGGCCGTCTCGCAGTCATTGTTCCAGATGACAGGGTTTCTCTGGTCCTTCGCTGTCAGAGCTGTCAGAGGCGCTGCGATGGTGGCAAACTGTGGGACGAACCTTCTGTACCAGCCGGCTAAACCCAAGAAGGACCTCACCTCCTTCTTGGTTCGAGGGCGTGGGCAGCTGCGGATGGCCTCCACCTTGTCCACCTGCGGCCGGACCTCCCCTCGTCCCAGCCGGTACCCCAGGTACTCTGTCTCCTCCTTAGCCCACTGGCATTTGGCTGGATTCAGTGTCAGGCCTGCCTGCTGGATCTGGCCCAGGACTCGCTCCAGGTGATGCAGGTGCTGCTCCCAGGTGTCACTGAAGATGACCACATCATCCAGGTAGGCAGCACTGCAGTCCTCACACCCCCGTAGAACCTGGTCCATCAGTCTCTGGAAGGTGGCGGGTGCCCCATGCAGGCCAAAGGGCATCACCGTGAACTGGAAGAGGCCGGAAGGTGTCTGGAACGCTGTGTAGGGACGACTGGATGCTTCCAAGGGTACCTGCCAGTAGCCCTTACAGAGGTCCAGGGTGGTGATGAACCTGGCCCGGCCAATCCTCTCCAGCAGCTCGTCGATCCGTGGCATCGGGTAGGCGTCAAACTCCGACATTGCGTTCAGCTTCCTGAAGTCGATGCAGATGCGGAGGGAACCGTCCTTCTTCACCACAATGACCACTGGGCTGCACCACTCGGACTGTGACGGTTCGATCACCCCCAGGCGCTGCATCTCTTCCACCTCCTTCAGGAGCTTGGCCACCAGATGTTGTGGCACCCGGTAACTCCTCTGGCGAACTGGCCCCTTGTCTTTCAGGTGGACCACGTGCTCGATGAGGCCGGTCCTCCCCGGGCTGGCAGCGAAGAGCTTGGAGACCCTCTCGAACACCTGGCACAGCTGGCTGGACTGGACAGCAGAGAGATGGCCCAGAGCAGGTTCAGCATACTGGTGGCGGTCGGCGAGGATACACTCCTCCTCCCCTTCACTGTCCCCCTCCATCACCAATAGGGCCGCCACAGGGCCCTGAGCTGGAGCCTCCTTCCACTCCTTCAGCAGGTTGATGTGGTAGACCTGCTTTGCCCTTTTCTTGTCCGGGTGGTGGATCTCATAGGTCACAGGGCCCATCTTCCGGAGGACGGTGTACGGGCCCTGCCACTTGGCAAGCAGCTTGCTGTTGGAGGATGGGAGGAGGAGTAGGACCTTCTGGCCGGGCTGGAACTCTCTGCGTCTGGCATGTTGGTCGTACCACGCCTTCTGGGCCTGCTGGGCTTCGCGCAGGTTGACCTCGGCCTCCTCCCGGTACTTTGCCAGCCGGTCCCTCATCTCCAACACGAATTGGACCACACTGCGGTCACTGGTGCCTGTTGCAGGAGCCTCCCACGTCTTTAGAAGCAGATCCAATGGCCCCTGTACCTCCCAGCCATACAGTAGTTCAAACGGGGAGAACCCCGTGGAGGCTTGGGGAACCTCTGGGTAGGCGAAAAGCAGGAAGGGTAACCACTGGTCCCAGTCTCGCCCGGTGTCAGACACAAATTTCTGCAGCATCTTCTTGAGGGTTTGGTTGAAACGCTCAACCAAGCCATCTGTCTGAGGGTGGTATGGGGTGGTCTTGATTGTGGAGACCCCCAACTGTTGGTGGAAGAGCTGCAGGAGTCTGGAGGTGAAATTAGTCCCCTGGTCTGTGATGATCTCGTCTGGAATACCCACCCTGGAGAACAGCTGGACCAGGCAACGCAACACAGCCGGAGCAGTGACCGTGCGCAGGGGAAAAGCCTCAGGGAAACGAGTGGCATAATCACAGACCACCAGGATGTACTGGTGCCCTCCGCTGCTCCTCACCAATGGGCCAACAATGTCCATGGCTATCCGCCTAAATGGAGTGGAGATCACGGGTAGTGGTTGGAGGTAGGCACGGTCTGATTGGCGGACAAAGCAAGTCTTCTGACAGGTGGGACAGGTTTTACAAAATGTTTGTACATCCGCATACATGGAAGGCCAGAAGAACCTTGCAGATATCCGCAGGTAGGTTTTGTTGCGACCAAGATGACCAGCCCAAGGCAAGGTGTGTGCCAGGTGCATGATCATCTGCCGACATGACACAGGAACCACCAGGCGTCTGACCTCATCTGTCATCGCATAGAGCACATTATTGTCCACAACAAACCAGTCTTTGTCCTTCTTTGCTAGGTCCTGTCCCCAAACCACCTTGGCGAACAGGGGCGTCAGAGTTGTGTCCTCCCTTTGTAAGGCCCCAATGTCCTCTGGCACATTCCATCTGTCCTTTGCCAGCCCCTTTTTTCGGTCTGGCTCCTGGGATTTCAGCCCCTTCTCAAACCGCCGCTGACGGCGGGACTTTCTGGGGCCCTTTGTGCCCCCCTCAAACAAACCACTGTCCAGGGTTGAAAAAAGTTCTGGCTCAGGGCCCTTTTCCTGCCCTGGGCCGGTTGCAATCCCCGCTCTGGCCTGGGCACGGGTGATCACCAGCCCAGACAACCCTTTCCCCAGGTCACTGGCTGTGGGTCCTGCCTCCAGCAGCACGTCCAGTAGCACTGGGAAGTCCCAACCCAGGATCGCAGCCACAGGCAACCTATCCACCACCCCCACAGTCAGCAGATAAGGCTGCTCGTCCACTACCACTGTCACCTCAGCTGTGGGGTAGGAATGGCTGTCCCCGTGTGCGCACAGAATGTCTTCCTGTCTGCTATAATCCACACTGCCCGTTGGCACCAGCTCCCTTCGCACCAGCGTCAGGAAGCTCCCAGAGTCAACCAAAGCAGTCACACATTCCCCATTTATGGTTATTTCCTTGAATCTTGGTTGCCGTCCCCCAGCACTTGCAACCTCCGCTCGGGGAGTGTAGCAGGCACTGCTAAGCTTGGCTTTTCTGATGGGGCACAGAGCAGCCTTGTGTCCTGCTTGCTGGCAGTAAAAACAAATAAGCTCCTTACCAGGGCTGCGCTGGCGAGGTGCGGACCGAGGTTCTCCTGTTGGATGCTGGCTGGCTCTGGCCGCTGGTCTGGGCTGTGATGAAACCTGCCGACTGGGTCCACCCTGGTTGACTGTCGGGCCTCCCCTCCGTGCGTTAAGGTACTGCAGTGCCAGCTTCCCTGCAGCTAGCCCATCCGTCGGCTCATGCTCCTTCACCCAGGTGCGGATGTCAGCCGGGAAGACCCTCAGCAGCTGCTCCAATATGACCTGCTCCCCGATCTGCTCCTTTGTATGCTGCTCTGGCCGGACCCATCGACGGTAGAGACCCTTTAAGCGGTGGTAAGTCTCTGTGGGGTTCTCTCCTGGTGGGACAGCCATGGACCGGAACTGCTGGCGATAAGTCTCCGGGGAGATGTCAAATTTCATCAGGAGCGCTGCCTTCAGGTCCGGGTAGGAGTGAGCCAGGTCCTCATCCATCGCTGTGTAAGCCTCCAGCGCCTTTCCAGTTAGCAGAGGCACCAGGCGACAGGCCCACTCACTGTCTGGCCAACCCCACGTTCTGGCAATGCGCTCGAAGCGGAGCAGGTAATTTTCAATGTCCTCTCCCGCCAGATACTGAGGGATCTTGGGGTCACCCCAGGGTCGGCTCTCAGACCTAGGAGGTTCTGCCAGGCTACTTGCCCCAATCCTTGGTGCCTCCACGGGAGAACTGCGTCGTGGCCGAGGAGCTGGAGTTGGTAACTCAAGACGGAGGCTCATAGTTGATCCAGCAGATGGCGGAGTGGTTCTTGGTGCTGGACTTGGTGTTACCGGCCTCCGTTCTGCTTCAGGCTGCTGCAGTGGAACTGGTAAGGCAGCTCGAAGCCCTCTGAGCTCTGCAAGCAAGCCCTCCTCTCTCCTCTGCTGCCCCTCCAGGAAAGTTCTCATCACTGTAAGCAGCTCCGCCCCAGCACCTGAAGTTCCCGGGTCTGCCTGCCAGGCAGGCCCAGCAGCACCCTCTTCATCCTCATCCTCTGTGGCCCAGGCTGCTTCCTCCACAGCTTCTTCCACTTTTTGTGACCGCAGTCCGGTCCGTCTTCCTGTGAACCGGATGCGTCCCCTTCGACTGGCCGTCCCACTTCTGACACCTTCTGTCGCGGGTTCAGTTTCTTTAAGTTCTTTTTCGGTTGTGGAGGGAAAGATGATGGCACAGTCGAGAACCGAGTACGGTGATTTCCTTTTATTTACACCATCTCCAAAAAAATACCCACAGGTGAAAACTCTTATGTACAAAAAATATTTACAAAAATTATTTACAAAAAAGACAGAGGAAAAACTATTTACAAACCGCAATTCAAATACCAGGACCAACATACGTCTGCTCAACCAGGAGGCACACCAACAAGTGAGCTGAGCTCCTTTAAATACCCCTTGGCCCCTCCTCCGGACAAACCAATCAAAACAATCTAGGGGTTTTTCAAGATATCAGCTATTATATCATAACTAATATTTCTACATACACAAAATAATACAAAGCAATTACTGTTGCTCACACCCTCCACATGGCTGAGCCAATATTAAACCCAAACACAATATTTTTCCTATAAATCAATTTGTTCCCGGACTTTGGTTTCTCCCTGGGTCACCTGACCCGCGGAGGCACGTCACCTAGTGCTACTTAACAGGTTACCCGGAACTGCCTCTGTTCAGTCCATGAAGCGGAGACAGAAGGTGAGTGTGTATGTGTGTGCGTGTACGTGTAAGCGAGACCCGTGTAGGTGTTTGAGTGTGCACCCTCTAACACCAACCACGGGGACGCAAGAGTCCAATTATTGTCTTTAAATGTTCATTTTGACTCCCGTCCGTCTGTCACTCCAGCCGCGAGTGACCACGCTATTCCCCCACGTCGGCGACGAGGGAGAGCGAGAGGGAGAGAAGGCGTCCAGCCGCGAGAGAGAGCGTGCGTCCAGCCGCGAGAAAGAGAGCGGCCAGCCGCGAGGGAGAGAGCGGCCAGCCGCGATGAGGACGGCGTTAGTGGCGCCCTGCCACACCTTCCCTTTAATTTAACACGGGATGGAGTAATCCTAAAACTCAGACAATACAGAGGGATGACTTGATATTACTGATACTGATTACTGATATTAGACGTCTGTCACAGATTGATCCCTGAATAAAAACCCTCTCCATTCTCTCCATCATTTAAATACTATGTCAACACAACACACTTAAATTAACACAATGACAGCACTGCCTGTTTTGATAAATGCAGACCCATCTGATTCATATGTCCTCTCTTGAGTAAGGAGGACTTTACCAAGATTAACTTAAACTGCATATTTAGTGACCGAACTAGAACCTTTTTTCAGACCACCATCCACCACATACTGATAAAAAAAACTCAGTAATGTCAGTGATGCTGAAGTTTCTTCAGGAGCAGTGAGACGATGAGGAAACATACTGGTTCAGACTGTTGCTTCAGGAGTCGTCTGTTTTTGAGTCAAACTGAGTTTAAGTGAAGTTCCCAGCACAGAGGAGGCCTCTGCAGAATCAAACTGTAACTGCTGAATATAAAATATTATGGTATCAGTCAGCAGCTGTTGAGACATTTCTGTCAAAACCACACATTTATAAAGCTGCTAGCGGAGACAGATTTGAGGGATCTCCAGAGTCTGTGGGTTTATAACTTCATGAGAGTGAAAAGAAAGACTCATGTCGACATAATTTAGTTTGGCTCCGAGTGTGCAGAGACAGAACAACTCCAGAGGAGACTGAAACAGTAAAACACAAAATAAAGAGCCTGAAAAAAATCTGAGAAAAAGAGTGTTTTGCAGACAGAGAGGTATCCCTACTCCTCCATCATGCCTGATTTAAATAGTGTATATAGGTACAGAGCTGAGACTAGGTTTATTCACAGACAACATGTGGCAGGGATGGGTGAATGTCTGTTTATTTCATTTGATTTTATTTTGTTTACTGGAGACCTACTGAAGTGGAAACATTTCCACATTTCTTCCCTTTCAGTTTAGTTTCTAATTTTGTCTCTCATCTGAAAAAAAGGAAGAAATCTAAAGTACTTTTATTTTGTCTCAACAATGAAACACAGGCAGTTTGATCCTTTACTCATCCTTACAGGTTTGTGTAAATGTGGGTTGAAGAGGAAACTAAGGAGACAAAAGAGCTTTCACATATAATGAATGAGGAGTCAACTGACCACAGATAGACCACAGAGAAAAACACCCAGGGACCACAGAGAGACCAAAGAGAAACTACAGACCGAGTGCAGATAGACCGCAAATAGACCACAGACACAGGTCTTATATGACAGTTCCAGTCCAGCTTTAGTCTTGACTTTCAAGACTTGTACCTGAATTGAACTCGTGCACTGGTGACCTGGACTTGGGCTGGTCCATTCTTAGCATTTAGACTCTAAATACAGAGGTATGTTTTTTTTTTTATTCCTGCTCTGATGTCTGTTAAAGGTTTGAACGATGGTTTTAGTTTGCAATAAGAGCTGATACACATGTCCTGGTAAAGACAGTCCAGATGAGGGCTCTAAGGAGCTGAGCTGAGGTTAACCAGTCTGTTATTTGTGTTAGCTGACTAAAGTTCATATAGCTTTACAGTAGCTATCATAAGTAGATAGTATTTCATGTAAATCAGCTGTGAATTGTGTTATGATACAATAGTTCATATAAACTGACTGTAGTTGTGTAAATTAATTGACTGTAGTTCATGAAAATGACCTGTAGATCATTTTACTTTTCTTTGTATCATGATGATTTTGTGGATCTTGTTAAATAACTGCAGTTAATATAATGTTAATGCTGTTTAACTGTAATTATTGTTAACTGACTAACTAACTAACAAATAAAACACAGACTCATTTAAGGCTCATTTATGCTCGCCGTACTTATGAAAATGTATGCGTCTGTTTCAAATGATGGTTCCGTCACTGCCCACATATTTCTATGCCTCCTTTATGTTGGCATGGATTTAACCATTACATCTAACAGGTGGCAGGCTGGAGTCAAAAGTTTCTGACAACAACAAACAAAAAGAAACATGGGGTCTTTGGAGGAGCTAGTAATGATGTATATTTTGCATAGAAGACAGAAATGGAGGCAGCGTTGGAGGATGTCTGGCCCGTATCCGTAAACTTCAAGTACACAATATGTGCAGAAATACGGACGAAAAGAACACGAAGCACGAACAGAGAGCTCCATCTGGATCTGTATGTAACGTTGAGCATAAATGAGCCTTAACACTTTCTGTGATTTATGTCTGTTTTGTTACTGACTTAAAACTGGACAGCAAAAAAAAAAGGAGTCATATGTTATATTTAATCAGCCTGTATTTGCTCATGTTTAACATGTTTTACTGTTGGACTGTCTCAAAGGTCATTACTGACTTCAGAGGAGGAGATGAACATTATCCTGTTGAACTTGTTTCTTTGTCATCTCAGACTATGTCCACTATATCGCTGCAGTTTCAGACCACCAAGTCTCTGCACCGAGTCATGTTTGAAGGTTTTTGGTCAGAAGAAGGTGGAGCTGAGAGGGAAGTGTAGAGAGACAGTGATCCATCTGAAAGTTTCAGTGATGAAGACTGAGCGATCATTACAATCCATCACACAACACACAGAGTTTTCTCTGTGCATGCGTACACAGGGACACACACCCCCAGTTTCACAGCAGCCTGCAGAAATTAGCTGCAGAATTGAGCTATAGAAACAGGCTGTTCGAGTCTTCCAAAGTAACGTGAGAGAGTTTATTCTCTGTATCATGGGCTCTCACTGATAAAACAAAGACTAAAGCTCTGCTCAGAGCTGTGATCACCTCTGCTCTCCTGGAGAGAGAACAACCAGCAGAGAAGCCAAAAACACAGAGATTACACAACTTTGTCCTGTTAACCTCCAACTATACAACACTGCACCTCTCTGAGTCACACATTACTACATCAGAGCCGTTTATCACAGCCCGAGGGGAGAGAGAGGGGAGAGCGATGGTGACAGGACAGGATAAATAAGAGAGAGTGATGGAGAGGTGAGGGAGAGCACAATTCCCAGGAAATGAAGATACAGGCTGAAGTGTCCTGCAGAGAGAGAGAAAGAGAGAGAGAGAGGGATGGGGGGGTTGATGAAGGGGGAGGACAGAGGATCGAGGGGGGGATTCAAATCAAAACCACATGCAGGTTCAATCTCCTGTATTGTTCCAAACTCAAACCAGCTGGCTGCTCTTGGCTGATCCATCAAAATAAACATTTTCTGGATGGCCGGGAGCTCCAGAGGACTGTTAGTCATTAGAGGAGCTTCAGTCCGGCCTGCAGGCTCACACTCCCTCCGTCACAACACACACACACAGGGACACGCACACAAACACACAAACATCAGAACACACAAAGGGACATGCATGCAGAAAAGTCAAACATATTGCATTTGTAAGATCTGCATCATGTCAGTTTGCCCTCATGCAGCAGCTCATCCTGCAGTCACATGCTTTAGGAGACACATGTTTGCTGCACGCTTGTTTGTTTGTTTCTCAGGGACTTTTAAAGCTGTTCAACCTGAGTTTACTGGCTCAGGGTCAGAGCAGCCTGAAACTATTACTGCAGGCTTTCAACATGAATCCCACATTTGTTTTTTCTCTGCCGGATTCAGTCCTGCCATTAAAGTTTGCATCAATTTACAAACCACACAGAGTACTTCAAAGAGCCAACATGTTCCAGCTGAGGCTCTGTGTTCAGGGCCATTAGGCTGCCAAGAAACCTGCTGCTCGAGAGGGACCTTCAAAGACTCACAGCTTCAATACAGATCTTTAAAAACCTCTGTCAGAGTTTTAAAAGATTTAAAACAGAGCTTAAAACTCAGTCGGGAATTCAACACCTCCAATATAGAACTTTCAAATCAGTTAGAGGTTTATAAACTCAGTCACAGCTTCAAACTCCTCAAGACAAAAGACCTCAGTGATATTGTCATGCAGCTTCTTGTAGCACCAAAGGAACCACATCATTTGTCCTTCCATCTCTTCTGTCTGCTGTCTGTCCTGCTGCTCAGGGGATTGAACATCAGAGTGTTTGATGTGCGTGCGTGCATGCGTTCGTGCGTACGTGCGTACGTGTGTGTGTGTGTGTGTGTGTGTGCGAGTGTGTGTGTGACTGTAAATGTTTAGCTCTGACAAACAAAAAGAGGAAACAGAACAGAAAACATGAGGTTAGAAATCTAAATGATGGACTGACAAAGAAACGAGTGAAAATCACTTTAATTAAACAAGAATAAACACCCTCATCCCACAGAAAACACACACACACATAAACACTCATACACACAACCACCGAGGTCTTAGAGTTTCTTCTTCTTTGCCTCCTTCCTCTGCTTGTGTTTGTAACTCATGCGCTGATTAAATCAAACAAACAAACCAGAGTACGGTGTTTACACACATGTAAAATGCATTTTTGAGCCAAAACTTGTGTGTGTCTGTATTTTCATCATTTGATGATGGTCCTTACCTGATAAAGTATATTGGATTACACTGCAGATATTACCTTTATTGTATAGGTTTATTTTGTGAACACAGTCAAGGGGGCTGACAGACTTTACAGCAAACTTTTTCTCTGATGGTCATTTTAGATCTGACCAAAAACACTAGAGCTACGTACATATGAGGATCCCGTATATGAACTTTGGCTGGATTTCAACCTTTGTTAATAAATAATGTGGCTATTAATGTGCTTACAGGGCTGTAGAGCTGTAGATTTATTTCACTGTGTGTTTCATCTGTTGATGTAATGCTTCACTGTGTATCCTATTATCCTGTGAGGGTTTGGAGGAAAAAAAAAAGTTTTTATTGTTTCATTGTTATTTCCATCTATAAATCTGGCACCATCAGCCCATTAACCTGATTTGCAGTGCTGAGGGTTTTTTAGGGCCTGTTTCCACCTGCATCACCTCTATGAGAGCTCATTTTACAACACCAGGACCATGATACAAGTGTGTGTGTGTGTGTGTGTGTGTGTGTGTGTGTGTGTGTGTGTGTGTGTGTGTGTGTGTGTGTGTGTGTGTGTGTGTGTGTGCGCGTGTGTGTGATTGGATAACCCCTGCTATCAAACTGAAGCTCGCATCTGCTGTTCATTTATTTTACACTCATCTCCAATGTTTACTTCCATGACTTCAACACATGCACACGCACACACACACACACACACACACACACACACAAACACACACACGCGCGCACACACACACACACACACACACACACATATATAGTGTTGTGGTTCAGTGTGTGTGTCATCCAGGTTGTAGGTTAGGGATAAATGAACTGAACTAATAAACATCGGATCATTGGGGGGTCAGGATGTTCCACACACGGCATCGAGTTGGAGGTCATAGACCACTGGGTCAGTATGTCAGTTGTGTGTGTGTGTGAGTGTGTGTTTGTGTGTGATGAATCAGTTGGTCAATTATTTTGGCTGGTTATTAGCATTTTGACATGATTGGCCTCATATTGGCATTAGCCCACTCAGGGTTGATATCACTGTCTCTTTTCTAAATGATAACACATCGTTCTCATCCCCCTTAAAGGGACATTCCAACATAAATTTGAGCTATGGTCAAACACATCGTAACACCGAGTGAGACACCCCCTCGAGAGATGAATGTTGCTGACCGCTTGCTTCTCTAGTGATACCAGCTTCAACAACAACTGCACAATATCAATACACAGCTTTACCAGCTGATCCTCCGACATAGTTAATCAATGAATCCTCAGACATAATGAATCAATCCCTGAATCTAGTTCATGTTGAGCCCAAACTGGTTTATATTAGTATTTATAATTCAAAGCTCTGAGTGTAAACTCATGGTCACTGAGTGAGCAGCATGTTACTGTGACTGTGAATTAATTTGAATCAAATCTGAGGATAGTCTGTCTGTGTGACAGAGTCTGAATAAACCAAACACCCCTTCCTCCTGAGTGATTGCTCTGCAGTCTGCGGGTGGACTGGTGGAAGATGTGAAGAGTAAAAACCCTCTGAGGAGCACAGGTGACTAAATCCGAGTTCCTCCTCCTCCTCCTCTGTAGACTGTCCTCTTAGATGTCCTCAGGTGATGAAGGTCTCATTGCGGCAAACTCTCAATCAGACTCTCTCTCCCTGTGAGTTTCTCTCTGTGTTTCTGCAGGTTGTCCTCTCTGAGCGCCTCCTCTTTGACCTCTGATTATGATCCATGTCTACTTGACCTCTGACCCCACTAACATGAACCAGATGTGGTGGTGAGGAGGAGAAGGAGGAGGAGTTGAAGGTGTTTGTGTGCATGAAGGACCCTGACAGAGCTGAGTGACAGCTCTGAACTTTACCTGATACCAAAGAGCCGAGACTACCATCCTGTTTCCTTCTCTCCAATTCCCTTTACTTTCTTCACTTCTCCTCTCTTCTGCTCTCTTCTCCTGTCCTCTCCAGAGAGGAGACTCTAGTATTACTGTGGAGACAGTTCTTATAGCTGCCACAGAGCAGGTAGGGCACGTCAAACTTTCATAAGCATAAATGAGACATAAACGCTGTTTATGAACTGATTAAGAGTGGCGTGTTCATCAGGGACCTACTTGTGCAGGTTTCCCCACTGTTGGCTTCGTCTATATGGATCACCTTATCAGGTTTTCCACCATTTGTTTTTAATGAGCAGTTGGCTAACAAGCTTATTAGGTCAGTTTAGTAAGTTTCAAGGCTATGAGTTTGGGGTGTAAAGACCCCAAAACTTTGAAGATATGGCAAGAAAGGCACTTTATCATTTTTGTGTGAAAGCCGTTAATCTTCTCTCTTCGTCAGGGGTAAAGGAGCCAAAGTGGACTGAGTTTTTTGGCCTTGAAAGGCAGCTGGATGTCCCAGTGCAAGCTATCTATTGAAAAACAGACAACAGACGTCTAGTGGAGGTCCAGACATGGAGCAACAGCTATGAACAGATACAGAGTACACATTTGGACTGATGTGTTTTGAAGAGGTTTTTTGTGGTTATTAAGAGATCATTCTGCTGTCTGCATTGATGTGAAAACACACCAAACCAGGACTCGTGTCCATCACTATGTCGACCGATCAAGACTCAGAAATCACAGCGCATCCCTCTGGGGGAGTTAAGCTGCTTCTACAGATTCACAATTCATGATATGTAGTTTCATCAACATTCAGCAGGTCAGTTTTGGTGTTTACTTTTAGGCTTCACACTGTTTTAAAGGTTAAATCTGAGACTTTAAACATCCTGACCCTGAGACTCTGAACACACACACACACGCACACACACACTCTCTCTCTCACACACACACCTGTCCTCTGTGTCTCACTCTCTAAAAACAAACACTCCAAAAACTCCATTCAGGAAAACGTGTCTTCCTCCCCCAGAGTGTATGGAAATGTGTATTTGTGTAGATGTCTCTGACTGTGGGGCAGTCTCTACGTGATGAGGTGGGCATCCGTGAGAGTCTGGAGCCTCCCTGACTGCTGGCACAACACTGACAGAGTAATTTTAGAGCTGTAATACCACACACACACACACACACACATTCACTTGGCTGTGGACTCTTTAGGAAGCGTCTCTGTGAGGATGAAGTTTCCGGATGGAGCTTTTCTCTCTGATGAGTTTAAATATAACTTTGAGAGGATGAGGAGGCAGAGAGGAAGTTTAAACTCTGTTTCTCACACATGTTAGTGTCTCCTGTCTAAGTCTGTCCTCAGAGACAGACACATTAATCAGTCAAACAGAGACAGATTAACTTCCATCAAACTCTGACTGAAACCTTAGATCTGCTGACTCTCTTAAGTTCACCTCTCTGACACAAACACATCAGATACTGAGGACCAATCTAAAGACTAAGGACAAGTGAATAAAGACTGAGTGAGATGTGAATAAAGACTGATTGGTGTTCAGGGTCTGAGTTGACTGTGAAGTCAGGTCACTCTAAAAACAGCCTCTCTGCTCCTAAACACAAGCAGGTCTAATGTTGCTAATGTAACCTTAACATGCTGTAGATCAGAGAGAGACTCAGAGAGAGCGTGCACAAGCTGGAGGTCTCACTTCCACCTGCTTCCCTTAAACACATGAGTACCCGATACCTGGCACCTCCCACTGAAAATACAAACAAATATGTTTCAAATAAAGAGAGAGAATTTGTGCTTAAAAAATGATGTTTTTGGTGATGAGGATATATCATTATTATTTATGTTCATGTAAAATATCGAATAAATGTTGATTTAAAATTATTAGAAACAAACTCTCAGAGCAGAGCTGGGTCTGTCTGACCGAATATCCCCTTGATACATTCCACCTGCATGACCTCATCATCACCATGGTAACCTCGAGAGAAGGCATCAGACCAGTCAGAGTACTGACTGACAGGTGTGTGTGTGTGTGTGTGTGTGTGTGTGTGTGTGTGTGTGTGTGTGTGTGTGTGTGTGTGTGTGTGTTATGAAACAGGATCTTTGAGACTGTATAAGCAGAGAGGGAAACACACACACCCTCAGCATCCTCATCTGTAGCCCTACACTTCCTGTTTTTACAGATAGCTATATTTGGTATCACTACTGTACACACACACACACACACACACACACACACACACAAAGGAAGGAGGCTTTGGAGGACCTTCAAACAAAGAGTCGTTTTTAGAAGGTTCCTCTTCAGCAGGAGACAAAGAAGGGAAGTAATATGACGTGGCACAGGAGGGAATCTGAGGGTCAACGGTGGCGTGTAGGACACACCTATGGGACAGTCACATACACACACTCATAAACACACTCACACACTCATAAACACAGGCAGAAAGCTCTTTAAATAGATGTTTCCTGGTTTATGATTGGTTGATATCAGGATTTTTTTTCCTTCTCTTTCCTTTTCTAGATGTTTAGCTTACCTGCCCTGGTTCACCTGAAACACCTGAGCTCAGCTGTGATGTAACACAGTGTGTCCTTGTGTGATGTTACAGCCGATCTGTCAGTGTGAAGATTAAAATGATCTTCACACTCTCTGTTGCTCATAAGAAAAGTGAATAACTGACAGATGATACATCAGATCAGACTTTTCTTTGTATGATCAGTAAATGTGCGCTGAGGCAGTACGTGAACTTGACCCATCCTCTATTTGAGACCAGTGTCTATCCGTCAAACTTGCAGCAGCACCTGATAACCATCAGAGACTCAGAGTTTCATCAGGAGTTCAGGTAAAGTTTTCAGGTGTAGCAGCTAAAATCTGTCAATGACCAGGTGAGGACACACCTGTCCCTGCTTTGTAGGTCCTTACAGATTGAGTAAATGTCTCTGAGATGTGAAGGTAAGACCGAGTTGTCCCTCAGCTGGTCAGCCATCAGATCAGAGGTACATGAAGTAAATCCACAGATCAGACCTTCCCGGGTCAAATACCCACTGCTATTGTGGCATGTATCAGAAATGGGCAAGAAGCTGAATACAGAGATCTGATAAGAGCCTTCAGTGATTGGAGTCACAAAAACTGCCTCCTCCTCAACACCTCAAAGACAAAGGAGATGGTCATAGACTTCCGTTGATCCAAACCTCCTCTTCAGCCAGTGAACGCCTGTGGAGTGGACATCGAAGTGGTGACATCCTATAAATACCTCGGTGTACATCTGGATAATAAGTTGGACTGGTCTAAGAATATAGACTTCATCTACAGAAAGGGGCAGAGCCTCCTTTTTTGCCTGAGAAGACTCAGATCAATAGACATCTGAAGTAAGACGCTGCAGATGTTTTATCAGTCTGTGGTGTCTACAGTGTTCTGTTCCACGCTGCAGATGTTTTATCAGTCTGCTGGGGAGGAAGCATCAAACACAAAGATGCGAGACGTCTTAACAAACTGGTGAAAAAGGCTGGCTCTGTGGTAGGACTCAAGCTGGACTCAGTGGAGGATGTGGTGGAGAGATCTACACTGAGGAAGGTGGAGTCTATTCTAAAGAACATGGATCACCCACTTCACAACACCTTGATGGACCAACAGGCCAGTGGTGGTGGACGGCTCCTCTCAGAAGATCTTTTGTACCAACAGACTTTATAACTCTTGTGTTAATAATAGATAACTTTTACAGACATATTATGAGAGACAACAGACAATTGAATTTCCCTTCGGGGATTAGTAAAGTTCTTCTTATCTCTTATTCTTAACTGTTTTTATTAAAGTCGCTCCTTTATCAGCCAAAGAGACACACTGAGAGCTCTGACTTGTTTCCATCAGAGTGACTCTGATTTTGTCTCAAATGTTTTTAATGTTTCACTCCCTTATCCTGCTCTATAGGTCTGCACGGACTGGATCATTTTATCAGTCTGCAGTATTCGAAAACACATATTCAGGATCAGTGGACCAGTGAGCGCATGATTCACTGCTGAGGGCTGATCATTTATGGATCTGGAGTGAAACTTTTAATGCAGCTGGACTCCATGTGGAAAAAAAAAAGTTTTTATATCTTCACAGGAAAAATTCTGGTTAAAAGATTATTAAATCAAATAAAAATAATTAAATGAGCCGTGTTCTGAGGTGTGTGAATGATGAAGAGACAAAAACTCAGACAGCTAAGACTCAACACTCAGAGACCGACTGTGAATTATTTCAGCTTTGACTCATCTGATGTAAGAGATAAGGTATTATAAAGGCTAATGCAGATAATATGTTTTTATTAATCCCTCCCACAGGTACAGGTACAGGTGCAGGTACTCCCACAGGTAAAATGTCTCATATCTAAGAGAAAAATACATCCCGAAACATGTTTGTTGCCCATCTATGTTTAAACTAATCATGTTATTACAGTCGGATATAACAAAAGTTATTTATAAGCTAGGTGCCTCCCTGAGGCATGTCCTTCCTCTGTTTAAGTGATACTTTTTGTTCTGTTTGTTTTGTGTTGACCAGAGATAAATATGTACAAAGTATGCACAGCCCTACTGCCTGCTTGCTACGTCTGATTATTTCTATTGTTTAATGTTTATTTGTGCTCCATACCACATATGTGGTTGTGAGAAAAAATAAAATAATAAAAGTGAGAGTGAAAAACCTGTTTGGTTCTTCTTCCATAAGAGTGCAAACTCTTATAGCATCCAGGTTGTATGTTAGAAGTGTCTGTGTATGTGTGTGTATGTGTTAGTGTGTGCACGTGCCTATGTCGACGAGTGTTTGTTTGTTTGTGTGTGTTTGCATGCATGTGAGTGCGTGTGTGTGTGTGTGTGTGTGTGTGTGTGTATGATGAAGGTGTGAGCAGTGAGAGGTGTTTCGACCTCATGAGTTGTTCTTCTCTGGCTTGTGGAGTCACTCTGAGCTCCTCTGATCTTACATAGATGATGGAGGTGTGTGAGATGGTGTGTATGCTGAAGGTGTGTAGTGTGTGTGTAGTAAGGTGGAGGTGTGAGGTCCTCTGATCTCACATGTGGCTCATATTGAAGCTGAAATTCCTCTCAGATCTGCAGGCTGCTCTGAACTGACGTAAACATGAACCTCTGTGTGATGTGATTAGAGGAGAGGGGAGGGGGGTGTCCAGTGTGAGTGTGTTGTAGGGCTGCTCCTCCCTCCTTTGTGTGTGTGTGAGAAAAAGGAGATTTCCCAACTCTCCTAAATGATCTGCCTGGTTTAGAGGAATGTTAACTCTGAGCAGAAAAACAGAAAACTGCGGTTTAGCTCCTCGCCCTCAGATCTGTCCTCACACTCATTCATCAACACTCAAGTTTCCCATCATCTTCGTGCGCGCTGCAGTTACACAACACCGCGGTGTGGCGTGGCATGGCGAGCTGCCCTGTTATTGTTTCAGCTCCTCTCTGCAGATGAGGACCAGCATGTGTCTAATCTCTGAGAATCTTCCTGAAACTGTCAGTCAAACTAAACTCAGATCAGCTGATCATAAATAAAATCTGTCAGCAGCATTTTTACGTCACAATATTCCAGTGCTGATAATAACAGTCTTTATAAAAACATAAAAAGATATACTTATATCATTTTAAAAAGTGACTTCATAGTAGTGGTCCATTACACTACTTGATGCACACCATAAAACTTAGGAGAGATAGCAAAGAAGCAGCAGCTGCAAGCAAGCTAGGTGTAGCATCTCACTGAGATATGATTAGATATTTTTAAAAACTGACATTCAGAGAAAATTCCAAAAACTAAGTCTTTAGGTTACTGATCAAGTCAACAGTCATACTTTTTAACTGTTCTTAGGTTGGATGTGGCTTAATCATAAATTTTAACTTTGTTACACGTGGATATTTCATTTATATTTCACATATATTTCATGCATCATAAAAACCCATCACTCCATTCATTTATTGTGTTTATTAGTAAACTTTATGGAGTTATGTGCTGCTCCACTCTTGTCTTGTCTTTCCTTCATTTGTTTTATTTTCAAATTTTCCATGAATGCCAGTAAATGATTATTAGGGAAGAGCTGTGAGCTCACACCTGGACTCGCCTGTCTCTGTAATAAACTCAGAGCTTTTTCAGCACTGCTCTGTTTTTGAGTCTTTGAAAGACCAACATCAAAATAAGCTGACCAACTCTAAACTCTGAGCGGTGGTGCAGGTCTGCCCCCTGCTGGCCAAAGCTAGAACTTTAAAAACAGCAGGCTTGTTGAGAAAATCTAACTCCAGCTACAGATTTTAAAACATCAGATCAGATTGAGCATAAACTCTTTTACTCACTGCAGAGATTAAACTGCTCCGCTGAGAAATAGCCTGACTGCACCTGGACTTGTAACAACCCCTCTGACTTCATTATTTCATCTCCTCAGACTGAACTTCTTCTGTTCTGAGAATCAAGTAGCTGAAACATGGAGGGCCAGACAGAGTACAGTGAGGAGGCAAAGTCAGAGAGTCACATTAACCCAGAAATAGGGCCAGCTGACAGAACAAAGAGTCTGAAATATGGTAAGAAAAAGAAGGACCAAAAACAGAACAGCTGACAGAGCAGGACCAGACCGTCTGATCTAACAGTAAAGTGAGAGAAAAAAAATAGCAGAATAGCTGTCTATTCTGTAAAGTCTATGTCAGGACTCTGGTAGGTCTTTGGCCCAGTCTTAAACACAGCATAATGTGACCTCCACTCCTCCAGCAGTTCCAGTTAAACCAGGTCTAAACCAGCAGGTTTAACTGGAACAAACTCAAGTTCATTCACAGAAAACTAACAGACAGCTTACCTGAGCTTCTGACTGAATCCATCTCTGCTGCTACAGCTATGTTGTGTACTTTTGGTGACTTTCACTATCTTGGAGCTGTCATCTAAACCATCCATCAAAGTCTCATTGTAATCTCTCACTCTGTCATTGAACCAGTTTATTTTCAATCCTCACACACTGTCACACAGATTAACAGAAACTCTAAAAACTTTCCTCACAGTCTTTCTGACGCATAAGATAAATGTGGCTTGAAATAAACCCAGGAGGAGGCCTTTACAAAAAAAAACCCTAAACATTGACCAGTTTTATTTTCTACAGTGTTTCCATGAACTCATTCAGTAAAACAATAATAAACCCTCAACATCAGATAATCACCACTGTGTTTAACTCTGCAGGGATTAATGACACATCTTAATGTCTGACTACCGTTTTAGTGAAATCTGTGAAAGAGAATCTCAGCCACTATGATCAGAATAATCTTGCTACACAGAAGTTAGTAATGTTAAATATTGTATTTTATTATTTAAGTCATAACTCAGAGAGCTGATCATGATTGAAGTAACTGACTGAACATGTTTTATCCTGTTGATATCCACACAGATCTCCAGCTCAATACATTGATAGAGCTCAGTCTGCTGGGATTAGATAAGTTCAGTTATCCAGTTTCCTTTAACTCTGAGAACCAGTCAGTGAATATTAAGATTCAAGTCAAACTCAATATTCAGTAACTGTCACCCTCAAACAGTTTCTTGATCAGTCAGGACTCGGTGTAAAAATAACAGATTTTAGCAAAAACACACACAAAAAAAAGAACAACAGATCAAATCAACAGAATATTTAATATTTGACGGAAAACTATTCAGAAACTTTGAGTTTAAACCTGCAGGAAAGCATCTGATGGCAGACTGACAAAGACAAGGCATCTGGAGGATCCTCTTGTCTTAACTCAGAATAAATATGTGACAGGTTGTTTTTTGTAAATTACTCATTTAAACATTTGACACATAATTTGTTTGTTTCATTTAGTGTAAAATCTGTGATACACATCACACTAATATTCCAGACTCTTTTTATCAGACTGTCAGAGAGTAAAAAGGTCCGAACTTGTTTAAGTGTGAGGACTCATCACTCTCAGCGATGTGCAGTTTCCATGCAGCTGTGTAGTCCTTTCTAGAACCACCTATTACTCTGTCAGGGTTAGGGTCTGTACAGCTCAAGCCTGTGAGGGGTTTGAGAGACTTGAGGTACTGCTGCAATCCGCTGATCAGTGGAGTTAAAGGGAGGAGTCTTTAAATCAAATTCATGTTATATCACTGTTTGTTTATATCCATGATTATGACTCAACAAGGGAGGAAAGAGTCTAAAGATTTCACAAATAGACTGGCCCACCTCTGTGCTGTGTATCCAGCATGCTTTGCATACTGAAGCAGTCACACATCAAATTAACTGACTTCTGTGCACCAAACTTAACCGTACATTTAACACAAAGTCCTGAATTTATCTGAGAGAAGTCATGAAAGTCTGACTGCTGCCTCACCAGAAACTCCACAGATTACTCTGGAAACTATCAATGAAGGTTAATCTACACCAATCACAGCAGGTTAATCTGAACCAATCACAGCAGGTTAGTTATTAATCTAAACCAGTCATAGCAGGTTGGTTAAAGTCCCCTCAGCTGATTGGTCCTTGGTGCTCTCTGAGTCCTTGATTGGTGTTTTAGTCTCAGCTGTGTCTCTGCTAACAGGAGCAGGTGAAACATGAAGAGAAAGCGCAACAACTGCCGCCGCCTCCTCCTCTTCATCTTCAACTTCATTACCACAGTTGTCATCTTCATGGTCGCCCTCCTTGTTGTCATCGCTTCTCTAGTTTTTTGAATCTGGCCTCTGTGAGGGGAAACAGAGAGAGTCAGTCTGAGGGACATACCTGCACAGGTGTCTCAGCTGTCTTTGTTGGCTCTTTTTTATGTGCAGCCAAGCCTGGTAAGATTAACGTTTTTGTGTGTCTCACCCAGTTTCTTGGAGTAGGCGTCCAATTTGTAAGCTGCCTGTTCCAGTGAGGACACCTGCTCCTCAATCTGATTGATCTGATCCAGGTATGGCTGCAGGCTGGCATCTACACACACAAACACAAAGGTTAATGATGAAGTAAATCAAACAGGTGATAATATAGGGGGTGGAGCTCTCTCCCTCTCTCTCTCTCTCCTGTTGGTCCACCTGAGCTGATCAGACTCCTCAGGTGTGTTCTCCTCACTAAGGGGGTCACAGCTGATCATGCTCTTTATAAATGTGTTGAAATCTAGAGATAGTGTTTGACACAGCAACTTTGAAGCTTGTATGACTTCAGCTTCACTCTGACAGGTCAGAGTTTGTGTTTAAGATGTTTGTGTCATGCGACTGTAGTAGTCAAAAGTAGTAGTCAAAGTATGAGTGGGCCACCTGTACAATGTTGGTAAATCTGAAGAGACAGCTGTAGGTAGACGGATACATGAATGGTTTTAATTCCTGACGCAGATGTGTCGTAGACTTTAATTTCTTGGATACACTAAAACTAAACAGAGGCGTGCCGGTGCTTAAGAGCATCATTCAGCGGGCTGTCATTACCTTAACAGCCACCAGGTGTCACTTTGTCTATTGAATCTGAGAAGCTTCAACACTGAATGTTTTTCAGCACAAATACAAAGAAAACTTCAGAGCTTCATAAAGTTTCTTCTATCCATCACATTTTAAAGGCAGCATCCTCTCAGTCTGAGTTTAACTGATTTATGGAGTTAAAACTGCTCTCAAGTTCTGCTGTTATAAACCATTTCCATTCATTTATTGTTATTTTATTCTCTGTTTGTGTGTCTAAGTTTTTAATTTTATACCGAGAAGCACTTAGAGAACACATTCATTATTACTTTTATAGTCCTCTAGCAGTCAGTCCACATGGATGCTGACCCAGTGGCGTGTTCAGGTGTACTAGTGTGTACTTTTAGTGTTTTAGTGTGTATTTAGGTATGCTCTGGAGTGTGTAATTGTTTATTACACTTGTTGTTGAGGTCCTGCAGGTTCCTGCTGATGTTGATGCTGATGTCCTTCATCTCCATGTACTTCAGGCTGGTAAGCTTGTTCATGTTCTCCAACAGGCGGTAGTCTTCACATGTACCTGCACAGGTATACAACAGGTACACACAGATAAACACACAGCAATATGTTAACAACAGGTAAACACTGATAAACAGCAGGTAAACAACGTGTCCACTGGACCCAGTCCCAAAAAACCTTTTTTTCTGTAACATTAACTTTGAATCATCATGTCCCAGTAGAATCACTAGTACACAAGTCTTTTCTGAGAGTCCATGTGCTCTCATAGGTTCCCCCTTGTTCTCACTGCTGCAGATGTTTTGCTGCTGTTGGCTTGATGCTTTCTAGCTGCTTCAATTATGTGTGTCAGTATCACCTCTGTCCATCTCTCTCTTTCTGCATCTGCCTCTATCTCGTCTCTGAACTCAGTTCAAGAGCAGCAGATGACTGTCTTACATGGGTCTGGTTCTGTCCAAGGTGTACTGATCATCTGGGCTCTTACCTGTGAGCTCCCCCTGCAGGAACAGCGCCATCTTTTCAAACATGTCAGCGCACAGCTCGTTGATGTCCGGGTCCGCGGGCTCCACAGCCTCCTCTGCTGTCTCCACACCTGCATCACCTTAGAGAGATCAGCCAATCAGAGAACAGCCCGTCTGTGCGGGTCAAACACTGTCAGATGAACTTAAATAATAAAACCTGGGCTCATTTAAAAACAGGAAACACCTCTCTGTATTTACTACAAGCAGCATTAGCATTAACATGCTACGGAAGCTGGTAGGAGTCAAAGCTCACTGTTCGTGGTTGTTTTCCTCGGAGCGGTCGCGGGACTCCCCGACCCCTCGGCCGGTGCTCCCGCTGGACCTCCGGAGCCTCCAGCCGGGTTGAGAGCCGCTGAGTGAGCTGTTGGGGCTTTGGAGATGCTGTCCATTGCTGCAGCGTCGTCTCCCGTGGCAGCCATTTTGTTTCGACTCTTCTTTGTCACATGAGCAGGGAGGTCACGTGAGGTCCACTCCTGCCCGCCACCACCCCTTTGCGCGCGCGCACAGCCACGCCCTACTGCATTCCAAGATTTCCTCGTTTAAAAACGTGTTTGATTATCATTTAAATATGTATGATGATCTTTTGAACATGTCGAACCATCTTTTTCAAAACATCCAATCACCCTGTAAAATTGACTCATACTCTTTTAAACATCATCGGTTATCTTTTCAAAATGAGTGATAATCTTTTAAACGTAGATGGTTAACATTTAGAATGACTGGTAATCTTTTTGGAATGACGGATTATCCTTAAAATATATTTGATAATAGTCTAAAACAGACTGATAATCTTTTAATAATGACTAATTAAATTTTGGAATCGCTGTTTATCATTTACAATGACTGGTAATCTTTTAAAAAATGACAGAATTCTTAAGGACTAATTATCATATTTTTTAAGTGTTGACTACCCCTTAAAATGACTGAAAGTCTTTTTGAAATTATTGATTCTTTTTTAAATTACTGATTGTTAATTAAAATAATGAGTATTAACATAAAAATTACTGATTAAACATTGAATTTTACTCGTAATCTTTTTAGAATGACTGATTATCATTACGATAATGACGAACCACTTAAAATGACTGATACTGGTTTAAAATGGCTGGTCCCTGTTTGAAATTTAATCATCATCTAAAAATGACTGATTATCCTTGGCTGAATGTCTTTTTTAGCCAGACACAAGTCTGTAATTTTTAATATATTTTGTTTTGCTGTTTTCTATTTCTTTCAGTGAAAGTGTGTAAGTACAGACAGCTCCCTAAAGTTCAGACTTAATTGTAATGATGGCTTTATTTATAAGGACAGCACACATCCATTAACACTTTAACTTAAGTGTCAACCAACCAGCAAATTTAACCTAAACTCAAATAAATGTTATTAAAGACTGCTTTCCATGCAAGTTTGCAGCCCAGATTTCTTTACTCAAACCCACTTGAGGTCAAACACACAGAGCAACAATAATTTAATCAAAAATGAAACCTTAAAATGTTTTCTGAAAAAAAGTGTATGTGAAGTTAAAGATTTAAATTTACAAAGATCAAATAATTTTGATAAGTATCAAAGAGAAGATAAAATAAACTCTATAGAGTAGAAATGAAATTATAATAAAAAATAATAATACCAGCCTGTTTTAAAATAAAGGTGTCATACTGACAGAGGTCATTTTAGTGAAATATTAATCACAATCATCTTTAATACCTAAACTAAAATTGCTTTAGTGTGGTTTAATTTTTACAGCTAAATGTTATAAAACAATAAAATAATGGTAAGCATGCCACTATACAGAAAACAAGAGAAACAAAGACAGTAACAGTTATAAAGTGGGAATTTAACCTGTGATATCATTATGATAATGATAAAATGATGATAAAAATAAAATTAAAAAAGAAAACACCATACCAGATCTGCAGATGGCTAAAATCCAGTAAGCAGCTCTTTAACTTTATGGTTAGACTGGAGAACATTTCAATCATCTATCCTGATGAATAGTTATCACAAAGGAGCTGTTTTTGTATCTGAAAGAGACCATGGATTATCAGTGATGATAACTCACAATAATTAAAAACACTCATTTAGAAAATTCTTACTGAATGAAAATGTTTTTCTCACTATTGTTAAAGATCTTCTTTATTTGCCATATAAACATGTAAACTCTAGTCCTCAATATTCCAATAAATTTGAAATGAACCCTCACAATATCACAGTCTTCATTTTTTACCTAAATTAATGTACAACATTAATACATATACCATAGTCCGGATTTATTAAAGTTTGATTCTTCATATTTAAAAAAATTAATGTCAAAAAGCTGTTTAAATTTCAGACACATATTCTGAAACTACAGAATTCATTTTAGAAACTACAAAATGAAATAATTTATAAACATGTAATTGTTTTTTGTTCTTTTTTTTTTAAGAGATCAAACTCACTATCTAATAGCCTGTTTTCACTTCCATATAATTTGATTTTTCAACCGCTTGGTGAAGAGGATCACATCACAGTTAAAATCTACTAAATAAATAAAATAAAGGACAAAAGACTTTAAAATATGGTTAAAACTCTTGTGTTTTCGGCCGTGCGCGCTCCCGCTGAGGGCGTGCAGTTCTCGGGGTGCAGATCTCGGCGGAACACCTGTGGGCGCTGTTGTGGGGAAGCTGATCGTGACAGGCTAACAGCAGCGGACTGTAAACATGGCGGCGTGCACAGCTCTCGGGCTGAGCCGAACACCCCGTTCCTGTTAGACACAGAGCCGGAGACACCCCGAACATGGAGACCGAGGAGGAGCAGCACATCACCACGCTCCTCTGCATGGGCTTCCCGGACCCGGACGTGATCCGAAAGGCGCTCCGGCTGGCCAAGAACGACATCAACGAGGCGGTGGCGCTGCTCACCAACGAGAGCCCCGGACTCGGCTATGGATACGAGCCGATGGAGAGCGGGCCTGCCCCCGGCCTGGGCTCCGGGGGAGACGGGGAGAGCAGCGGGCGGACCGGGACTGGAGGGTTCGATCCCCCGCCCGCTTACCACGATGTAGTGGACAGCGAGGTAAGAGCAGCAGCTAGCATCCAGAGAGCTAATTGCTAATTATAACTCACTGACAGAGCGGGGCTCGCCCATTTAACTAGCCTAGCTTAGCTTCGATGCTAACTGCAGAGAGCCCAACGTGCAGAGCTGTCAAAGCAGTAGGTGAGACCCCCTCAGGTGAGACAGGACGGGACATGTCACCAGCTGTCAGTGACTACAGAAACCTCTGAAAACACACACACTGTTCACACTACTAACCAGCTAGACTAGTTACTCTTCACTAACCAGCTAACTCTGCTAGCCAGCAGCTGGTTAGCTTCCTCAGGGGGAGAGCCTTAACGCGCCAGTACCTGTGCAGGTGTGTCCGCAGGGAGGCGTCTCTGTGGAGGGTTAAAGCTTTGGGGGCTCAGGTGTTTACAGGTAATCTGATCGGACTACCTGCAGAGGATGGGTCAGAAAAGATGAATTTGAAGTAGGTAGACCGGGTAGCACACTGGTAATAACCAGGTAACAGTCAGTGGAGTTAAAGAACAGATCATAATCAGGTGTCACTTTGATACAGTTCTATTCAGACACTAATCAGGTTGTTAAATTTATGAATCAGTTACATGTCAGGTGTTGATCAGGTATTATTCAGGTGTTAATCAGGTGTTGATCAGGTAATGTGTTGGTATTTGTCTTGATCAAACTTGACACTGAGTTGTTTATCAAGCTGTGTAAACCTGTGGTTAGTGTTGTATTAACTCTGATTCAGGCTGATCTGCTGTAGTAGAGGGCTGAGGATTTCAAGAGTAAACCTGCAGTGACTCTTTATTTATGCTCATGATACCCTACAGTACAGTTAATTTACATTTCCTCTCTTTAACTGTGAAATCTTCATCAATGTTCAACCCAGTATCAGTTTTTCATCCAATAAAAAGAGAGCAGATTAGCCAATAGCTGATCGAGTATGGGGCTGATATCACATTATTGTGGTAATAATTGTGGTTTTCATTTGATAAAATATAACAAGTACAGACACTGCAGTCTAATAAACACAGTTGTCTCCGTCTGAAAGATGATTTAAACATGATTGACCCTCTAGCTTTTAATTGGCAGGTAGAGGACAGTGTCTAGATTAGGAAACAGTGGAGAGTGGGGGAATGTCATGCCATCAAGTTTCTCCTGATATGAATTGGACTTTTTCTACTTTTTTTTTTTTTAGAAACAAACAAGAAAACACATTTGACTTTCTCACATAGAGACATTCAGTTATGTGTCTGCCGTCTGTTTAGGACAGTACATTTAAATCCTTCACACAGTCATGTGCAGACATGCAAACATACATGTTCGCACTCATAAGCTGTCACTGCGCACACATATTTAATATGTCACCGTCACATCCCTAATCATGACATAATAGTTGTATAAACAGCAGCGACTGTTTGAGATTTATGGCATTTCAGTTTGGAGGGAAAAACCTGTTTTCATATTAGAAGAGTTTATGTTGCACAAACAGGGTTATGGCTCTGTGTCTGTGAATAAGAGGAGCAACACCTCCTTCACCATCTTTAACTCCTTCGCCCCCTTTTCTTCCTTAACCACCCAGCTCACAGCAGTCTCACTGACAGGATGCCTGATTAAGCAATCCACCTCTGATGGTCTCATTGTGAAAGTGTGAAATCATGTCAGTGGAATGAGACTTTAGCCTGTATAGAAATTCCTTATAGATCTGTAAATATCAAACTAGACATGTTTAATAATTAACGTTATTTTAATAAGCATGCATAGCAAAGTATGCATACACTTATACACAGTCAGCTGTGGGGATTAATGTTTATCTGACAATCACATGACACCCGTCATTGATTGACCTGTAGCTTCTGTCACTTTCACACTTGTCCTGCTTGTGTCACTGACAACTGAACTGACCTCATACACTCACCTGTTTCACCGGTCTGTTCTTGAACTCACCTGTCTGTTAATGTTCTCACCTGTCTGTTATTGTGCTCACCTATCTGTTCTTCTACCAACCTGTTTACCTATGGCTGTGGTATAAAGCTGAAATAACCCCTGAAAACAAGACGAGCTTGATCATTAAAAAGCTCAGAGGTGGATTATTAACCTTAAGTTTTGTTTAAAGCTGCTCTGTGTGTTTTCGCTCTGACAGAACCACAGACTGATCATAGATCACTGATTTAATTAGCATGATTGTTTACTGACAGACAGTTTGTCAGAGCTAACCTGCTGCACCACATTGGGGAGATGTTCATGTAATTTTTCACCTGTCTCTCCTGGCCTGTAGGGTCATGGAGCTGTCAAACCATCTATGCATTTGTGATGGAGAACACAACATTAGTTTTCATTGTTGTTTCGGTGTTTGTTTCCCTCTATAAAGCCAACTCAGCTCTCCCTGTCCCTTCTGTCGGTGATGTTAATTGATAATGTGCTCATACTCATTCACTCATTCATATCACCTTCTCGTCCTCACAGTACAGGATTCGCATTTAACTGTCTGTGTGAGACAGAAGTTAAAGTTCAGATTTGTTTCCTCTTTGTCTTTATAAATCAGTGTTTAACTGTCGTCCTGCTGTTTTTATTGAACTAACTGAACTGACAGCATCCAAGTCTCTGTTTCTTCTGTGCTAATATACACAATTTATTAGCATGTAGTCTCTCTGTCTTTACCCCTCTTAAAACTATCTTTATAGTGTCTCACAGGCGTTACATTCCTGTTTAACTATTGTGTGTGACAACTCCATTAGTTAGTCTCTTAGGTGCTTAGATCTTTGAGGTGTCACAAAAAGGTTTGTGCAAAGTCACAGTGAGGTGAATCATAACTGTGCATCATTCAGTCAAACATTCATATTCGATTTTGAGATGAATGTCCAGAATGATCAACAGACGTCTGGACTATGAGGTGGATGGTGGATGGTGCAGCTGCACAGTCTTATACCTGTGTGACTCTGCAGACTGATTGGTCAGTGTGTTCTCAACTGACCGTACAACCATCCCTATACTATAGCAAGGACACACTGCACCCACCAACAAGCTTTACTTCTTCAGTCCTCCACCTTTGTTAGCTCAGCTCTGTCAGCCCAGTCCTTTTAGCTTAGCCTTGATAGCTTACCCCCATTAGCTTGGCCCTGTTAGCCTAGCACTGTTTTCTGTGTATCAGCTGTGTGTTTCTGCTCTCTGGTCTCATGTCTGTTCCATATTTAGCTTCGCAGTCCCTCACACAGTGCTGTTGTTTTGCTGGGGGGTCTCAGGGGGGCTGCAGGGTGCATAGTAACAGAGCTAAATTGCCCCATCACACACACACACACATAGATGAACCATCCTCTGCAGGTCTGAGCTCACAGAGCAGAGTAGTACAGAGCGAGTGTTTTCTGTGTGGAGGGTTAAACAGGATGTCAGTTCTCTGTAATAAGATTAGTCTTTGGTAATAATCTGAGAGTTTCCTTGTAAAATTCTGTTAAATTAACCTTCAGGGTTAGAGATCTGTGACGATGTTTGAATCCTGGCGCAGCTCTCTCAGTTTCTCAGTTGGTCAGCTCACAATCGTCATGGGGTCTCGTAGATCCATAGTTATAGTCATCATTTCACTAATAATCTAAGTGTTAATCTTAGAGAATTAACTCCAACTGAGTTAACCTTCAGGGGGCCTTTAAAGGTGTTTGAATCCTGCAGCAGCTTCTTCTCTTTCTCTGTTTCTGAGCTAACGGTCAGTCAGTCGATCACAGAGGTGTGGGTTTCTCTCCTTTCTGCTTGCTTCCTCTGCTCCGTCCATCTCTCTGTCATCCTTCATCGTCTTATTAAAGGAAGACATGAAACCTGACTCCTCTCTCTCCTGTCCTCCATCCTGTCCTCCTGCCCTTTCCATCCCTGTATACTGGGTGAAAGCTGCATGTAGACTGTTTAAAGACTGGATATGGACTGATTGTAAACTGGATATAGACTGAATATAGGCAAAATTTATTGACGAATTATAGACAGAATAAAGACTGGATAATGACTGATTATGGACTAAATATAGAAAGAACATCGACTGATCATAGACCGTATAAAGACCGGTTATACACTGATAATAGAGACTCGATGTAGTATTTAATTGCTGTATTGACTGAATAAAGACTAGAAATGGACTAGTTGAAGACTGATTATAGGCTGACTTTGGATTGATTATAGACTCAATATAGACTAAATGTAAACTAAAGATGGACTAGACTGATTATAGACTGAATATGGACTTTATGTAGACTGAATATGGACTGAATTTGTGCTTTATATAGACAAAATATAGACTGGTAATGTACTTAATACAACACAGACTTTATGTAGACTCAATGTTGACTGAATATGGACTTAATTCAGGCCATAGACTGGATTTGGACTGTTTATAGACTGAATATAGACTGAATATGGACTGGTTATAGACTAAATATGGACTATATATAGCAGTGGTTCTCCAGGCTCAAGTCCAGTCCTCGAGGCCCACTGTCCTGCATGGAAAACATCCAAAACGTGCAGGACAGTGGGCCTCGAGGACTGGACTTAAGAACCACTGATATATAGTATATACACTGCGTATATAGACTGTGTGTTTCAGTGTAATGATCAGGTTTGCTAAGCTTTATCACAGCTGTCTTATTCAGACCTCCACCCTCAGACATTCACTCTCTGTGTGACTTCAGGGATTCCTTTAAAATGAGATGATGCATCTGACAGAGTTTATCAGAGACAATCAAGGTCGTTCTCTTCTCTTTCTCTGAGTTTAGCTTCTATTATCAGATTCAAAGAGTCCATCAGAGCACAGAGAGGAGCCGCTGTCTGTACTCATTGAACAGACCTCTACAGGTTTAGGACAGATTATATAGGACAGATCATAGAGACGACAGATTAAAGGGAGGACTGATCATAGATAAAACAGATCATAATGAGGACAGGGTCTCCAGAAGACACATAGGACTGAGGAGGAATCCTGCTCAGTGACTGGCTCACCCCTCTATAGAGGACAGAGACGCTGATTCACACCCTCCTGCTCCCTGTCTGTTTCTTAATCTGTGTCTGTCTTTGCAGCGGAGTAATGATGAGAACGGGAACTGCTCTGGGGGCAGTATGGAGTTTCCCACCACTAACCTGTACGAGCTGGAGAGTCGGGTCTTCACCGATCATTGGTCCATCCCCTACAAGAGGGAGGAATCTCTGGGGAAGTGTCTGATAGCGTCCACCTGCCTTGCTCGCCATGGTGAGAACACACTTGAGAAATGATGTTTAATGTCTGTGTTAGAATAAATGCTGTTTATAGTCTCATACAATTAGGTACAGCATGATACAGGGAAAGTCAACCTGATACAATGTAATACAGTTAGATACCGTACCATTTAGTCAGATATGGTTTGATGTTGTGTCATACAAATAGATACAGTCAGATATAGTTGGACATAGGCCCATACAGTCAGGTGTTATACAGTCAGATACGCTGTGATACAGGTAGATTTAACCTGATGCAATGTAATACGGTTAAATACGGTACCATTCAGTCAAACACGTATTGATATAGTGTCATACAGTGTGATACTGTCAGATACAGTCAGATACAGTCGGATACAATCTGACACAGGCAGTACAGTCAGATATAATGAAATACAGGCAGATACAGTCAGATAAAATCACATACAGTCATACAGTCAGATATAGTTAGATACAGTGTAATACAATCAGAGTATGATACAGTCTCATACTGTTAGATACAGTATCACTCTTTGTGATACAGTCAGATCCAGGCTGATTCAGGCTCATACAGTCAGATCTTCTGTTTAAATGCTTGTATTTAATCTGTCTCCACTCTTTTCAGGTCTGGCTGACGCAGATGAGAACTGTAAGCGGTTCATGGATCGCTGTATGCCTGAGGCCTTTAAAAAGGTAAGTGGAGGATCCCTTACTCCCTCTGCAGAGTTTTATTCACTGGTTTTCATTAATTGATTTTTTTTGATTGAATATGATTGACATATTTATTATGTTGCACTGACTGTTCTGTATCTCCTGTGCTGCTGTCCCGTAGCTGCTGACCAGCAGTGCGGTGCATAAGTGGGGCACAGAGATCCATGAAGGGATCTACAACATGCTGATGTTACTGGTGGAGCTGGTGGCGGAGCGGGTAAAGCAGGACCCCGTCCCCATAAACCTGATGGGGGTCCTAACCATGGTGGGTCCTAAGTTTGTCCAACTATTTGACTGTTCACTCCTTTTATCCTGTCTCTGCAAACTGTCTGCAGATAAAAGTCTAAAAAATGGAATATGTGGATAATTGATGTTCAAGTGACTTTAAATCTTAAATAAAGTAATTACTATTATCAGATGTTGGATGATAAAATAGGGGAGTTGCTTATTAGTACTTCCAGGAAAAGAGAACCTTTACAGAAGGAGGTTTCCACTGCAGGAAGTCCGCTCAGGGGCAAATTTTGCTCCTCGTGCTCAGAGCTTTTACTTAGAAAGTCTTGTATGTCAGGGCTGGGTTTGGTGATGCTTGCAGGGGGTTTCATTGGTATCATTGTGGGCAGTGAGGTGTAACATCAGCTGTTTCCTCTTCCTGTCTGAGGGCTGATTCATCACAGGTGCCCATCTACTGAATTAACACAGTTAAAAACACAGATAAGGTTCCTGAGAGTTAAAGCTTGAATCAGAGTTTAACTCCATTAGTTTTTATCGCAGCTCATTGGAAACATCCCTCACTCTGAGAGTCTGTCTGCCAAGACTCTTCACTAAATCTGACTGCTTGTCTGAGTTATTGTTTAACATTGATGAATATGTCTTCCCGTCTGTCTCTGTCTCTGTGCACAGGCCTTCAACCCCGACAACGAGTACCACTTTAAGAACAGGATGAAGGTGTGTCAGAGGAACTGGGCCGAGGTCTTTGGAGATGAAGACAACATGTTCGCTGTGTCTCCTGCGAACACCTACCAGAAGGTAAGAGATGCAACGCCTCTGTCTTTGTCTCTCTTTCTGTCTCTGTCTGTCTGTCTGTCTTACCCTGCAAGGGACTGTCTGTGTTGATTGTGGCGCCCCCTGTGGACAAAAGTGCACACCTCATCTCTTTTAGGCGTTGTCCTAAACTTGCAGAGGCAAAAATCTCATTCTGCTTCTTTTTAGTAGTTCAACAACCGGCTCACTTATTTTTATGGGAATATTTGCCTTGATTAAAAAATTAAAAACAGGCAATCGCTCAGCTGGTTTAACACCTAAACCCTCACTGTTAATATTTACAGACTATAATTCTTTTTGTAAACCCTTCAATGTGGTTTTAGCCACGAAATATAACAGTCCCATCACAGCAGTCATGTTGCTGATGGTCTTTTCTGTTTTTATGGGTCATAAAAATCATTATCATTAATTCACACACACACAAAGACACACACACACACACTGATGTGATGTTTACAGTTTGTGTTCATGTTGGAACAGAAAAACAAGTTGTTTATATCTGACCCCCCGCAGCTCAGCAGAACATGACACTGACACACAACAGCAGCTGCAACACTTCATATATATGTGTGTGTGTGTGTGTGTGTGTGTGTGTGTGTGTGTGTGTGTGTGTGTGTGTGTGTGTGTGTGTGTGTGTACACGCGCGTGTGTGTGTGCGTGTGCGTGTCACATGTATCATGGCCGTGTTGAGATACAATAACAGGTATCTGTGTGTTTCAGGAGCCTCATGGTTGGCTGGTTGATCTGGTGAATAGAGTGAGTATCAGACTGTTGTCACTTGTTTATTAAATAAAGTTTTCAAAGTAAAATTCTCTCAAAACTTTTTGTCCTTTCCTGTCTTCCTTCGGTGAAGTTTGGAGAGCTGGGAGGATTCACTGCCATCCAGTCGAAGCTGAACGCTGATGAAATTGAGATTGCTGTGAGTCAAACTGACACTCAGAAGTGACGACATGTTTTCTCCCTGATCACACACACACTTTGAGGTGAAAGGTCATTGTTTTAACCCCCCCGCTGTCAGCTTAAGAATGCTCAACATCTCCGGGCCCAGTTTCTTCAAACTGTGCTGTGGTACGATCCTCCTCCTCCTCCTCCTCAGTCCCTGCTGGTCTGCACTCAGTCTGCTGCAGACCCTTTAACGGGCCTCAGCATGATTAACTATGACATAACTATGTAGACATGGCGTTAACTTCTCCTTGTTATGTCCTTCATTTACAGGAAGCTACAAACCTACAGAGACCAGGACAGAAACTTTACAGTCTGTCCTAAACTCTCTAAACAGAGGCAGTGAATATCAGGAGTATTACAGGATTTAGACCAGATAAAACAACTAACAGACACGCTCTGGACGGACATTAACCAGTAACAAAAACGCTCAAATCCAGCAGATAACATTCAAGATGTTAATCGATTTATTGATCCGATCACACTCTGACAAACATCCTGCTGCACTGACAGAGGTCTCCTATCATGTCCCAGTGTTTATGGTTCTGAGCCTGTGTAATCATTTCACTGTGTTTCAGTTATTCTGTAATAAGACATGTGTCATCCTGTAATATATCTCATCTACAAACCCAGCACAGGCAGCAGAGTCCTCCTCGTTCCTCCCTTGATTTCTCACTCATGTTACCCTCAGTTTAATCATTTTTCCCATTCTTCACCTGAACAAGAGTCACTTTTATGAGAGTTGCCTTTTTTTACTGTCTTTCCTCTCATTTTTTTAAGTTGGTAGAGGTTTTTTCTGTTGTTCTCATTGACCCAACAGTCTGACAGCCTTCAGGTCCTGCTGTTTCCTCTGCACAGCTATGTTGAGTGTGCATGAGCAGCCATACCTCTACCAACCAACCCACCAACCCAGAGCGAGGAAGAGTACAAAGCTCTTAAACTGAAGTTAACCACAAACCCTGCTGCAGAGAACAGAGCATTGTTTACAGCCTATTTCTCCAACCCCCCCATCCCACTCCCATCCCACCTCCCACACACACACACCCCATCCCCTTTTCTCTCCCTCAGAGTGTGTCCGCTCTGGTCCAGCCTCTTGGTGTCGGAGCAGAGTACCTGAACTCCAGCCTTGTCCAGGTAAGACCCGATGCTCCGTTCAGATTGGCTCACTCTGTTTATATGTTTACCCTTTCCTCTCAGCGGTGTGTAAAGTCTCATATTGTTTTTATTTTTCCAGCCCATGCTCGATCCGGTTATCCATAAGATGATCACGTATGTGCAGAACCTGGAGGAGAAGGACCTAAAAGATAAGGTAGGGTTACACATTCAACACAGTTGTACAAATAACAGGAAAAAATATCAACACAACTTGATAAAGATAAACAGAGTTAGTTTATCTTCTTTGAGGCTAGAATTTGAAATGTTGGCAGTAGATAAGCCTAAAACTAAAAATCTGAGGTTTACTTCGCTCTTCATCATCCATCATCCTCTGAGTGTCATGGGGATCAGGCTGCTGTGAAACTGTAACACCAGAGCAGCAGATAAACACAGGGGTCTTAACCCAGCATCTCCTCTTCATCCTCAGCGTCTGGTGAGCATCCCTGACCTGCTGTCGGCCATCAAGCTGCTGTGCATGCGTTTCCAGAGAGAGCTGGTCACGGTGGTGGACGACCTGAGGCTGGACACACTGCTGCGGATGCTCAAAACCCCCCACTTCTCTACCAAGATGAACTCTCTAAAAGAGGTCTGCTCTATACAAGTCAGAGCGAACGTTTGACCTCCAAACCACAACATTTTAACAAAACCCACTCTGTCTGATCCCCACATAGGTCACAAAGCTCATAGAAGAGAGCACCGTGTCCAAGACTGTGAAAAACGCCATTGACACCGACAAACTGTTGGACTGGCTGGTGGAGAACTCAGTCCTGTCGATAGCACTGGAGGGTGAGACTCAGAGAGATTTAAGACTGGTTTAAAGTGATCAGGCTCAGTACCTTCAGGTTTAAAGTGCAGCTGTTCAGTCTTTCAAAGTGTTTCTGTGTTTATGTTGCAGGAAACATTGATCAGGCTCAGTACTGTGAGAGAATTAAGGGAATCATTGAGCTCCTGGGGAGCAAACTGTCTCTGGATGAACTCTCAAAGATCTGGAGGATACAGGTTCGAGCACTGTTACACTTATGTATCACATTTATATTTAGTATTTCACCTGTTTTTCCTGTCTGTTAATAAAACACCTCTGTCATCACTCTGGTAGAGTTTACGCTGTATGTCAGCACTGATGTTATCATCCACTAATCTGCAAATTTTCTAATGAATCTCTCCATCTTTGAGATCAAAAACTATGCTAATGGTTTCTGAAAAGTCATAAGATGATTTAAAGTTTGAGCTCCAGAAAAATTTCCGTCAAACTCAAAACCAGAAATACATTAAGTCTTTGGAAAATCCTCCAACTTCAGACAATGAGTCGTCTGTTGTGTCCTGTCAGACTTGTTGAGGAGTGGAGAGGAGAAAGTGTTTTAGAGTGTGTTTTGATTGTTGTTTCATTGTTGTTTTGTGATTTCAGGCGGGTCAATCATCGACTGTGATAGAAAACATTCATACAATCATCGCTGCTGCTGCTGTGAAGTTCAGCTTCGACCAGCTCACACACCTATTTATCCTCATCCAGAAGGTCAGTGTGTTTCTGTGAGAGTCTGTGTGATAAAACATGTGTGTGAATGTGTATGTTTAAGATGTGTGTGTGTGTATTGATAATGTGAGTGTCTTTATAATGTTTGTGTGTGTTTGTGTTGTGCAGAGCTGGGAGGTGGAGAGCGACCGTGTGAGGCAGAAGCTGCTCAGTCTGATCGGAAGGATCGGCAGAGAGGCTCGCTCTGAAACCACCACGGGGAAGGTCAGTCTGACTCTGATCACATACGCAACACAGCAGGAGGTCCAGAGTCTGAATATAACTTTTTGTGTGTGTCTGTGTCTGTGTGCGCTCAGGTGCTGGAGGTGCTCTGGGAGCTGGCTCACCTGCCCACGCTGCCCACCAGTCTTGTCCAGCAGGCCCTGGAGGAACACCTAGGGATCTTGAGTGACGCCTACGCCGTGAAAGAGACGGTGAAGCGCAACTACATCATCAAGTGTATAGAGGACATCAAGAAGGTAAGATGGGACGAGATGTAAAATGAGATATGACAAGGGATAAGACAAGATAAGAGATTTAAGATGAGACAGAAAAGAGTCGAAATGGAATGAGTCAAGAAATTAGATGAGAAAATGAGACGAGACAAACAATGAGAAATGAAAGGAGAGACAAAACAAGAGAGACAAGATGAGAGAAAGTAGACTTGACGGTGCAGTACAATTTGAGTAGGATGATACAAGATGAGATGAAAATGACATACGAGGGATGAGAGAGGATGAAAAGTCACTGGATGTTAGAAATGTTTCCAGATGATAGGAGACGAGATGAGAGAGACAATACAAGAGACAAGAAAAGATAAGAGAGAGGAGACCAGATAAGACAAGATTGGAGGAGATGAAATGAGATGCTAGTAGTTGAGATAAGAGAGACAGTACAGTACAAGGTGACCAAGATGATAGAACGACGAGGTGAGAAGACAATATTAGAATATACAAGATTATGTGATAAATAAGAAGTAGAAAGAGGAAATGGGACAAGGCAGAAAGAGATGATATGAGATGACACAAAGTAAAAGAAAAGAGTGAAAAGACAATACGATGTAAAGTAATGTCCTATGAGTCGAGAGAGGAGATGAGACTATAATAAAGACAAAATAAGACAAAATGAGAAAGATATGACGAGGTCAAATGAGACAAAATGATATGAATCAAAGGAGGTGTAATGAGACGAGACATGACAAGACAAGATGACACAAAATTAGATGAGATGAAACAAGATGAGACAAGAAACGAACAGATGGGATGAGGCGAGAGGACAAAACGAGAGATGACACAAGAACATATGAGATGAGATGTAAGAAGACAAGATGATATGAGACAAGACGAGGCCAAACCAGATGAGACAACATGATAGGAGTCAAAGGAGATGAAGTGAGAGAATGCATGGCGAGATGAGGTGATACAAAATTAGACAAGATGGAAAAGAGTGATAAAAACAGAGAGTATCAGGCAGCCTGTGGGGGTCAGTCCGTGTGGTGGTGCAGTGATTTCAATCCACATTAGACTGCAAAGAGGATCAGGAGGATAAATCAAACAGGAACATTAAGATTAAAGAGGCACAATAACCACAGACTGAACTAGAGGGCATGAGAGAGTCATTGAAATGTCAAAGTTTAAAATCCCACTTGTTCACACCTGTCTCCACACACTGTCACGTTTTGAAAACACATCTGAATATCCACTGAAGCCTCTCACAGTGAGGGTGATCACACTCAGGTATGAGCCCACCTGTCTGAGCTGAACTCACCTGTATGTTTGTAGACGGTCAGTCAGGAGGACAATAAGAGCAGCGACTTTCTAATAGCTTCATGGAGCAAGAAGAGACAGAGCTCAGTGCTAAAAGTAAGAAACCTTTACATTCCCTCTCATCTGGGACACACCTGAGCTTCACACCTGACAGCCAATCGGGAAGCAGGGGTTCACTTCACAGGGGGTTTTAACCGGGGGGAGTTAACCAGGTGTGTTAATCTGCTGCTCACAGCGCTGTCTCTGATTGCACTGACCCATCCTGAACCTCAGGGGGATCAGTCTTATGACCGGTTCATCTGTTGGATCAGGCTAATGACTGGATCATCTGATGGATCAGTCTAATGACTGGATCATCTGATGGATCGGTCTAATAACTAGTTCAGCTGATGGATCAGTGTAATGACTGGTTCATCTGTTGGTTCAGGCTAATGACTGATATATCTGGATGAGTGGTGAGCTTTGGTGAAGAGGAGCTTGTGTCTTTATTCCTGCGGAGATGAAATCAGAGCCTAAGGTGAAATAAAGTGTTTGATTTGGACACTTCAAAACAGATGAAACAACCTTTGAACTCTATTACTTTTATCATCTCTGACTCTGATTTGTTTTTCTGTTGTTAAGCTACAAAAACAGAAAACCTGGGAACACAAAGTTTTTACTGTTTCATCATTTAAGCATAAAATCTGACTCTTTAAATAATCTCAGGTTCTGTTTTTGTAGCCTGAGTGTGTTTGGGTTTAAATCCTGCTGTGGTGGAAATCATTATTCTGTGTGTCTGTCTGTGTCTCTGTGTGTCTGTCTGTTTGTCTGTGTACTGTGTCTCTTTATGTGTCTGTGTGTGTTTGCCTGTGTGTGTGGATCTGTCTGTTTCTCTGTGTATCTCAGGCCTCTCAGCCCAGCAGTCCTCAGTCGGTCTGGGTGGTTCCTGCTCTTCGTCAGCTGCATGAGATCACTCGCTCTTTTATAAAGCAGACATATCAGAAACAAGACAAGGTAATACACACACACACACACACACACACACACACACACATATCTCTCTAATGTAATGATCAGTGTACCATGTGAGTGCATTGTTGTCATGGTAACCATCATCTCCTACTCCTCAGAGCATCATCCAGGACCTGAAGAAGAACTTTGAGATCGTCAAACTGATCACAGGCTCTCTGGTGTGCTGCCATCGGCTCGCTGTGACAGCGGCAGGGAGTAACGGGCTCTCAGGGTCCACGCTTGTGGACGGACGATACACCTACCAGGAGGTGGATTTGATTTTCAATCTTGTTTCAGATTATTAGATGAATATAACAAATCAGAAATGCTCAAAGGTAAAAAAGGTTAAACTGAAACACTTTTAACAGGGTATTAACTTCAGTTCAAGTCAAACGACTATTAACTTCTATAGGGACAGTTTGAAAGGTGCAGTCTGTAGCAACTAGGCATAAAAAGCACTGAACTACAGGCAACATGTCAAAACTACACTGACAGATAAACAAACTTCTTTCTCTGTCACTGATCCTGGTCCCCATCATCAAGGACAGAGTGAAACTGATCAGCTGTCAGATTGAACAAGAAGTCTGCAAACATTAAACATTTTCTATTTCCTTCCTGCTCTTAGTACCTGGATGGCCACCTGCGGTTCCTGGCCTTCTTCCTGCAAGAGGCCAGCCTCTACCTGGTGTGGAACAGAGCCAAAGAGCTGTGGGAGTGTTTGGTGTCAGGACCTGACGTCTGTGAGCTCGACAGAGAGGTAACACACTTACACTCAAAATATACACATATACAATCACCGACCACTTTATTAGGTACATTTTGCTCATAGGCTACTGGATTGGACCCACTTTTTCCTTCAGAGCTGCCTTAATTCTTTATAGCAAGTTGTTAAAACCCTCCTCAGAGATTTTTGTTCATATTAACATAAGAGCATCACACAGGCTCTGCAGATTTGTCAGCTACACATACATGATCCCATTCTCCTCTGACCTCTAACATCAGCAAGGCATTTACATCCACACAACTGCTGCACACTGGATATTTTCTCATTTTCGGACCATTCTCTGTAAACCCGAGAGATGGTTGAGAAATAGATTCAGAAATACTCAGACCAGCCTGTTCGGCACCAACAACCATGCCACATTCAGAGTCACTTAAATCCCCTTTTTTTTCCATCCTGATGATCGGTTTGAACTTCAGCAAGTCATCTTGACCACGTCTACATGCCTAAATGCATTGAGTTCCTAACATGTGATTGGCTGATGAGCTATTTGCGTGAACATGCAATTGAATAGGTGTACCTAACATAGATGATATGAAAGTATAACATGTTACAAATAATAATAATAATGATAATAACAATAATAATAATAATATGATATATTGAGTCATTAACGTGAAGGTAAAGAGACAGTGATTCAGCATCATTCACAGCTATTTCAAAGCATTTAAATCTTTGTTATGTAAAGATGAAAACTGATCAACCTTTATCGGTTAAGAGTCACATTTCAACTTATGAGAAACAGTTGGGACAGGCAGAGAACAGACCTGGTCCTTATTGATTAGTGCATTTTGATTTCATCAATTCATCTATTGTTGTTAATGTTGTCACTGATGTTCACTGTTGTCTATGCTGCTGCTGTTGTTGTTTTTGTGCAGATGTGTTTCGAGTGGTTCACTAAAGGACAGCATGACCTGGAGAGCGACGTTCAGCAACAGCTCTTCAAAGAGAAAATCCTCAAACTGGAGCCGTACGAGATCACCATGAATGGTGAGCTACTATTACTACTGTAATACTGTGCATCATAGTATTTAAGTAAAACAGTACTACAGAATGACAGTATGACAGCCGTATTACAGTAGTACAATGTTATAATGTCATTTAACAGACACTTTTGTCCAAAATCAAAGGTTTACTTTTACAGTATGATACAGTAATAACAGTATTATTACAGTGATACAATATTAGCACAGCACAGTGTATAGTTTTGACAGCTCATTGAAGTGAGGTCTGTTCAGGTTGTTTGTTGTTGTCAGATTCATGATTTCTGATGTATTTAGGGAAGTCAGGAAATCTTAACAATGAATGTCATTAATGACATATAGTACATTAGTGTCTCAGTGTAAATGTTTGATCTAGAACAGATAATAAGATGTTAGCTTAGATATGAGTTTATAGAGAGCAATAAAAGATGGACTACAGACTGAGACCAGGAAACTCTCAGACTGATGTACAGACTCCTGTTTACAGATTACACACTTCGACACACAGTGGAATAACAGCAGAATGTTTCTGTCTCTTTTAGGTTTCAACCTGTTTAAAACATTTTTCGAGAACGTGAATCTGTGCGACCATCGGCTCAAACGTCAGGGCACTCAACTGGTCAGTCCGCTCTGTCATTTCTAACACTGCTGTCAAAGATTGAACCTCATTATTTCACCTGATGAATAAACATGGTGGTTTAACATTAGAATTTTGTTTGTGGTCTGACCTCAGTGTGTGGAGCGCCTCGACCTGGCAGGGATGGATTTTATCTGGCGTATCGCCATGGAAACCCCTGATGAAGAAATAGCCAATGAAGCCATCCAGCTAATCATCACATACAGCTACACCAACCTCAATCCCAAAATGAAGAAGGTGAGAGTGTGAGAGTGTGTATCTGTGACTGTATGAAAGTTTGTCAAAACTCACCCTAAATTTGTTATTATTAGAATTTCTTTCTTATTCTTCCTCTTTATTATTTTTAATCTTTTTTATTATTAATAAGAACAACAACAATAATAATGATAATAATAGTGATAATAAACATTAGGTTCTGTACCTGCAGGAAGCAACAGTGCACAGTGTTAAGGGTGTGTTAGGGTGAGCAGGTGTGTTAATGAGCAGGTGTGTTTACGATCTTCTCCTCCTCCTCCTCCTTTCAGGACTCTGTGTCTCTGCATAAGAAGTTCATTGCAGATTGTTATAAGCGCCTGGAGGTAAGCTTGTCAGTCACTGGACAGGTGAGTGTTATTTCATCGCAGGCACTCCTGAAACTGTTTCTCTGTTTGTCAATCAGGCGGCAAGCTCAGCTCTGGGGGGGCCGACCTTGACGCATGCTGTTACCAGGGCAACCAAGATGCTGACGGCCACCGCCATGCCAACCGTGGCCACGTCTGTACAATCACCTTCAAGGTACAGAGGGGGGTTTGGGTAAGGACGGAGTCATTGAGGATACAAAACATCAGGCTGAAAGAGGTGGGGCTGACTAACAGGTGAAAAAAAACACCTTTTCATCTCCAGGTCCACTAAGCTGGTGATAATCGAGAGACTGCTGCTATTGGCTGAACGCTACGTAATCACCATAGAGGTGGGTTATCTCAGTCTTCATTGCAGACAGGTTTTCAGTCTAATATGAACACCTGAGGACACAGGTTTTTCAGCATACTGTCAAAATCTGTTTATTGTTATTAAATCACAATCAAATCTGTTAACTTTCTCCTCGAAGCTCTGTGGTCTTCCAGCTGACCTCACAGTGACTTAAAAGAAACTGTGAAACTACAACTAAGATGAGATAGATACAGTGAACCTGAGACTCAGCAGGGGCAGATAGAGAAACACAGAGATTCTGTTGACACGGATATATTTGTCTCTCTTGTAGACAAATACAGTGAACAGAAACACGGTGGAGAATGAGACAGTAAAAGAAAGACAAGGGGGGTATGATAAAGGTTGAGAGGAACTACCAACAGATACAGTGTAACTGAGACTCAAAGAGGACAGGGACTGTACAACTGAGACTCAGTGTAGACCAACACAGTAAAACCAAGACACAGCAGAGACAGTCAAGTGAAATTGAGACTAAGTGAAGAAGGCTACAGTGAGTCTTTGAGGAGACTTACCCATTTGAACTGGTTTACCTGTCTGTTTTTGCCTCTGCAGGACTTGTACTCTGTTCCTCGCACCATTCTACCTCACGGGGCGTCGTACAACGGACACCCCATCAGCCTGCACATCACCTATGAATCAACCAAAGACACCTTCACCTTAGAGGTATTGTCATCCTGTTCCTGGAACACCTTTTTATCGTATATGGATCCATCTGCAGAAAAATGACCTCTCTGTGTTTGTTTGTTTGTGTGTTTTACTTGCAGACACACAGTAATGAGACTATAGGCAGCATCAGGTGGAAGATCTCAGAGCACCTGAGCTGTCCGGTGGATAACGTGCAGATCTTTGCCAACGACAGCGTGGTGAGTGTCTGACTCTTTGTCTCTAAAAGTTTAAATCAAGTTGTACCTGTCGTCTTCTCACTGGGTTATGTTGCTCCTCTCCTGGTCATGTGTTTCCCCTGAAGCCAGGTAAAGGTAAACTCTAAAAATCAGAGGTTCATTCTGCTCAGATGTCCTGTCTTCTTCGTTGGTATTCTCTGCGAGTCAGGGGAAACACAGCCTCAAACAACCTCACCCCTTGTTTTTCTCTGACTCCGCCCCCTCGCTGCCCCTCCCCCCTGTGTTAGCTGACCATGAACAGGGACCAGAAGCTGCTCTCCCAGCTGGGCTTCAGCGACGAGCAGAATCTGACCGTGAAGAGCTCCGGCACCGGCACACCATCCGGCAGCTCCGAGTCATCAGCCTCCGCCTCCAGCAGCTCCAGCTCGGCCGTCTTTAACTCTGCCTACGCCTTAGAGCAGGTATCGCCCACACCTGACCCACTGACCAGCATTCAACAAGTGAACAGACTCAGAGTCTCACAGTGTGTGTGTGTATGTGCCCTCAGGAGAAGTCTCTGCCTGGCGTGGTCATGGCGTTGGTGTGTAACGTGTTTGAGATGCTGTACCAGCTCGCCAACCTGGATGAGCCGAGGTGAGAGGGAGCGAACAGAGGCGACTTTGTTCAGTGATGAAGGTGAAGTAGATGCAGTCAGGTGAAGGATGGAGGAAGTAAAGAGGATAAAATGATTAAAAACATCATTTTTAGAAAAGGAAGGAATGAGAACTGAAAATCAGTGGCTCAGGTTCAGTCACTCTGTGGACTAAAGACTAAAAAACACCTTCAGAGTCTGTGTTTAGGAGTGGTTGTCATGGTGTTTCAGCTCGGATTAAAACTCTTATTTATCATCCTATCGACCTCCTCAGGATCACTCTGCGGGTCAGGAAGCTGCTGCTGCTCATCCCCACAGACCCGGAGGTTCAGGATGCTCTTGACAACTTCGTCCCCAAAGAGTCCAGCGTGTGGAGCCACCAGGTACATCAGGATGACTGTGACCCCACCCCTTCATTCAACTCCACCCTGACTCCTCCCCTTTCTTTGTCCATGTCTCTGTCATTTTTAACTCTGTTTGATATGATATTCTTGAATCACAGAAAGTCTTCTTCACATGGGGTCAGGGTGTTCGTATCTCATATTGACTAGAACTTTTCTGTGTTTCTGTGTGGATATTTTATTGTAGAAGACCCTCTTCACGCTGGGGCAGGGTTCAGGCTCTCGTTCCCCGTCTCTGTCATCCAAACAGCAGCACCAGCCGAGTGCTGCCTCCATTTTAGAGTCTTTGTTCAGGTCCTCAGCACCCGGCATGTCCACCTTCAGAGTCCTCTACAACCTGGAGGTAACACGTGGACACACACACACACACTCACTCCAAACAGGGCTGTTCTGGAAATAAGACAGTCAATTAATGCTCCTCCTCTTCCTGTCTCTTTCTGTCTGTCCCTCTGCCCCTCTCAGGTGTTGAGCTCGAAGCTGATGCCGACCTCTGATGATGAAATGGCTAAAACCAGCAGCAGGTCTTTCTGTGAGAACTTCCTGAAGGCAGGAGGCCTCAGGTACCGCACAAGCTTTAGAAAACCAAAGATTTACGCAGAGCTCTGACACAGACACGACAGAGAAACAGCCAAAAAGAAAAAAGACAAACAACAACATAAACGTACAGATAAGATGTTGATAAAAGTGTTTTGATGTTATTTCTGTGTGTGTGTGTAGCCTGGTGGTGAACGTGATGCAGAGGGACTCGGTGCCCTCTGAGGTGGACTATGAGACCCGACAGGGCGTTTACTCGATCTGCCTGCAGCTGGCCAGGTGAGCCTCACCTGTCCGTCACTCACTGTGATTTTACCTCTTCGTCATTTCATTTTATTTCAAACTTTATTTCATTCAGTTAATATTTAAAACATTCAATACAAACAAGGAAAAATCTCAAACGTGAATGAAGAGGAGCAGAAACAAGAAAAGTCTCAGAGTCTGCTCCTCTTACATAAGATATTTCATGTGAGGAGGAGCTTCACGCGTCTCCCTTTGTTTCTGCAGGTTTCTCCTTGTCGGTCAGAGCATGCCCATGGCGCTGGATGATGATGTCATAAGAGACGGCGAGGCACTGTCGTCTCGTCCGTTTCGTAATGCAGGGCGGTCCGGGCGGCAGCTGTCCCTGTGTGGGACTCCGGAAAAGTCCTCGTACAGACAGATGTCTCTGTCGGAGCGCTCGTCCATCAGGGTGGAGGAGATCATACCTGCAGCTCGAGTCGCCATCCAGGTAAAACACGCTCACCTGCACATTTTTACCTAACCCACCTTCCCCCCAAGCCCACATGGTCCTAACCCACTGTCTCCACAGACCATGGAGGTCGGCGACTTCACCTCCACTGTCGCATGCTTCATGAGGCTCACCTGGGCAGCTGCGGCGGGCAGGTTGGACCTGGTGGGCAGCCCTCAGCCAATCAGAGAGAGCCACACTTCCCTCTTGCCTCAGGGGGTCCGCACCCGGGTCAGCAGCACAGGTGAGACAGATATCTTACCTCACTGATTTTACATATAGTAGGAGAAGAGGAAGAAAAGGAGGAGCTCCTCCATCTTTCCCTCCCTCCTCAGAGCTCTGTCTCTCTCTTGTCCCCATCTTTCCTTCTCTGTCACTCAGACTCCCGCTCTCAGACCTTTACATAGACTCTAACAGACCTCAGCTTCAGGTTGCAGAGTGACTCATGTTTCTGTTGATGTTTGCAGGAAGTAACTGCAGTTCCAGCAGTGAAGGGGAAACCACGCCAACAGCATTACATGCTGGGATATGTGTCCGGCAGCAGAGTGTGTCCATCAAAGATGCCATCATTGCCCGAGAGGCTCTGTCTCTGCTGGTGACCTGCCTTCAGCTCCGCTGCCAGCAGCTCTGTAAGACTGACAGAAACACACACACAAATAAACACATGAACACACGTAAACACAAACACACACTATAACAGTCAGAGGTTATTACTCAGGTCCTCTCTCTCTCTCTCTCTATCTCCACAGCATCTTTCTATAACCTTCCCTCCGTCAGTGACTTCATCATCGACATCCTGCTGGGCTCTCCAAGTGGAGAGGTAACACACAAACACACACAAACACACACACTGCCAACAGTGGAAAATTAAACATCCCAAATGCTATTGTTCTCATTTCCGTCTCTCTGACTAATGGTCTCTCTCTGTCCCCATCAGATCCGGCGTGTGGCGTGCGATCAGCTCTACACTCTGAGTCAGTCGGACACCTCTGCGTTCCCTGAAGTCCAGAAACCAAACCTCTTCCTGCTCTCTGTCGTCCTCACCGCTCAGCTGCCGTTATGGAGTCCAACGTCCGTCATGAGAGGAGTCAACCAGAGGTAACCAACACACCTGAAACACCTGCATCACCTTTAACCAGTCTGAGTGTCAGAGGTGTGTGTATTAATGCTGCTGTCCTCCTCAGGCTGCTGTCTCAGTGCACGGAGTACTTCGACTTAAGGTGTCACCTGCTGGACGACCTCACCTGTAAGACCTCGACTCTGATTCAGTCACACACAACACACCTGAGTGAAATCAAACCTGTTATGATGACAGCCTGTTATTAATCCGATAACTACATCATCCTTTTCTGCAGCGTCAGAGATGGAGGTGGTGAAGGTGAGCGCGGCGGCGATGCTGGAGGACGAGATCTCCTGGTTGGACAACTTTGAACCAAGCTGGAGCTCCGAGATGGAGACGAGCGAGGCCGACAACATCCTGCTGGCTGGACACCTGAGACTCATCAAGACGCTGCTGTCACTGTGTGGGAAGGAGAAGGAGCACCTGGGTGAGGAGGGGCACACACAGAAACACACACACACACATATTCTCACTCTCTCACTCTGAGCTCTATAATGTCAATAATCCGTAATAATTATCATGTTAATCTTCCATCTGCAGGTCCATCTCTCATCCAGCAGCTGTTGGACGACTTCCTGTTTCGAGCCTCAAAGATCATCATCAACAGCTCCAACCTGACCCCCTCCCCCACCCCGAACCACGACTTTCACCCAAAGTACGTTGGATTTCAGCTTTACCCTCAGACTGTGTGTTCAGAGCGGTTTTAACTCTGTCGCTGATTTATGATTATTATTTAACTTCAAAATGAAAACAAATCACGTAGGGAGTGTGTTTTATGTTTGTTCTGCAGATCAGCTGACCACCTTCACACTATGCCCAGAAATAAAATAAAAAAAACAGAAAATCTTGAAAAAATTGACAAAACAGACAGCCACCTTCTCATTAATGCACATACAGACCAAATCTGTCCTCTAATGAGCCCACCTGAACAGGTAAAGTCTCATCAGCAAACAGCAGATTTGACCACATCAAGAATGAAACCATGATCTGAAGGAGCTCACAAAGTCCCAAAGACTCGACAGAACCAAAACAGTTCAGATACAGACATGAATGACTAAACCCATAAGGGTCTGATGGTTTAGATCAACCTGTCAGTCCGCTTACCAGTCCATGTGTGCATGCGTGTTTGTTTGTGTGTGTCTCCAGGTGCAGCACAGCCAGCAGTCGTCTTGCCGCCTACGAGGTTTTAGTCATGTTAGCAGACAGCTCACTGTCCAACCTGCGACTGATCACCAGAGAGCTGTTGTCCATGCACCACCAACTCGACCCATCTGTCTGCAAGGAGTTCGATGTAAGACCAGAACACACACACAGATACACACAGTTTAATTTTTTTTACATAAAACACACACACAGTGCCATCCTATATACTTTAATTATATAAAATAAACAAACAGAGTTATAGAAAATACACAAACAAGATTTACTCTGTTTAATCTTAATAATCTGCATATTTACAGTTCAATAATAAAGACACAAACAAAGTGAGATCATGAACAAACATCCAGTTGACTGATGTTAAAGCTGTCTCCCCCTCTGTGTCTCTCAGTATCTCCCCCCTGTAGAGAGCCGCTCGGTCTCGGGCTTTGTGGGGTTAAAAAATGGCGGCGCCACGTGTTACATGAACGCAGTCTTCCAGCAGCTCTACATGCAGCCTGGACTTCCAGAGGTATTGCGTTCATGCTGTTTTCCTCTCAAGTGGGGGCGTCGGAGCGGGGCTGTTGTGTTCATGGGTTTATTGTGTTTGCTTTGAAGGCTTTCCTCTCCATCGAGGACGACACGGATCAACCCGAGGAGAGCGTCTTCTACCAGGTCCAGTCTCTGTTCGGTCACCTGATGGAGAGCAAGCTGCAGTACTACGTCCCCGAGAACTTTTGGAAGGTAACATACACGCACACACAAACACACACACACATACAGGTGATGTAATAACCAAGTGCCCTCTGATCACACACTCGCCTGTTCAAAGTGACTGCAGCAGTCATTTAGAGAGTGATTTACCAAACAGGTTACTTCAGCTGAACTGAGCTCACTGCTGAGAGTCTTACTGACTGAGCTGCTTCTAAAGACTGTATATAGATTTTAATGAAACACTGAAATGTCTCTGCTCAGATCTTCAAGATGTGGAACAAGGAGCTGTACGTCAGAGAGCAGCAGGACGCCTACGAGTTCTTCACCAGCCTGGTGGACCAGCTGGATGAACACCTGAAGGTAACACTCACACCTGAAGAAAGATCTCACTGACACCAGAGTAAACAGAAACACTGAGTGCTGGTTTTGAACTGTGAGCTCATATGTCAGGGAGTCCATCCTCTTTAGAGAGGAGGATGATCCTGAAGCGCAGTTGTTCTCAAGTGCAGTCCTCGAGGCCCACTGTCCTGCATGTTTTGGATGTTTCCCTGCTCCAACACACCTGATTCAAATGATCAGCTCGTTATTAAGCCATTAACGAGCTAATCATTTGAATCAGGTGTGTTACTCAGTGTGTATTTCTCAGTGTGTGTCTGTTTTGTTAATTATGTGTAATCATGTCCTGAACAGAAAATGGGTCGGGAGCAGATCTTCAAGAACACGTTTCAGGGGATTTACTCAGACCAGAAAATCTGTAAAGACTGTCCTCACAGGTGAGCAGGAAGACATTAAGGTTGATTTTGGTTTCAATCCATCACAGATAGACTCTGACCTTTGACCTCTTACCTGACAGGTATGAACGTGAGGAGACCTTCATGGCTCTGAACCTGGGCGTGACGTCCTGTCAGAGTCTTGAGATCTCTCTGGATCAGTTTGTTCGGGGCGAGGTGCTGGAGGGCAGTAATGCCTACTACTGTGAGAAATGCAAAGAGAAGGTTTGTGTGAACTCACCTGTAACTTGACTGTCAGCCCGTCTCAATGCAGGTTCGCTAACTCAATGTTCACCTGCATTTATCCACACAGAGAACCACAGTGAAGAGGACCTGCATCAAGTCACTGCCCAGCGTCCTCTGCATCCACCTCATGCGCTTCGGCTTCGACTGGGAGAGCGGGCGCTCCATCAAGTATGACGAGCAGATCCGGGTACGCAGGTCACCTGTTAACTGTTACCAGTTCCCTGTTCACCTCGTCTATTTACTGTATTTTCCGGACTATAAGTTGCACCGGAGTGTTAGTCGCACCAGCAGAAAAATGCATAATGAAGAAGAAAAAACATATACTGGTATAAGTCGCATTTTTGGGGGGAAATTTGTTTTACAAAATCCAAGACCAAAAACAGATATTTCATCTTGAAAGGCAAGTCATAATAAAAATCTAGCTATCGAGGTTTTAGCCCGCGATGAGCTTTTTTGTTTTCTTCATTGCAGAGAGAGTAACCGCCGCTTTTCGCCAGTCCCTTACAAGTTTCTCGCTACCTCCAAACCCTCTCTCTCTGCTGCTCGATTGCCGATTTTGGCGCATATTTCACTACTTGCAGCTTGTAATCTGCAGAATATGATTCTGTCATGGGGCATTTGTTCTCAGTCTTGCTCAGTTGTAAATATGAGTTAACGTTAATATTAAATCTTCAGTGGTACAGGAGTAGCAGATACTGCCACAGCAGCCTAGAGTGCCCTCTAGTGGCTGTTAGTGTGAAAATAACAAACGTGATATTATATATATTTTGATATACATAAGTCAAACCTGAGTATAAATCACAAACCCAGCCAAACTGTGAAAAGAAGTGCGAATTATAGTCCAGAAAATACAGTAGGTTCATGTCCTGTGTCAGAATCATGACTCACTCGGATATTTCCCACAGTTCCCCTGGGTGCTGAACATGGAGCCGTACACCGTGTCTGGGATGGCTCGCCAGGACTGCAGCAGTGAGGGCGGCGAGGGGCGGGGCGACGGCTCGTCGGGAGGGTCTCCCAGGAAGAAGGTCACAATATCTGAGAACTACGAGCTGGTGGGAGTTGTAGTTCACAGCGGTCAGGCTCACGCAGGACACTATTACTCCTTCATCAAGGACAGGCGGTAAGAGACGATCAAGGTCCTCCTATCACCTGAGCATTCACCTGTCCACCTGTCTGTCCATCTGTCTGCATCTCTGTCTCTCTGGTCTGAATCCTGCTTGTGTCCTTGTTTCTGTCCCTGTCTCTGTCTTCTGATTGTTTAAGACTCTGTTTGTATTGATCTGCATATAAAAGCATTTAATTAAATCAGGAGCTAATCTTCTTGTGAAGGCAGGTGTCTTCTCTTGACACAGACCGCCCTGTAAGGTGACCTGTCGTGCATCTTGTGGACAGTTACCTGTCTCATCTGTCTCATATAACAAATCCAGAGTGTCCTGTCCCTCACTTTGTCCGCACTCTGTTTCTAAATACTCACAATGAATTTATCTTCTCCCCTCTCTTTGTCCTCTCTCAGAGGTGGTGCTCGTGGACGTTGGTATAAGTTTAACGATAACGTGGTGGAGGAGTTTGACATGAACGATGAAACTCTGGAGTACGAGTGTTTTGGTGGAGAGTACCGGCCCAAAGTCTACGACCAGTGTAAGAAACTACGTTTACTTTGACCTCAGTTTGAACATCTAGACATCCATCACTCATTACTCGCTATTCCATGTCTATGTTGAGATGATTCATCATTAATGACCCCAGCACAAATTTTCATATTTAGACTCCACGGCTTGTGTCAGTGGACAGGTTTAAACCTCATCTTTTTATCATTGTCTACAGACACTAACAGCACAAACTCTGAGAAAAAACAAGAATATGATGAAAGTTTTTATCAAATTTTAGAGAAAACATTTTCAACCAGAAACAGAAAGACACAAAAAGTCAACAGGACACTGATGCAGATCTACAGCGCAGCTTATGGACAACTAACAGTGTGTCTGTCTGTTTGTGTGTGTGTGTGTGTGTGTGTGTCTTTTGGTGTGTTTGTGTGTGGGCGTGTGCAGCTAACCCATACCCTGATGTAAGGAGGAGGTACTGGAACGCCTACATGCTGTTCTATCAGAAGATCAGTGACCTGAACTCACCTGTGCTGCCCAAGAAGAGCAGAGTGAGCATCATGAGGCAGGAGGCCGAGGACCTGACGCTGTGAGTCTGCAGACAATTTAGACTTATTATTATTATTATTATTATTATTATTATACTCAGAAATGTCTGTTTAATCTGATATTTTAAAATGATTTTAATCACATATCTAAAAAAAAATCTATCAGAAAGACTCAGCAGGTCCTCTCTCTTTTCTCATCTCTCTGTGTCTCTGTGTTTCAGGTCTGCTCCCTCCTCCCCCGACGTCTCCCCTCAGTCTTCGCCTCGCCCCCCCAGAGCCAACAATGACCGCCTCACCCTCCTCACCCGTCTGGTCCGTAAGGGGGAGAAGAAAGGTCTGTTTGTGGAGAAGATGCCGGCCAGTATCTACCAGGTCAGAAGTCATCAACACATGAATGTCACAGAGACACACAGAGTCCACATTTACAGAGATACAGAGACAAACATAACTTCTTTGTAACCTGGTTAGAAACAGATTGAAGATTTTGACAGCTCCAGGTTACTTCATCTGACCTCTCCATCCCTGTCTTTGTGTCTTTGTCTCTCTGTCCCCCTGTGTCACTGACTGTGTTTTTCTGTCTGTGTTCAGATTGTAAGAGACGAGAATCTGAAGTTCATGAGGAACAGGGACGTCTACAACAGCGACTACTTTAACTTCAGCCTCTCCCTCGCCTCCGTCAACGCTGTAAGACTTTCTGTTTCTTTTTTTCATGTCGTAGTGAACAAAATGAAAACAAACAAACAGACTGGGCGGGTCTAAGGTCATAGACAGCAGAGCAGGACACAACTGTTAAAACCCAGACAATCCCATTTACTCAGAAAATAAAGAGGAAGAAAGAAAATCTGTTGAGTCGGTGCAAAATCACTGTTAATTATTTTTTAATAGAAGCGCACAGTGTCTCTGTCAGTAATGTATCTGATGTCCCTCACAGACCAAGCTAAAGCATCCAGACTACCAGCCCATGGCCAAAGAAAGTCTGCAGCTGGCTGTCCACTTCCTGTTCCACACCTACCTGCACACCAAAAAGAAACTCAGGTACATCCACACCTGATTTATTGTAGCTGTCAGTAACAAGCAGCGTCTCCCAGCAGCCCTGTTTCATTTTCTCTCATCTGTCTGACATGCAGAGTGGACACAGAGGAGTGGATGGCCACAGTGGAGGTGCTACTGACCAAGAGCAGCGAGGCATGTCAGTGGATGGTTCAGTACCTGGTTGGACCCGAGGGACGGGAGATCACCAGGTAATATCCAAGGAATCACACACACTTGCATACATTTACACTGACGATCAGCCTGTAATTATGATAAGCTTGAGGAAGAGCAGCCCAAACATGATCAGTCTGATTATGAAACTCTGGATAATCAAGTCAAGTCAAAGTTTATTTTAAAGCACTTTTAAGAAGACAGCAGTCAATCAGGATAAATAAAAGAAGTAAATAAATAGATTACAATAAAACAAAATTAAAAACCGTGGACTAAAATGAAGACAATAAAAGAATAAAAGCCTGTAATGTGCCTATAATAATCAAACCTGATCATTTCAAGCCCGGTGATAATCAGCTCACTCATGAACAACCTGGTGATGATCAACCTGGTATTTATCAGTCTGACAGTGATCAGTCCACACTAGCCATGTTTACATGTGCAAAATTTCTTGATCTGATTAAAATTTTGTGGGATCAGATCATCTGAATCCACTGTTTATATTAGCACAACATCAAATAATCCACATCTGGTGGATGTGGATTGTCTGGTTTCGCTAAAACTACCGGAGAAGAAGAGTTGTATTTACGCCTGTGCTGTCAACAAACCAACAATGGCAGTAGCAGTTTACTCCATCCAATTCAGGATATACCCCCCCGTTAAATGTTGTCACTAGATGGCGCCCTTGCTCACTTTTTTACTGCCCCGTCAAAGGTTGCGCTGTACGTGCAGATGTGACATTATTGCGCTGTAGTACGCCTTGTTATGTTAACAGAGGAGCAGACACGGCTCCTGCGGTTGTGTTTTGTGTTAATAATGAAACCTCCTTAACTGGCCTTAATAAATAAGCCAAAAGCTAAAGAGTGAAGATCGAGTCAGGTAAGAGAGTCATGATCGGAATGAGTGTTTACATGAAAGCGTTTCGTAATAACGATCGGCATAAACCACCCCTCTTGATCGGAATACAATTTCTTTCTGATTGAGTTGAATTGGATCAAAATCTTCTGATCGACATGTTTACATGATGCTTTTTTATTCCGAACAGGCATTCATTTCGGTTATTTGTGCCCATGTAAACGCAGCTATTGTTGGTCTTGATCTTTGTTGATCAGGAATGAGCGGATTAGGTGTGAACATCCAACCTGACCTTCCATCTCAGAGTAGCTGCTTCATTTCAGACTGCTGTGACTTTTCTCTCTTTTTTAGCTGTTTAAACATGTCACAGTATATTCATGTTTTTTTGTTATGATTGTTGTACTCCTCTCTGACCCTGACATCTGTCTCTGCCTCCCCTCAGGGTCTGTCTGCTGGAGTGCAGTGTGAGGGAGGTGAGAATGGTGGTGGCATCCATCTTGGAAAAGACTCTGGAAAGCGCTCTTCTTTTCGGAGACCCAGGACTGGACAATTTGATGGACGCCCTTCTCTCCTTGTTGGACAAAGACGTCCCTGAGAATGTGAAGAACTGTGCGCAGTATTTCAACCTCTTCAGTAACTTTGCTCAGAGGGTAAAAAGCCGTCGACTAACAGCTCTGTCTTTTTACGATCAGTCAAAGAAATGGGACGAGGTCTGATGATTTTCTCTTGTTGTCGGTCTGTCTCTGTTTGTCTCACTGTCTCAGGGATGTGGTCCCTGTCAGCTGTTGTTGAAACACTCAGCGTATCGTCGGATGCTCATCTTCCTGTTAGGTCCCAACAGACAGAACAACCAGGTAACTATTGAAAGAGGTTTCCTCTCCGAGCCTGTTAGATTTAAGGGGTCTAAACTGTGAGGTGCTGCTGGTCAGAGTTTAGTCCTCATCATCTTGTTTTTTTATCTAAAGACTCAAAGTACAAGTGTCTGAAAATAAAAGAAGTTTAGTGTTCAGAACGGGGCCTCTGCCGAAAGCTATCCGACTCTGAGAAAAGTGAGACGTGAACCCAGCAAAGACTTTTTTTTTTTTTTTTTTTAACACAGCTGTTTATTCACATACGCTCCCACATTTAAACCTGTTCAACCAACTTTGAGCCCAACAGTAGTGGAAGCAAACAGGGTCCAGGTTCAAACAGGGGTATTTTAAAAACATATGGGTATTTTAAATCTGAATATCTTTGGAGTTGTGGGATACAGTTTTCACTCTGAAACAGCAAACTTCTGCTAAAATACAGAATAAAATGAAGGATTCATGTCCAACACATGTTAAAGCTTGTTTTTGGTGTTTTCTAACAGAACCGGCGGTGGAGTCCGGCTCAGGCTCGGGAGTTCCTCCACCTCCACAGCACGCTGGCCCTCATCACGCTGCACTGCGAGCTGAACCCTCAGAGGACTCACGGTCAGACCCTCTCTGTAAATGTTTGATATTCATGCCTCTGAACCGCTCGCTCTCAGTCTGATCAATCTCTGTCTCACCTGGTGTCACCTGCAGCTCCAGGAGGGTTCAAACTCCGAGTAAGCTGCGCCCCTTCCTCCTCCACCTCGCTCCTTCCCCTGCACTCGGACATCATGACCTCGCTGTTCACCCCAGAAGGGCAGCCGTACCTTTTAGAGGTGACGTCCAAATACTGACCCACGTTGTTTTAATTGACTGCTGTCGGTCCTTTACCTAGAATCATGCTTGAGGTTTACATTAGGCTTTTAAAATCTAACAACGTTTTTGAGTTTTGAGTCAAAGAATGCACTGACAGTGTTCAATCTGCCTTTAAAATGTGTTTTTTAAAGAGGAAGGCTGTATTAGCCTGAAGCCAAACTGAATCAAACTCCCTTCAGCAGCCAGTGCAGTCTTCAGTCAGTGCAGTTGGTGCAGTCTGCTATCAGTACAGCCTGCAAACTGCAAACTGTCCCATTCACAAACTTTGCTTTAAATGCATACCTTTATTTTCATTTCAATATCAATTCAACCGTTCTGAAGGTTGACTCCTGGACTTTTAGTGATTCTCACATTCATGTTTTTATTTTTTTTTCCTCTAGATTTTGAATGAAATGGTGAATATTTTTAGTTATCGTGGTGTTTAAAGATCAGAGGAAGTCTAAATGTGTCAATTTCAATAAAAACAAGAGAGAAAAACTAAAAAGTAAAGAGTGAGCAATCTGTTAGAGTAAAAGTTAATCTGATCTGGTTTTTGATTTTCTGTTTGTGTGTGTGTGTGTGTTTGTGATCAAGGTGATGTTTGCAATGCGTGAGCTGTCTGGTCCTCTGTCTCTGCTCATCGAGATGATCAGCCACGTCTCCTTCTGTAATGAACCCTTCTCCCTGGGCGTGCTGCAGCTGCTGAAAGTAAGTTACACACACACCTGTCAGACAAGTTTTTTCTGAGCATGCTCAGTGGCGGTGATGAGTATATTTTGTTTGTAACAGACTCAGCTTGAGACGGCGCCGCCTCATGAGCTGAAGAACGTGTTTCAGATGCTGCAAGAGCTGCTGGTGAGTGATAACAACCAGATCACCTGCTGATGTAACACCTGATTCGTGTTCAGATCAGCATCTCTAAGGTCTCTGAAATCTTTGTCTTCAGGTGATGGAGGATCCTCTGCAGTCCCAGCGACTGAAATATGCTTTTGAGTCTGAGAAAGGCCTGTTAGGTAGGTGCGCACTGAGCTCTGTGCAGGATCATCAGTCTGCAAGCGCTGGTTTAGACTGTTTGTGGACTGAATCTCTGCAGCATGTCTCTGTTTGAACTAAAGTTAAACGCTGAAATCCTAACGCTGTGTTTTTTTCCTCTCAGCTCTGATGCATCAGAGCAATAATGTGGACAGCAGGCGGTGCTACCAGTGTGTGAAGTTCCTGGTGACTCTGGCTCAGAAGTGAGTTCATCCTGAGGAGGAGGGGGAGCGGTCTCACTTTATTATCCCTCTGATTTATCCTTCACTTCATCCTCTTTATGCTTCAGGTGTGTTCCAGCCAAGGACTACTTCAAGGACCTGTCCGGACACTGGAGCTGGGCGGTGCAGTGGCTGCAGAAAAAGGTCAGATCTCAGAGCGGATCAAGAGCTTTCTAAATTCAACCAGAAGGATAAATAAAAAATAACAGATCAGGACCATAAAGACAGGGTTACGCATGACAGAACCCTGACCAAAAACTGAGGCGTGAATGATGCTAGGCTGTAGGGTGCAAAATAATGCCGACTCAGACTCTGAAGGAGGAAGGACAGAGCTGTAAGCCTCCAGGTTCTCTCCTAGGTCAGAGTCTCCGGTCCATGAGGACCTCCAGAGTCAAACTTTAGACAGTCTGGTCTTTTTGAAGGTTCTCATGGTCTTGTGTCTCACTGTCTCTCTCTCAGATGACCGAACATTACTGGACCCCTCAGAGCAACGTATCCAATGAAACTTCCACCAACAAGACCTTCCAGAGGACCATCTCTGCACAGGTAGGACCAGACACACTCAGGTACACGGACTTCAGTCCTGAAAGACTCTGATGTTCATTTTTCTGTAAACTTAAAATAGTTTCAATGTTTGCGTCACTCTCAGAGTAAAATCACCTTCAGACTGATTTTAAACTGTACTCTATCTCAGTATTTCAGACTTCAGGTTCTTTGGTTACTCAGCCTTAATTAAATATCTGCTGTCATTGGTGTCTGCAGGATACGTTGGCGTACGCTACGGCGTTGTTAAACGAGAAGGAGCAGTCGGGCAGCAGTAACGGTTCTGATGGCAGCCCAGCCAATGAAAACGCAGACCGCAGCCTCAGACAGGTAAATACACCTTCATCACCCCTGGTTCCCATCTGTGAGACTGATCTGAGTCTGACTTCTGTCTGCGCTGAGAGGAGCGCAAATGTGTGACGGCTTCATCCCCTCTCAGTCTAACAGGAAGTCCATCCCTCACCTGCTTTCACGCCTGTCAATGCGGGCGTCAAAGGAAGCAGACTACCATATTTTTCGAGCAATAAGGCGCGCTAGATTATACGGCGCACTGTGAATTAACGTCTTTGTTCACACATGAGGGTCACCGGATTGTAAGGCGCATTAAGCATTAATTGGTTTATTGTTGCCAAAGCGTACTCCGGGCCCGGGCTCCCTTACATGAATGCACTTCTAGTTTAGACATTATAGTCAGGCAGTGTTGTAAACTGCTCAGGGGTCCTGTTATGGAGCCGATCAGGTAGTGACACAGCGTACCGTAATGCTCCAAATATCCATCGAGCGGAGCTGCTTCATTGCTACACAGTACTTGCACAGTCGTACTTACACATTTTGACAGATTTTTGAGCGCATTGTACCACATAAAATCAGTCTGTAAGCACAACGAGTAATCATACATAAGGTGCACTGGATTATAAAGCGCACTGACAATTTTTGAGAGAATCTAAGGATTTTAAGTGCGCCTCACAGTCCGAAAAATACAGTAAGTAATGGGGGTGTGGGCATCCTCCCTCCATAAAGTCCACCATACAGAGTTGATTGAACCTTCTGCTCTCTGCAGTGATGTGGACAGGTAGATCACAGAGTAGGAGGTAAAACCCGGAGTGGAGTTTCTCTAAGAAAGTGGACTGGATGTTTTAGCTCAGAGCTGAGACAGGTCAAAGTGAGAAGGTCAAAATAACCTTTATGAAAGAGAGTTAGGGCCTGTCCCAGTAGTTCTTACTCCTGCACAGTCAGCTACACCCACACTCACCTGTTCAGTATTTTAAGCACACCTCCCTTACCTCTGTCTGTCCCAGGGCTCAGAGTCTCCCATGATGCTCGGCGACTCAAAGAGCGACCTGGAAGACGTGGACCCTTAGCCTCGCCCATCAGCAGCACCCCTCTACAAGAGAGGCGGCTCAGCTCCAAGCGGCCGACACAAAGGGCTGTCTCTGCCTCTGATTGGTCAGGACATTAAGGACTCAGCAAACCAATCAGAACACTTCATCTCTGGGTCTCCATGGCAAAGAAGGGGCGATAACTTAAACCACGAATGACTTCCCGGGAGAGCAGCGAGGTGATGATGGAGGAGCTTTTTCTCTGAGGGGATCCCAAAGGAGCAGAAACAGTCCTTCAGTCAGAGCGACAGCGAGCAGGGCGATGGACGCCCCGTTTTTACGGTTTCTGCTCTTATTTACAGACAGACTCATTCACACTTGGTCCATAAGTAGACTCCTGCACACCTGGTCCACAGGTGTTACATCCAGCTTTTAAAGTTCTTCTTCTCTTCCTCACAGCCAAACTCAGACAGACAGAGAGGTCACATCAGCTGCTCCAGAGGAACTCACACACACATACACACACACACACACCTGTAAAGTTACACCTACACAGAGAGAGCACTAAAAGGGGGCGGGGTTTAGCAAGCACTTTATAGTTCAGCCCAGTCCAGTGTGACACTCTTAACTTCCTCTACAGCCTTCGGGTCAACCCGTCTTCTTTTTCTGTTGCTTTTTATTTTATTTCTTTTTTTATTTCAGTGCCACTTCTAAAAAAACACCAGTGACCTTTGACTCTGGAGACCTCAGTGTAAGCATGGCAACTCAATACAGGGCCAGACCAGAACAGATCCAGGACCCTGGTCAAAAACAAGCAGTGCCATCATCAGTGCCCTCTTCTCCTTCTCCTGCTTCTTCTTTTCCTCCTCAATGGATTTTATTCTGTTCCTCATCTTCTTTCTGTCTCTCTGAAGGACCGACTCTCACTCTGGAAGACTGACCCTCACTCTTGTGGACTGACTCTCACTCTGGAAGACTGACCCTCACTCTTGTGGACTGACTCTTGCTCTGGAGGACTGACTCTTGATTTTGGGACTGACTTGTTCTGGAGGACTTACTAGATTGGCTCTCACTCTAGAAGACTGACTTTGACTTTCGAAAGACTGACTTATTCTAAAGGACCGACTCTTGCTCTCGAGGACTGACCTTTGCTCTTGAGGACTGGCACTTGTTTGAGGATTGACTCTCTTCTTGGAGGATGGACTCAGAGAAAATTCTCGCCTTATGCAAGCTTAGCTGATCTTTGATCGTCAGATTGGCAGACTGAGAGGAGGAGCTCAGGAGCTTTTTTTTAGGTGCCAAGGTTACACACACACACACATGCACACACACACACACACACACACACACACATACAGAGTTAACACTATGAATGAATAGGTGAGATGATGTTTATGTGTCCGTCATGACGAACAGGTCGTCTTGCTCACTGTTACCTCCATCAGCTGATTTTTGTTTGCCTTTTTTTTTTTTGCTGTTGTGTACTTTCTAAAAAACACACACATAGCTCCACCCACAGGTAGCTGTGTGTCACATGACATTGTGCATCCATCACCCCACTTCCCTCCCTTTAACCTTCCTCACCCATCATCGGGAGACTTGAAGTGCCTTAACCTCCCGTTTCTCACCTCTCTGCAGGACAGTGCCCGGATTTCCTCCCCCATCACGGCGATGGGGGGGTGAATAGGTGTAGAGAGAGATGTAGGGGGGTGGAGGAGGTAAGGGTAGGGGAGGGGATAAGGTGAAGGTAAAATGCTGCTGCTTTTCCCTCTGCCGGCTCGTGCAGACACACTCTATAGATACATGTTAGCTTGCTAGCTACATGCCCACTCTGCAAACAGGAGCCTCACCTAGCTTAGCATATTAGCATATTAGCTTTAACAGGTATATGTTTACATTGAGAGGACTGACAGAGACGTTCACACTGAACTGCTTCAGGTGACCGTGCTTTCTGTCAGTCTGAGACAAGAGAAGAACCACCCACCAACAGCTCCCTACCATCCCACAAACACACACACAAACACACATATACACACACACAGACACACACCTGTCCTACCTGTTGCTGTTGCTGTCATATCGTGCTCTCCTGCACGGAAAAGAAGTGAAGTCTGTCCTCTCTGTGCCACAGAGGAGACCCCACTCCCCCCCACCGCTGTGTGTTTGCTGTGTAGTTTTGGTTATAAGCCCCTCCCCCCAGGTGCATGCAGTCAGTGCCAACCGATTCACAGTTACCTGAGCATCCAGCCTGTCTCCATCCTCATCACCATGACAACGACTTCCAAAGGAAGAAGAATTCAGTCTTTAGTGAGGGGTTTAGGGGGTGAGGGGGTGAGTGCATGGGGGGGTGGGGCTCTCTGTACGGGTTTTTACTGTCTTTCAGTTTTTGGAAACTCACTCCTGCTGAGGCAGGATTGTGTACTGCATGTTGAGCTCTGTTTTAATTTGTACATCAGAGTTTGATTAAAGGGGAAATTTGATATAAAATAAACTGGAATGCACAACCTTTGTAAACCTGTTTCCTTTTCTTTACTCACTATTAGTTTAACTTGTGTGAACGCTGTACTCTGATTTACTCTGAGAGTGACCTGACCTGTAATACAAACACTTGACAAGATTATTCACTTTACCAACATGGACTTCTGTCTTTGAAATAAAAACTCGACCTAACTTTGAAGCTGTTAGGGAGAAAAACTAGACTGTGGCTTATCGGCAAAGTGGGCTGTCTGTGATTTTGCAAAAGAACCCCACACGTACAGCTCTGTGGAGGTATCAGCGTATAGAAACTAAGCCGTTGGAGATTTCATCACTCCACTGTTTACTTAAGGGCCAATCATCCTAACTAATAAACCTGATCATCTACCGCAGAGTCCTGACAACCGCAGATACTTATGGGCATCACGGTTGCTGTTGCTGAACTTGTTTTTCTTGTTTTCATTTTTGTTGCTGTCGTTGTTTTCAATATTTTGTTGTTGTTGTTGGTGTTTTGCATCAGCAGCATGAACACCAGGAGAAAGAATATCTAACGCTTTGCTCCAGCCCCTGTATGTCTGATTCCTGCCTGCACACCTTTATCATTTCATTGATTTCTTTGCTCTACCAGCTGCTCTGCAGGATCATTAAAACAGTTAGTGTATTTGACCACTAGGAGGCAGTAAAAACAGCTGCGCAGCATTAAATTCAGTCTTTCTATTAATCACAAACTACACTTATGACAGGTTCAGGCTCAGGAAGTTGGGAGAATTTAATGTTCCTGCTCTGCTGTTTATCATTCGTTAGGTTTTTCTACAGAGGCATGATGGGAAACAGTCTCAAGTATGTGGCTGTAGTCTCCATGATGGGAACCTGAAAACCTCTACATGATTTAGACAAAACAGACATCTGCTGGACATACAAAGAAAGTTGGAGTCAAATAAATAAAAAAAACAAGACTGAGATCTGAGAACAATGTTTAATTTTACCAGATACTTCAAACATCATCCTGTGGGACAGGACAAAAAGAGGACAGAAAGGGCTGAGAGAGGAGAAAGAGGGCAGAGAGAGGACAAATGATATAAGAGAGAGGGCAGAGGATGGAAAGAATAGAGGGGAAAGTGACAGGAAAGGGAGTCGAAGAGGGTCCTGATTTGGTGAGGGTCAGACCAGCTGTAGTGTGGGACAGCTGTGACTCTTTGGAGATCTAGAAAGTTGCGGTATGGCGCTCAGCATCTTCCCAGAGAGAGGGGGTGGGACCTCAGGACACCTGGACACAGACAAAGTGTGTAAGGAAAAGGAGAAGAAGATGAGAGGAGGAGGAAGGAGACAGGTGTGAAAGTCTGGCTTCAAGTTTGTGTTATGTCCTTATGTTCTGACTTTTTGTCTGGCTGTAGACTATAGTGTCCTCAGATCACTCTGAGAGTTTGACCTCTGAGACACCCTCCTCTGACCAACTACAGGGCTTTAATCAGGAGAAATCAGCGATGCCTATTAGAGGAGGAAGATGGACCTCTGCCTCACCTTCAAGTTTCCAACTATTTTGCCGTTTCTATTTGACAAACTGAAGACTACAGACCGTCCTCTAAGTCTGTCTCTGTCCTCTGAGTCTGTCCTGTGAGTTACAGCGATATCTTCAGTCAGTAGGGTGTCAGTTACTGTTCCTCCTCTTGTAAACAGAACCTTAATCAGTCTCTCCGGCTCCATCCTTCCTTTCTCCTCTTCTTCAGTAATAACTTCAGTCGGTTCTCAAAGTTAGTTGTAGTTTCTCATCATATTAAAGCAGCTCTGTCCTCCTTTCACAAACACCACAGGGGACTGCTGTCTCCACCTTTGGAACGGGCACTAACACAGACCGATATGAAGACTGTGTGTGTGTGTGTGTGTATGTGTGGTACCTGTCGTCTCCAGCTGTACACAACCCGTCCTTCAGACTGTCCTCCTCAGTCTCAGGAGCCAAAACGACCTACAAATAAACTGACTCCATTACACCTCTGATACCTTTCTGTCTCTATCACCAACACACTTTCTCACACACACATACACACTTTACCTTTGGGTAACACTGGCAGATGCTCCACACACTCCCCACACACACCATGAAGACTCCGAGGACACAAACAGTGATGAAGATGTGTGGTCGCTCCCTCACCATGATGAAGAGGCCGAGAGCAATCGCACACACGCCAGCAGAGATCAGTCCGTATCGATACGGTTTCCCTTCCACCATCGCAAAGCTGCAGGTGTGTGTGTGTGTGTGTGTATTTGAGCGAGTGAGTGCCAGCTGACACTGAGGCAAACAACACAAACTCACGGAAACACACACTCTGATAGTGTTTGGTGTTTTCTGATCTGAAGCTGAGGGAGGGGTCAGTTAGTGTTTCACTGCTGCTTATTACAGCCTGAGGCCTCACTACAGGTGTGTGTGTGTGTGTGTGTGTGTGTGTGTGTGTGTGTGTGTGTGTGTGTGTGTGTGTGTGTGTGTGTGTGTGTGTGTGTGTGTGTGTGTAGGTCACCTTGTCTGCAGTTGTGTTAGCTCGAGTACTTTTAGTTTTCCTTTCTTCCGCTGTGATTTACTCTGAGCCTGTGCTGGGTTCATTCTGTTGGTAGTTTCATTTAAAATGATAACTTGAAAACTCATTTATGTCTTTGACCTCAGATTAAAGCTACCATGTGTTGATTTTAGCTTTATTCATCAGAGCACATTTGGTATAAAGTGAATCTAACACTTATCTTCAAAAAGTTGAAGCAGAGTGGTTTATGTGCCTGACTGTCAGTCCTCTCAGTGTAAACATTTACCTGTTTTTACCTGTTAAGTCATAAAGTGGATAAGATGAATTATGCATCATAGGAGCTTCTTGTCCTCAAAGGCCTTCGTAGCTCCACTCACAAATTACATGAAATTTGTCTTCACATGCATTTAAAAAAAAATCAACTTGAGCTACAAATTTACTTGACGCTGTTGCACGATAATCAATCAGCATGAACAGGAGACCATGATGGATGATGTTGGAGATAGAGGTAGTCTGCTGGCATCAGGAGCAGTACAACTCAACCTGATTAATCAACAGAAACTTAGCCGAGAAGCAGGGGAACCTGGGTAAAGCTTTCAGATAAGCAAGCTGCATGGTGAGTTCAAGAAACTTGTGTTTGTTACATACCAAGTTAGCTAACATAACCTCAAGCGCATTTAGCACACTCGTAGCTGGCCAATGGTGTATTATTCTGCCACCAGGTGACCCACATGCAGAAGAAAGCAAGTTTGAGAGTAAGAGGTAGAATCTGAGCCGGGGTCTGGTACAAAGTTGAAATATGTGGCAACCCCTTGTGAACTACGGAGGGTTCTGAAGAGTTTTACCCCACCTCACTGCTTACCACATTGGAGACCCCAATGGGCTCTGTGCACAGCTCCACTCCTTCCTGAACTTAGGGCAGCTTCTTTATTTCCTGTCTTACATTATTGGACAAACTGAAGAGCTGTGAGCTGTACACCAGGTTTCTGTATAAATCACCAGTGCACAAGCGTCTGCAGCAGTAAAAGTATGTCCTGTAATTTGAGTGATTGATTGACAGGGTACTGTTGGTATCATACTCAAGACTTGTTCTTATGGGTGGCAGCATACACATAGTGGGGGATACATGATCTTTATCAAAAATAACAAAGTTTACATACACTAGTGCATGAAAAGTAATACTACATCCACTTTCCAGCTGACTTGAGTGTTGACAAGGCAGCTACAATATAAACAGACAAACAGATGAGAGCTTCACTTACATTATAGAAAGTACAAAAAGAGAGTTTTGTTGTCTGGTGGAAGTTAAATAAACAAACTCAGGCTTAAGTGTACACTGTGTTTGAATATATATATCAATGTGTGAAAGTATTTCACACTCCGGTGCACACTTACAGAGGCTCACAGCTGTGCAGTCAGTCATGTTTATAGCAAAATCAGACATACAGAAACAGACTGCAGATAAATTGGCAGATCCCTGGAAGTCATTAAGGCACTGTGCAGCAGAGGGCGATGTCCATCAATCTGCTGCTAACCTCTGACAGGAAGGCATGCAGGCCATAGACAGTATTTAGAATGGACAACAGCACCCCCTGGTGACTGGTTGCAGTACAGGTCATAAACCCCGCCTCCTCCAGCAAAATCAATGTTGCTGTGGACAAACTTAAAAGTTAAATACAAGTCATAAATTTTTCTCACCCCTGGCTGCAATGTTGACATGTAGTTATTGTTAGAGTGGTTTGTGCTCAAGTCCTCTTTTTTTCTATAATTGATTGATACAGCAATTCTCCCACCAAACACTACTGCACAAATGCCAGTTCAAGGAAATGGAGAAAATCAAAGAAATTCTTGGAGAATTTTGGGGGAAGGAAGAGTCCTGTTGTCCATACTATATACAGTCTTTGGTGCAGGCACAGAGACAAGCTGGAAAAGTGAAAAAACTTCTTCTTCAGAAAGTTCAGAAAGCAGCCTCATAGTATGGCAACATAAAGTCAGACTGTGGATTAAAGGTGAAACTCTGACGGATAGTTTCACTCTGAGACCGACTGAGGAACGCCGTCTGAGTTATCATCCTTTCAGACCAATCATGGCTCACATGTTGGTGAGACACACCCCTCCTCAGCCTGACAGTCATCAGGGCTCTCACATGCTGCAGTCTCTTCCTGTTTCATTACAGTGTCATATGACGGGGGCGGTTCCATTGTCCAGGGCGGCGGGGTTGATGGGAGGCAGGGTTCAGGCTCTGCCCTCCCAATGTCAGAGTCCTCAGACATCTCCCGACGAATCCGGTCCAACCTCCTGCAGGAAGAAAAACCAGGGACAATCGAACTCTTTAACCAGCAGGTACCAACAATATCACACCTATGACAGGTATGAACCATTACAGCTGATAAAACTCAGACTGTGGGGAGAAACTCAGATCATGCCCTGCTTGCTTGTTTTTTATTTCTCTTTGACCTGCTTCAGTAATCATCCTCCATCCTTACGGTCCTCAGGGTCAGCTGCAATGACGTCTAACTTTCCAACATTGTCTGATACTTTCTGTCGGGCTTTGTCATGATTTAAGGTTGATCATAAGTCTGAATTATAACTTCAGCAAGTGTCAGATCTATCCCACACCTCCCTGCACCTGAATGACCTCTGCTCTGCCTATTCCTTTTCCAGTTAGCTTCCATATTTTTGATAAAGACTTTTCATCTGGTTATTCAGTGTTGTCTTATTCCTTTACCCTTTAACCATGTGCCCCCACCCACAGCTGCATGCTGACACACCTTTGTATAGCCAGGGCCTGCTCCGGGCTGAAGCGGATCCCTGTGCGGGGATGCAGCAGAGAGGGTCCGGGCACCGACACCTGCAGCTTCTTCATCGCCATGCAGAGTCCACTGACCAGCATGCTGCCTCCAGCCAGGATGGCTGCTCCAGTGAGGCAGAAACCATAATCAGGATCAGTCTGATTGATACTGAGATCATCATTATTAAATATGACAACTTATTTATCTGGCAGCTTCTGTATCATGTGACTTTACTGCACTCAAAAACTTAACCAATGAAACTCTTTTAAATTTTAGAGGATAAAATAAATGACATAAACAGAAAAAAATAATATTTCATTTCCTCCAGCATGTCCGTCAGCCTGTCTGTCCACCATGATTTATACAGCAGCATTATACATAAAATAACCATATGTTAGAGGAGGGACTGTTTACTGCATCAATGCTTTACTCTCAGTGCTCTGACTGAGTCCAGATCAGAACAAACTGAATTACAGACTTTGAGCTGTAGCAGAGACCTGTTCAGGGTCTACTCTGCCAAACCTAATGACAGCTGGGATAGGCTCCACCCTCCTGCTGCCCCAGAGGGTGAAATGGTAGAGATGATAGATGGGTGAAGCTGTAGGAAAGTAATTTAACTTAATTTAAAACAAGATGCTTTGTGTCTGTAGATTGATTGGTTAATATTCTGTTGATACAATCACTACAGTACGGTGGCCGAAAACCGCAACTGCTGCAAATAAAAAGAGTGCAAAACAAAAGAAGCCACAACAGAAGTTACTGATGCAAGAAAAAGAAAAAAGTTACTTACTGAAAAATAAAAGGATGCAAATAAAAAAAGCCACAACGGAAGTGAGCTGCCAGGAACCGATAATAATGGTGCACCAGTGTTTTACGATCTAGGCATGGAAGACGACGGCAAAAAGACAAGCAAAGAAGTAAGTGGAAAGGGTATTGTTTTATTTCGCTTCATATACTTTTCAATGTCATTTGGTTAGCCCATGTAGCGCCTGAGTCGATATGAAGTTGAACTTGAGGATGCCGGTGTAGTATTAGCTTCAGTTCAACTTCATATCGACTTAGGCGCTGCATAGCCTAACCAAATGACACATTGAAAAGTTTATGAAGCGCAATTCAACAATAACCTTTCCACTAACTTCTTTGCTCATCTTTGTGCCGTCGTCTTCCATGCCTGGATCGTAAAACATCGGTGCATCATCATTATCGGTCCCTGGCAGCTCACTTCCGTTGTGGCTTTTTTTATTTTCATCCTTTTATTTTCACAGAGAGTAACTTTGTTTTTTCCATCGCCCCCTTTTTTTTGCGTTGTTCACTTCCATTGTGTTTTTTTTTACCTGCTTGTTTCTTTTTTAGTTGCAGCGTGCTTCGGTCTTTTTTTTTTTTTGCATTGGTAACTTCTGTTGACTTCTTTTTTCTTTTTTTTTTTTACATTCTTTTTTTATTTGCAGCAGTGGTGGTTCTCGGCCACCATACTATAGTATTTGATAATTCCGTACTTCATACACTTTTTCGCTGACTACTTTTACACTGTCCACGGACTAACAGGAGCAGGATCCACTAACATGCACACCTGACTCCTGGCCTCCTGGCCCCTGCTCCTCTCCCTGCTCTCCTCTCCTGTAGCTGTAAAGTGGGTTAAACCATAAATCAAACCCGATTAATCGCCCCACCTTACCGATCAGTTCCAGGAACAGCGAGACTCCAAACACGGAGGGGAAATGGAAATGCAGGCCGATGAACATGGCGGTGGCGCCCCCCACAGTCAGCAGGATGCCCACACAGATCAGCAGACTCTGGGGGGGCGACGGCATCTCAGGGGGGGAAGGGGTAGACTTCGTTCTCCAACAGCTGATGAGTCTTCCTACAGGGTCTACGGGGGGTGCGGGGGGGTGTCAGAGAACAGCCACTTCAACATGGAGTGTGCATGTGTGCGCGTGCATGTTTGAAGGTATGTTTGAGGAGGTAGAGGAGAGACACAGAAGGAAGATAAGAAGAAGAAGAAGAGGTAGGAAAAGTCTGCAGGAGGAAAACAGAAGCTGAAATCATGCATCAGTCCTGGTACCTGGTCTGCGGTGTGTGTCCGTCCACAGGCAGGCTCTGAGTCCATCTCCAACCTCCTCCTCCTCCCCTCTAACTGTGGGCTCCGCTGGACCTGCGGTGAAACTCTCCCCGCCTCTCTGCTGCGTGGATCCCGCGGCTCATGATGAGCTCCCCCGCTGCTTCTCTGCTTCTTCTCCCCGCGGAAGGAGCACATCCGGGTCTGGAGCTACGGAGGGACCGAGGATCAGCAGGATGTGGGCCGGCACTGCGCGGAATACAGCGGCGTGACTGGGATCAGGGTCGTTCGGGGTGAAGGAGTGTTGATCATGAGGATCTCACGGTGGTGAGGATCAGGGGACAGGGATGGACGCGGTTTCTGTCCAGGCTATTTACGCAGAGACAGCTCCGAAAGAGGAGCGTCAGACCGAGCTGAGAGCTGCCTGGCTGGCTTTGGGTCTGGGTTTGGGGTGGAGCTGGACTCTGGAGGATGTCCGCTGGCCCACACCCAGAAGGGGGGCTCTGAGAGGTTTTATATTACGCATCGATTCTGAATAAAGTTGAGAGGAGGCTGGATGATGTGGATTTACTCAGAGTCAGGAGCTTTCCTCTGTCACAAATCTGCGTGTGAAGCTCCGTTTGACTTTTTTAACACTCTCAGACTCTGACCTGCTGCTGCCAGTTACCTCTCCTCCAACCATCGAGATTTCATCTATAACATGGTCAACCTTATGAACAGATGAGACTATTCATCAGCTGTGCTCAAAATTCTGTATCCAAAGACTCAGAGCAGATTAACCTGGTCTTTTTAACATTCAGAGCAGACTGATAGATAAAACTGACTTTCCAACATTCAAGTAGGCTTATATGTTACTATTAAACACTCTATAACATCCATTATTAGGTCATAAACGCCCTGTGTGTCTATTATATCTCTGCTGTCTCTGTTGCTCCTCTTGAGACAGTCTCGTGGTTGGACTCTGGTTTGGTTCCTGTCACAGATGCAATCATGGGTTTAACTTGGTCCTGGCTGAACAGCTGCTCCCTCGAGGCACCAAAATCTAGACATCCAGACCCTCACTCTCAGTTTTAGTCTTGTCTCTGTCTTATTTTGATTAGGGATGCACAATCCACTTTTTTCACCTCTGATACCTATACAGATATCTACACTTCAGTATCGGCCGATACCGATCCAATTCCGATAGAGAGAGCCGTGCTGAATTACCTTTTGTTGTAACATGAAGTTTAACCACTGCCCCGCAGAACATTTACTGCGCAGGTATTGCAAACGGCGGTCAAACTTGTACGCTGAGGTATTGTGATAAAGTTCAAGATAGCAGACCCCTCTACTCGCTCCATTTTGAAAACAATGTGGGGGTGTTTACTTGTGGATGCCAATCACGGCGCATAGTATAGAGTTAGACTGAATAGATCGGCCCCCAATGCCTCCGGCCAATTGTCACGATACCCGATGTAGAATTTTCTTCAGCAACGATACCCATACCGATATTAGATATCAGATTGGTGTGTCCCTAATTTTGATTCTTATTTTGTCTGGGGAGATCTTGATCTCTTGCTTCCTTGTGTCTCGCGCTGAGTTAATTCTGAGGTAACCAGTAACAGGGTCATGGATGGATGAGGCTCGTTGAAGACCAGCCTGTGTGATTTGATCCAGCACAGGAGCTCCTGGAGAACAGACTGCTAAAAGAGCTCAAATAGAAAGAGTTTGAGCATTCAGAGCATCAGTCTACTGACCATCAGGAGGTCCATGCAGACACTCTCCCACCTTCCCTGACACAAATTCAACCAGAGAGACAGAAAGCCTTAAAATGAAGGTTATTGGTGAAGTAAATAAAAACACATGAACCATCCAAACCTTCCATGCTGACATTTAAGAAAGAAAGTGATGATAAAGGACTGAGAACAGATCATCAGAAAATGTAAATGATTTTATTTCAAGCACATTTGAAATGTTGGGTATTTTAAGGTTTCTGAGCTTCATCCAGGGCTCTTTCTCGTGTCTATACCAGTCACTATTATTTTCAACATTTTAAGATATTTCTCCCATCAAACCAAAAAATTTGATGGCAGTATCAGTTTTCTCTTGTTGCCCCAGTTCTTCTGTTAGAAATTGTCTTTACAAGACCGTGCTTGACTTTTCTCCTGAATCTCAGCAGCAATGAGGACATGTACCAGCGAAAGATGATTCTTAAAATGCATCAACATTAAACTCAGAAACACATAAAATAACTTTGCATCTGTTTACATGTATTTTAATTAGCCAAATAAGCATCAGCTCTGGCCTGATCCTTTTACAGAGAGCATTTCTGCCAAGGGTCCCGTCTTGGTATTTCATACGGCAGTTTTTAGCCCCAAAGCCGCGGTGGAAAAACTCAAACGGTCAGATAAGCCCTTGTTTACATGACTATGTTTATATGAGCCACAAAAATGTTCCTCGGGCCTGATTCCCCTGCAGTGAGTCATCAGAATCATAATTCACAGTAACTGTGCAGCTCTGCTCAGGAAACTCCATATCACTGCACTTTATGGTCAACAAACAAAAGACAAGCATGCCTTGAGGAAACCACAGCAGACCATCAAACCTGCAGTTAACTGAGGATCCACTAGAAGCCTACTTGGAGTGATTTGGTCCCCATAGAGCCCCGTGTTAAAATGTCCAATTGTACAGCAAGAAAACCATTAACAGCAGAGAAAAACTGTTAACAGCAGAATTTACGTTAGAAATAAACACATTTACAGCAGAAATAAACATGTTTACATTAGACATGCCTGTTAACAGCAGAAATCAACATGTCAATGTGTCTGTCTGCATGTTAGTTTAACTACAGACTGTATATACTATGGACAACTTGGTTCCCCCTTCTGCTGTTATACGAATTTGAAGCTGAATTGCTCTCAGTATTTCCAGGATTTTCTCCACTTCTTGGAACCACCAGTTCGGCAGTAGCATTGTACGCATTCAGCAGGAGGGTCACTGTGATGACACTCTGTTCGCAATCTTCCTACACCCATAGACTGTATCAAGTGTCAATCATAGAAAACATGAACCCCCTAATAACTTTTGAAAACGGAGCTGTACAGAAAAAAGAGGACTTGGGCACAAACTAGTCTTACAGTAACTACATGTCAACATCGCAACCAGGGGGGAGAAAAATCTATATTCTGTGTAATGAATTTCTAAAGTTTGTCCACAGCTCCATAAGGATTGCTGGAGGAGGCGGGATTAATGACCTATACTGCAGCCGTCACCAGAGGGTGCTGTTCTTGCAGTGGCTTGACTCAACGAGGAAGCAGACGACGTCCATTCTATATACAGTCTATGGGTTTAACTCTCAGCCACATTTTAACTCTATAATATCTAAATGCTAGCACTTGTTAGCAGCTAGCTGTGTATGTGCTTAGCATACCTGAACGCGGCCATCAATAAGCTCACCTGTAAAATAAACATGTGGCTTTACAACTAAAAAAAAATATTTGCCCAAATATGATATCTGACTCCAATAACAAATGAACAAACAAACAAAAAATGCTAAAAGAGAAAAAAGAAATAATGACAAATAAATAACAATGATGGATTAATCAGGATTTTGTTTATTGTTTTTGGATTGTTGTTTCTGGTTCGTTGTGTTTGGAACCTTGTTTTTTGTGGTTTTGTTTTACTGATTGTTGTTTTTGAGACACTATTTTCTTGGATTGATACTTTTGGATTATTTAACCTTTACTCTTGGTTTTTGTGTCGTTATTTGAGGTCATTGCTTGTGCAACAATGTTTTGGGGTTGTTGATTTTGGGTTGTCGGATCTTTACCTTTTGTTTTTGGATTGTTGTTTTTTTTTTTTGCATCATCATCTTTGGATTGTTCAATCTTTACTCTGACTTTAGATGAAACAGTCTAGACATTGAGAGTCAGGCTAGCTTCACCCTCTGTATTCCCTCTTTGTGCTGAGTTAACCATTTTATGTAGTAAACAGTCACAGCAGTGGTGTTAAAAACAAGTTTTCCACCTTACACTTTGCCTCTCTCTTTGTGCACAGGTAAAGTGTCTTTGTGCTGAGTATACCTCTGGTAAGGCTGATTGTAGGTCCATCTTTAGTTTTTATTGTGTTGATAAGATATTTTTATACGAACAGACAGAAACATGCGGCAGCACTCTTTAGACATCAGGATCACACATGCTTCCAGTCTTTGATAAAGTTTATGTCCAAGGGCAGTAACTGAGCAGGAGGGCATCCACACACTCACACCTCAAAGCTGATCTCTCTGGACTGTGCAAATAAAGGCTCTGTGGCCAGGTGAGTGTCTGAATATGCACGCCGCAGGTGAGTAGAGCTACAGGTGGTTTTGATGGCGACTTCATAGGGAGGAGGGGGCTCCAGCCACGGGGGTGGGTGTGGAGGTGGACTGAAACCAACAGGCTCCATAGGAGGGTAGTCAAACTCATCACCACGAGTTCCATGACGATGGCGTTCCATTGTCCTGAAGAAAACAGGGACAGGTAGAAGTCATGTTGCTCAAACTTTATGATCTTTACGGTAAAAAGAGGCTAGCAGAAAATCATGATGCACACACTTTGTGATCTTTAAAAACTGTTGCAGGTAATAACCATGTCTTGTATCTGAGCAGCTTCAGGTTTTGTCAGGCTTCCTCTCAGGCAACTTAGTGTGGCACACTCACTGTACCATTCAGCCCTCTGCTCTTTACCGAAAACAAAACCAGCAGAAAGGAGAAATCTGATCTGATTCAGTTTAAACCTAGCACCTGTAAAAGCCAAAGGGAATGCTCCTAGAAAACTGTTGCAGACATGATGACCATACATTACCATATATTTGTCCCTCTTTGTGATATTAGGAGTACCTCAATTTTGACAGACTTTCAAAACAGTAAAACAATTTATTATTTTTTTTTTTTTAATTTTTTTATCAATTTAATTTTTATTACTGGAGCTGAATCACCTGTTTTACTAAGACCACAAAAACAACAGACCAATAGTTCACCATTTAAAACTATAGGTCAACACTTTGATTGACAGTGCTGGTTACCAGGCAACAGTTAGCAGCCAGATTCACATGCCCACATATCCTCTAACATCTATCTGAGAGGTGAACTAACCTCTTTATCCCATTTATCGGACCAGGCTAACTGTTTCCTGTTTGTGTGCTAAACTAAGCTAAGCTAACAGGCTGTGTGATTTTCTTTTATTTTAATGTTTATCATCCATACCAGGAAAAGACAAATCAGCAGTTTGAAAGACAAAAAAACTGGTAACACTTTACAATAACCATAATTTATAAATGGTAAATAAATAGTTTATTTGTGTAAGTTAATAGTTACTTTACCAGCATCAAGCAATGAAATTATGATTAATAATCTTCATTTATTATTAATGGTCTATTTATTTAAGGTTTATATAAGATTTAAATATTGGTTGTAAAACATCCAGATTAAATTGTGTGTCAGTAGCACTTTGTGAATGATTAATAAGTGGTTTATAAACCACCTTTAAACATTACTTAGATGGTTATTGTAAAGTTGGGGTTAGGGTAAGGGTTAGGTTTTTAAAATTGTAAAATTTACAATTTATTAATGGTCTATATGCAATTTATAAATGATTATTAAACATTTATAAACTATCTGCTTCCCATTTATAAATGGTTTATTTACCATTTATAAGTTATGGTTATTGTAAAGTGTTACCAAAAAACTTCTTAAAATATTAACCTGCCATATTCAATTCACTGTTTGTGCCTATTGGTACTCTAGTTTTGATATAGCACATATTCATGTATCAATATTAATTCACTATGTGTTAATATCTGTAGTCAGAAAACTTCGATCCTGTCTCTTTGGACAGTTATTAAAACCATGCTTTAGTCAGGACAAAGCTCTGCCAGCAGAGGGCGATATTACCCTTCATGTGCTCTCCTTCAAATCCAGAAAAAGAACCAATTTCATAGAAATGGAGAAAAAGACTTCTTAAATGTATCATCGAAACTGGCTTCTAACTGGTTTCCTTAGAGGTTGTATAATGTAGAGTGATTCCTAAAGAGATTGTAAAATGTAAGTCTTTCCAGAGGGTTTTAAGATGTTAACTGGTTTTCCCTTCACTGGGTACTTAAGCTAAATCTCCAGGTTGATCTTGATCATTGAACTTCAATCTTACTGGTTTTTCCACTGACAGAAACATGCAGAGGGATGTAAGCTCTGGTTGTTTTTTTACCCACCTGGGCAGGAACACAGACTGGGACTCTGGGAAGCGCCCTCCTGGCGGGGTGAAGAGCGCATGGCCCCCAAAGTTGGGGTAGTCATTGTAGGGGTAGTGTGGGCAGTCTGGGTCGAAGTCCCGGTGGTTGTAGTTGGAGACACTCTTGCTGTTCATGGCCCAGAAGAGCCCCAGGATGAGCATGACCACCCCCAGCACCACGCAGCAGAGGGAGAAGGCCTGCAGCCTGCTCTGGTACGAGGCCAGGAAGGCTGTGGACCCCCCGGTAACGATGAGGAAGGCTCCGACAAAGATGGCTCCATGGTGCAGGGATGGCATCCTCCTCAGGGACTCAGGGCGAGGTTACTGTGTCGGCTGGTTGGTTTCTGTCAAACCGTCCTCCATTCACCCTGAGGAGGAGCAGATGCCCAAAAGCTGATAGAAAAAGAGTCCATTAAACCTGGATTCAACCTGATGTCTGAATATTTGTATCTCTTTATAACCTGAAGGCTGGATCTCACTCATCCTTTATCATATTTTCATTTAGGACTAAAAAAACTGGCCAAACATGAACTCCAAGTAACAGTCCTCCTCCTGTGGATCTTCAGCTGTCAGAGACAAAGTTCAAATAAAGATTGAACAGAAAATAAGAGAAATAAACCAGTCCAGGCGTCGACAGGCTTAATGTGGACAAGCAGTGCTCCTCATCAGGGCAGATGGACGACAGGAAAAAGAGCCCATTAAGAAATCTTTACTGGAGCCCCACCCTCCCAGTCTAATGTGTCTGAGGGCTCCACTTTAGCCCTGTGTGTGTGTGTGTGTGTGTGTGTGTGTGTGTGTGTGTGTGTGTGTGTGTGTGTGTGTGTGTGTGTGTGTGTGTGTGTGTGAGAGAGAGAGCGAGAGAGAGAGAGAGAGAGAGAGAGAGAGAGAGAAAGAGAGAGAGAGATCAGCTCCTCTACACACTAATGGACAAACAGGACATAAAAACAAACCCCAACAAAAAACAGCTTGAAGATCCTGAACCAGCGAAAGTCACTTTAGAAGAAAACCTGATCTAGCTGGTCCTTACTTATGTTTAAATCACTAATCTAAGTATATACAATATTTTAAAATCTGTATGTAAATTCAACATGATATGATCAACATATTAAATTATGTTTAAATCAGCATTTAAAGCCCACAGCTTAAGATCATTTTGTTTAAATTGTCATTTAAAAAACCAGCATATTTATAGAAATATGTTTTAAACATGTTAAACTGAGTATGTAACAATCAATGTGTAAAACCAACATGTTAAATTTAAAGTGTTAAAATCGAGTGGTTTTTAATTAACCTTTTTTATGGGCTGTAATCGGCTTTTAAAGGGTTAGCTAGTTAGTTAGTAGGGGAGAGTGGGGTAAGTTGAGCCACCCCCTGTTGCTTGGAAATGGTAAAAGAAATTGATCATGTGACCAAATATTTAGGAGATGGGCATCAATTCATGGAGTCTGTGAAAGTTAGAAGCACATGGGTGAAGAGGTTAGACATTTATTTACAAAAATCAACATTTTTCACTCTTGAAAGTGAATTTAGTCCATAGGTTTTATTAGAATTGTGTTCAGACCAAAAAAGATAATTTTAAATTTGTTTTATCCATCAATTGTGGTATCTATGAGCTACAACATGAGGTCAAAAACCTAACATAAAAGTCCACCATTTTAACTAAGAGGACTGATAAAGTCATAATTGTAGTTCTGGGGTAAGTTGAGTCAGTGGCTCAACTGAGAAAGTAAAGGAGTCTGATGAGAGGATCAGAGTTTCAGTTCAGATTGTTGAAATGTTTTACTTTGTCTTTTCATGAAAGAAAGGGATATAGCTCAACTTACCCCATACACAGGGTAAGTTGACCACAGGATGACACTTTCTTTGTCATGTTATATTATCAAGACAATTATGTTTACTGTGAAATTGTTGGTTTGCAGGGATGCACAACATCTTAACTTATATACAGATACACTAGTTAGAGACAAAACTATGATTGCCTTGATGTAGTGATCTGAAATATGAAAAATGGCTCATCTTACCCCACTCTCCCTAAAACAATTTCTGTAAAAAAAATAAACTCAAACTGAACAACCATATGAAGAACAATTTTATTCAAAGTTAATAATCTAACAATTTAAACTATCAAACATCAGGGTTTATAAACACAAATAAAAAATGATCTTACAGGTAAGATAAAACTGTGTCTAAAGTCCTGTGAGTTGCTGCTGGTTTCTGTTCTAAGCTGAGATTTTCAAGGTTCTGCAGGTTTTCATCAAACTGGAGACAGAAATAATTAATGAAAATCACACAGCTTGCAGCTAAAATCAAGATTGTTTTAACTGCTGAAATAACGTTAGAAGATTTTTATTAACTTCACAGTTTCTCCTCTTATATGTCAGCAAACAAAGTCAGGGTGTGAGGTAAAAAGTTTAACGTCCTCCTCAGCTGGTCTCCAATCAGTGTCAGGGTTTAGGATCTAGGAGCAGCCAGAAACTGATCCATCGGGACAGGCTGCATGGTGTGACAACCTCTCTGCCCTCGGATTGGTGTAGACTTTGAGAGACTACGGCGCTCTGTCCCCCGTCTTACCAATGAGGATGTAGCTTTATAGTACTTTCCCACCTCTCTTCAGTTTCAACCAATCAGTGTACGGGATTGGAGGATCCACCCACTTCTGCCATGAAGAGGTGATCAGGAGCCAAATGATCGATAGATCAGCCACATGGCCCTCCTGTGGTCAGTCCAGGTGTAACTGAGAGTCCGCGAAGACTTGCAGATCCGGACCCGGTGTGAGCAGAGACAGTCGAGGTGAGACAGAGAGTCCACAAAGACCTGCAGATCCGGACCCAGCGAGTTTGTGACCATGGGCCCGCTCGTGTACCTGTCCGGTGCGCTGGTTCTGGTCCTGCTCTGGATCAGAGCCAAAGGTCTAGACTACGTGCTGGTCCATCAGAGGTGGATCTTCGTCTGTCTCTTCCTGCTCCCCCTTTCCGTCCTATTTGACGTCTATTATTACCTGCGCGCGTGGATCATCTTCAAGATGTGTTCCGCGCCCAGACTGCACGACCAGCGCGTGCGCGACATCCAGCGACAGGTGAGCCCCAACATCACCTGTGTGCGTCCGCGTGAACACAAGCGCATGTAAAAGTATGTGTGTGCAATGTTTGCGTTGCCTTTAATGGGCACAGATCACAGTAGAGACGACCAGAGACTTTCAAAATAAAAGACTGTGATTTTCAGCGTAAAGTGAGGGTGTTTTCTGTGACAGTGTAGTTATGTGACAGTGTTTAAGTGTGACGGTGTATCCTGTGACAGTGTAGTTGTGAGACTGTGTTTTCTCTGACAGTGTAGTTGTATGTGACAGTGTTTTAGTGTGACAGTGTATCCTGTGACAGTGTAGTTATATATGACTTTGTTTTGTTGTGAAGGTGTATCCTGTGACAGTGTAGCTATGTGACATGTTTTCTGTGACAGTTTAAATGCCAATGAGTTTATGTGAGGATGTTTCAGTGTGACACTGTAGTTTGGTGACAGTGTAGCCATGACTAAATTTTAGTGTGACAGACTGTGACAGTGTTTTCTATGACAGTCTATGTGATGGTGTTTTTGTGTAATGGTTTTGTATTCGACAGTTGTTCTGCTACAGTGTATTTACGTGATGTTGTTTACATATAAGGGTGTTTTAAGTGTATTTGTGAGACATTTTGATTTTGTGAGAGTGTTTTCTGTTATGGTGTTTAATACAGAGGTGTTTTAATTCGACATTGTTAGGTCCGGAGCCAGCAACAGTACTCAGGATGATTTTTGCTTTATTTTTTTTTTTGCACAGTTTTCCATTATTTAAATGGAACAACTGTTGTACACAAGCAGTGTACAGAAACAATTCAGGCTGTGTGATGGTAAACTAGCAGGACGAACACTGTGCTGAGAAGTTATGAGTCTGTCCATGTTAAATGATGTGATCTTGTTCTCTATGGAAGATAGGACTATGTGTGTGGTTTCCCTCTCAGCCAATCAACCTGTAACTTCTTTGAAAAGATAAAGGAAGTTAATGCTGAAAAGGTGTCTGTGATGTTGTATTTAAATCAGTGTTTTTCTGGGAAAGTTTATAGTTTCTGTGATGGTGTTTTCATGTTACAGTGTTTCCATGATGGTAGATTTGTGTATTATCTGAGAACTAGATAAACTCCAGGAGGAAAACCTGAATGAAAACCTGAGTTATAAAATTGAGTTGGAGTTGTTGTTTTGTTTGGTGTCTGTCTGTGCTTGTGTGTTTTTTATGAAGTTCACCAGTTGAAGTTCAGAGGACATTGTGATAAAAGACTGTGATTATCAGTTATTACATAAGGGTTTGCACCTGTTCACCTCACTTCACTTCACTCAACTAGATATGAAAAAAATCTTTCTCATAAATCAAACTGACATTTTATTCAAAAATTAAAGTAAATTAAGCAAATAAATGAAGCACAGGTAAATAAAACACAGGTGAAAAATACACAGGTACCTGAAATACAGGTACACCTATGAAACGGCACAGGGCCTCCATGGTGTCCCCTGTCTTCAACACTCAGACAGAATGAGAAAGGAAGCAGGTGGACACACAGGTGTGCCGTCTCTCCCTGGGGTTATTGCTCACTGTGAGTTCTGTATTCAGGTGCGTGAGTGGAGGAGGGACGGCTGTAAGACCTTCATGTGTACAGGTCGACCTGGCTGGCTCACCGTGTCCCTCAGAGTGGGCAAGTACAAAAAAACCCACAAAAACATCCTAATCAACATGATGGACATTCTGGATGTGGACACACAACGACAGGTAGGACCGTCACACACCCCCGCACACACACATATACACAGTATGGCCCCAGTTTTACAGAGGTACTGGAGACAAAGACAGGTTGATAATTGAAAAGAAAAAAAAACAAGGATAAAAACCTTACTGCCAATCATAGAAGCCACTATCTGAAGCAGGGAGGGAAACAGGCAGATGATCACAATTATACATCCAGGGATACGCCCTTTGAGCAACATTTAAAGTCATCTCAGATTTCAATCAATTCTGACCACCATTTGGATCACTGTCATTATACAAGTACAGAATATTATATGTATTTTTAGGTATATTTTCAGGTATTATTTAGGTATTTGTTACTATTTTCTGTTCTATTTTACATAAAATGTTAGACCTTAACACACTGCCCCTGCCACTGAAATATATTTTCATTGGAATTCATCACATGCAATCATTTGACTTTACCAATTTGAGTTTCATCTTATTTTTATTTTAGTTTTTTACTATCTATGTTTAGGTTGTAATGGAATGTCACTCAGGTGCATGATTGAAAATAATATAGTACCGTAATTTGCCATTCTAATACAGTATTTGCCATTGAAAAACGCTTTTTATGTGGCAGGCTGGCTGTCAATCATCTGGTGTGATCCGACACCCTCTCTGTGTTTTTAGGCGTTAATAATAATAACTAAGTAATTACAAAACTTGGATCAGCTGTTTTTGTTGTTGTTTTGTTTTGTTTTGTTTTTTTTAATTCAGCCTGTTTGTCTATCTTTGCTGACCCTGGGCTTTTTTTCTGTAGGTGGTGAGAGTCGAGCCACTAGCAAACATGGGTCAGGTGACAGCTCTCTTGAACTCTATTGGCTGGACTCTTCCAGTGCTGCCTGAGTTGGATGACCTCACAGTGGGTGAGTTTTACAGGAGACCAGGATAGATCAACCCATCACTCAGTGTTAGAGAGGAGATCCTCCATCAGTCAGTGTTAGAGAGGAGATCCTCCATCACTCAGTGTTAGAGAGGAGATCCTCCATCACTCAGTGTTAGAGAGGAGATCCTCCATCACTCAGTGTTGAAGAAGAGATCTTGATAGCATTCAGGATGGTATGTATGATGGTGGCCCTCCCTCAGTCAGTGTTTTCTGCCCTGAGCCTCAGTCTCTGCTGGGATGGTGTTCAGTATATTAGAGGCCTGATATTGTTGCACAGATGAATCTGGGAGGAAACGGCTGCAGTGCTGGAAGCTTTCCAGGATCAGGTTTCATAATGGATTTCCTGATGCCATAAACTCACATCAACACTCTAATGTTTTCCCATCAGGCCGCATTCATTCATTTATCCTGATGTCCAAGCAGACAAACACACTCATCACAGCAGCAGAAACTGCTTCCTGCTCTGTGTTCATCCATGCTGTTGTCAGCTGGACAGATATCCAGTTAAAAACCAATTTGTCAGAGAAAAACCATCACCAAGATTTTTTTTTTACCTGAATCTTTAAGTGAAAATCCTCAGTATGAAATGTTTTCTGTTTTCCTCTCTCAGGTGGGCTGGTGATGGGAACAGGCATTGAGTCCTCCTCTCATATTTACGGGCTGTTTCAGCACATCTGTGTGGCCTACGAGCTGGTTCTTGCTGATGGGAGCTTAGTGCGCTGCTCTGAGGTCAGTAAAGTTTCTGAGGCAACCTATCCAACCAGAGACCTCCACCCTTACCTCCATCCAAACTCTAATTCCATACCCAAACCTCCTCTGACTCTGACTGAATACACTGTTTTTCTACTCTCTGCTCCATCAGATCTTGACTTCATGCTCCATCTCGTATTTGTACAGCTCTCTGCTGGTATCTGACAGATTCTGTGTCTCTGACCTCAGCTTTTCTTTCTTTTGATCTTTCTCCTGACTTATCTCCTGATCTTTCTCCTGACCTTTCTGCTGACTTTTCTCTGTTCATTTGTTTCCTTTTCTGTCAAACACTTAGCAACTGATGACAGATTAACGGGACTTCTTTCCGTGGATTGTTATGCTAACAGTCAGCTTTCCGCAGCCTGTGATTGAAGCTGTATCCATAGCAACAGCTGCTGTTGAAGAATAGCTGTCTGTTGATAGGGAGTATTCACCAATCAGAGGTGTGTCAAAGAAAGTAAAATGACTTCCTTCTCTCATCAGCTGTCCCTGATAACTGGAGGAGTTTCTTACCAGAATAACAAGAGTGCAATATTTTATTTTGGTTTTAAGCTCCCTTGGTTTTTACAGTAAAATGTTGTGTTTCATGGAGGATGCTGAAGGTCTTGTTGACAATTATTTATAAAAAGAACACTAACTACAGCCTGACCTTGCAGACTATGAAGGCTCCAACCTTCATACATTTGTTTGTAAACATAAGATGAATTGCTCTGTCTCACAGGAGGAAAACTCTGACCTGTTCCACGCTGTCCCGTGGTCCTGTGGAACTCTGGGGTTCCTGGTGGCAGCTGAGATTAAAATCGTCCCAGCTAAATCCTGGGTGAAGCTGCGCTATGAGCCGGTTCAAGGACTGGAGAACATCTGCAAACGCTTCACTGAGGCATCACAGAACAAGCAAAACATGTTTGTTGAAGGTCTTCAGTACAGTCTGGACTCTGCAGTCATCATGACTGGAACCATGACGGACCACGCAGAGCCTGACAAGGTAAGAGGGGGAAGTAAAAGGGTGATGTCTCCTGTTGGTGAGTAAGTATCACTCCAGCATAGAATTCAGGAATAAATGTTTGCTAAACACCACTCAAACAGCAGAAATAAATGGCAATCATATGCCTGAGGCCTGAAGGAAAGAGCAGAACGTGAAAGTTACATTTCTAAAATACAGTTTCTAATGTAAAAGTTTTGTAATGTATGGGTTTCCTATATACAGTCTCTAATGTAAAGGTCTCTAAGGTACAGTTTCTAAAATGAAGGTTTTATAATATAATGTACATGTTTATGTACAGTTTCTATTGTAAAGGTTTTAGTTTACAGTTTCTAATGGAAAGGTTCCGCATATACAGTTTCTAATGTAAAGGATTTTAGAATAAAGTTCCTTATATACAATTAATTTACAGTTTCTTATATAAAGTTTCCAGATGTAAAGGTGTCTAATACATGTTTTTTAATGTAAAGATAAAGCGTTATTGCCCCTGGGGAGAATTTGGCTGACACAGTCATTGGTATACAGAGTAAACAACAAAGATGAGAGAACACAGCCCCAGTGTGAGTTTTGTAGCATCCATTTCTTATTTGTGTTAACAAACTGTCGTATGTCAGTAAGAAATATAAATCCATTTAATGAGTACAAGATTGACTTCCATACTGCCCAACTTATAGATCTGCTCTGATGGTAGAGAGGTGAAGGCAGATAGGAAATATGCGGTTGGTAATACAAAGATTTTTAATGAACACTTTCTGAAGTGAAGTGAATCTGACGGTTTTTAAGTTTGAGGAAAGGTGTAGAATTTCAAAGTTAGTGGTATGTAACGGTTTCTGATGGTTATGTAGAGGTTATGTAGAAGTTTTTAATGTAAAGAAAAGAAAAGAAAATTGTTGTTGTGAAATGAAGTAAAAAAAAAAAAAATTTTTTTTGTTGAAATTAATACATCTTTTAAATTAAGATTTTATGATAATTATTGTTATTTTATTATTACTGTGAAGTACAGTAAATGTATTTGTTATTGATATCTGTTGTCCAATCAGATCAACAGGATCGGCCTGCACTTTAAACCCTGGTTCTTCAAACATGTGGAGACTTACCTGACAGGTAACTGCACTGGAGTGGAATACATCCCCCTGAGACATTACTACCACCGACACACACGCAGCATCTTCTGGGAGCTCCAGGTACATACGCACACACACACACACACACACATCATTTTAGCCATTAGTGAGGAGGCTCAGTTTCCTCTGTATGGTGCAGCAGTAAATGGTGTCATGAATAATGAATGATCTTGGTTTGACAAAAGTCTGCAGAGCCTCCCAGTGCAGCGCTCTGCACAGGGAGGCTGCAGGCTTTTATTCTTTAGCCAAGCAAACAGAAAACATGATAGAGAAAGAGAGAGGGAGGAAAAGACAGTCAAAAAGAGACAGAGAGAGGCCACTGTTGCGTTGGCCATGATCATTGTGGTTTGTGCTGCCCTCTAGTGGATTGTTAGAGAATCATTCATGTGCTAAAACTGATTTTTAAAGGTGCAATAAGTAGTTCTGACATCTAGCATTTAAAATGAGTGCTGTAGTCCGCATTCAAAACATTGGCGAGAGATGAATGATGTATCCAATGTGAAGCACTTTGAGGGTCTCTGATGAAGTGCTATATGAAATCTGATGCATTATTATTACATTTGAACACATCATGAAAACGTATTATTTACTTTAGCCTATTTCTCCTTTTACTGACCCCAACTTCAGTGCCTTACAATATAATCAGTCACCTTGTTAGTTAGCTAACAAGGTGCTAGTCAGCTAATTAGCAAAGCTAGCTAGCTAACTAGCTTTTATCCTGCCGATTTCAAGCTGAGCTGTTACCTCTCTCACTTTTTCAAAAGCATCTCCAATAGTTCTCCTTGTTTTGTTATATTTCTCGTCAATGGAGCCCTTTAGAGGCTCAAACAACTGCTGGTTTGCCCTGATAACTTGTCTCATCCTGGGCACCTTAAACAGTGGGGGGGCCTTGAAACCACAGGCCAAAACAAAAATGCATCTCTCCTGAATGGAGGAAGGTATGCTGGCTGCTGTATTATCAGAGAAGCCAGTATTTCATCATAGCATATTTCAGTAATGCCTGGTGATTTATTAATGTGGTTTTATTATGAACTTAATTAAATATTCTAAATATTGCACCTTTAACCGCATGAGAAAATTACACAAAATAAAAGAAAGGATGAAAAAGATGGATGTATGATTGATGAATGAATGGATGGATGGGTGGATAAGGTAAACTCTTTTTTGTGTTATTATGTGTCACTATGTGTAAAATACTCAGTTTTTTATCTTTTGCTTCCTGAAGGACATCATCCCCTTCGGAAACAACCTGGTGTTTCGTTATCTGTTTGGCTGGATGGTTCCTCCTAAAATCTCTCTGCTTAAGCTGACGCAGGGCGAGACCATCAGACGCCTTTACGAACAGCATCATGTGGTACAGGACATGTTGGTTCCCATGAAGGACCTGCAGGCTGCCATAACACGCTTCCACCTGGACATTCAGGTAAGCTTTGTGCTGACAAACACCTGATAATCATCACAGCACGTTCACCTCAGTCATGTGTGGTGTGGTTCTGTCTCAGGTGTACCCCCTGTGGCTGTGTCCCTTCTTGCTCCCCCCCGGCAGAGGAATGGTCCATCCTAAAGGAGAGGAGGAGGAGCTGTACGTGGACATCGGGGCGTACGGCGAGCCTAAAGTCAAACACTTTGAATGTAAGGCGTCGACGCGTCAGCTGGAGAAGTTTGTCCGAGATGTTCACGGGTCAGTCTGAAAATTCTGTTAATATTTATTCAACCTTATATGTTAAATACAAGATATTTCAGTTTCTTTTAAAAAGGTTATTTTTCTTTTTGTAATTTCTTCTCTCCTTATTGAAATTATTTTAATAAACTTAAAGATTGTTTTGACAATAAGTTGTTTGTTTTATTAACTTTTAAATCATTTGATGTTTTGTATTTAACCTCCAAAAGATAGTGTAAGATATTTTATTTTTACACAAAACATAAGTTTTTCTGATAAATGTTTACTTTGTCTTTTGTGTCTCTTAAGCTTCAGGACAGCTTTGTGCCAAAAAATAACTTTGATTAGAATGTTTTCTTGTTTTCTGTGAAATGTGGTGGTGAAATATATTTGTTTTTATTCTAAAAAGTAATAACAAAGACTTAAAAACCCACTAGACACATCATTCATTATTCTTTACATTCATCTGCAGGTTCCAGATGCTTTACGCAGACGTCTACATGGACAGAGAGGAATTCTGGGAAATGTTTGATGGGCGTCTGTATCACAAACTGAGAGAGGAGCTCAGCTGTAAGGGCGCCTTCCCCGAGGTGTACGACAAAATTTGTAAATCTGCACGACACTGACCTTCACCACCAGAGGGTGCTTTCTACAGAGAAAACCAAGTGCCTGGATGTTTCAACAAAAACAGAAATAAAGAAATACTTGGACATGGAGATTTGTCTCTGAGCCCTCAGAAACAAAATCAATCATTCCAACAGTCGAAAAGAAATTACATTTTGGTAAACAAGACGACTTCAAATCTGTAAGTGACAGTAAGAGGAGAGCGATGAGGCCTTAAAATCACTAAATCTTTGTTCTCACTTCCTTACCGAGATGAAATTACGATAACCATGTATTTTGTGATTTTAAATTAGCTTTTCAAATGAATGGATTTATATTACAAAGATTCCCTAAAAGATTATATTTTTGAGTGTGTGATGGCACAGATTTTACCCCACTGAAAATCTAAATAATGTGATTGGTGTAGAAAAGTGTATGTGAAAATGTATGAGATATATTGGAGTTTTTTGTCTGTCTATATAGCTTTGATTTGTAGCCATAATAATAGGTTTTTATGTATTTAGGTCAGTAGATTGGTTTACAAACTGTCTCATAGAGATCCAGAGACCATGTTTTACACGTCTACAGGCACACGGACCATGGCACCAGGCACCATGACCAAAGTAACATGCTGTTGAGGTGTTACAGACACAGCGTAGACTGTCTGTATGTGGACTGTCCAAACTGGGATTACATTTTTCAGTACATCAAAAGTTTATATAATAAAAGAAGAAGAGACACTGACTGACACCTGCCGGCCAAACAGAACTACACAGTGGCGTGAGAGAGGAAAATCACACTGGCGCCCTCTCAGCTGTCCTTCATGTTTTAGTTGAATAGTTTACTTTCTACACGCCATGCTCTATGCTTCATATGCAGAGTGTAGATCTCCACAAAGCAACTAAAGGCTGGAAACAAGTGGATGATGTCTCAGTCTGAAAAACTGTATTTTAAACATTACTTCCTAACATGAACTTTTAAATACTGTTATTTTTAACCTTAGTTCATGAAGGTATATTATGTATTTTAAAGTTTGAATCAGATTCTCATTTTTGGTTTGTTTGTTTTTGAATTATTCAGTTAATAAAAGCCCAAACTTGTCATGTGGTGTCATTCCAATGTTTCTGCATATAAAATAATGGATATAGAGTTTTTTTTCATAATTATCAATTATTGCTTCTTTCATAGACAGTGTTTCACTTTGCAAAGTCTCTACATTTTTGTATTATTTTCCATCCTCTTCACACAGAGCCAGTCACTGATCCCAAAGCTTTTAAGAAATCTTGCAATTTATAATTCCTCTGAGTCTGTATGACACTGTTTTCTATCTGATTCATTCAAGTTGATATAATTTTTTCTTGCTCTCTATTTTTTTTGTATTGTTCGAAATAATATTGTTTCACCATGTTGTCCCCCCTTTTTTTCATATGCATGAAATTTTATTGTGTACTTTGAGCACTTAGTCAGCCTAGACTTCACAGAGTCCTGAAATTGCTATTAAAATTAAAATTGCGATGGAGATGGACTGGGTGGGAGTTTACCCCGCTTGAGCCTTACCTTGATCTAGCCTAACCCTCAGTTATGAACCAGTGTATCTCATCAGAGAGGTCTGACAGTTAGATGGTTTCGTCAGTCTCTGAAGGTATATCAAAGATGGCATCACAGAAAATGAAGAGCCCATAGACTGTATATATATACGATATAGACTGTATGTATATATATAATCTGGCCTGGTTTGCGTACCTGTTTTTTCTCAATCTGTAAAATAGTTTGTCACTGAGGTCTGATTTGGAGAGAAAAACTTAAGTCACATCAATCAATCAATCTTTATTTATAATCCGCAAATTCACAACAAGTGTGATCCCAAGACCATAGTGACTCAGAGTGTAGACCACACTCTGAGTCACTATGAAGAGAACTTTTTGAGCAGAACCAATCACATGTTAAACAGTCATCTGTTGCCATTTATACACACTGAGCAGCTGATTTCTTGTAAGTGGGTAAGGGGGGGGGGTTCTGGTCACCTAATACAGCCTGTGAGAGCAGTCATATTGAGGGGGGCATCATAATCGTCCATTTCTTTTCAACAGAGCACAGAGACAACAGCTGAAAGAGGTGAGTTTGATTGTAGAATATAAGAACCGCTGAAATGTGAGACTATTAATCCAACATTTTAAAAACTGATTTAGTGCCAGAGAGTTTTCTTTTTGTAAACTTTGTATGAAAGAACCTTAGATTTACTCATCATTTGACAAGAGAGACATTTATACCTTTTTCCCACTTTGTGTGTGTTTGTGTGTCTGACCAGGACCAGGACATGAGTGATTCTGTTACAGAAGAGGACAGAGCAGGTTCTCCTGTGCCCAGCTGTCTCTCTATGAAGACTAGCCGGTCTAAAGATGATCCCCTGAACTTTAGTAAGAACCCTGGGCCCTTCAGACTGACTTGGCATCAGGACATGAGTGATTGTTTAAAAGAAGAGGAGGACAGAGCAGGGTCTCCTGTACCCAGCTGTCTCTCTATGAAGACTAGCCGATCTAAAGATGATCCCCTGAACTTCAGTAAGAAACCTGGGCCCTTCAGACCAACTTGGCATCAGGACATGAGTGATTGTTTAAAAGAAGAGGCAGAAAGAGCAGAGTGTGCTGTGCCCAGCTGTCACTCTACGAAGACAAATCGGTCCAAAGACCCTCCTCCAGATTTGAGCAATGATTCTGGACCTCCAGACACAAAGTAAGACACAGAACTCATTTCACTTTTCTTTGACATTTCTGTGGGCTTGTTTTTGTTTGTGTAAAAGCTACTGTTGCTGTTTTGCTTTCAGCTGTTGATAAAATTAACATCTTTTCTAATTTTAACTCTCAGGACTTTTAATTATTGTTCTCTCTATTAATGGATTATGTAGACATGGGGTAAGTCCAGTGCTCTTTTAATGTCTTGTTTTGTATGTTTTTCTTGTTTGTGAGTTGGATCATTTTGTGAGTGTACAGCTAAGTCTAATATAGTTTTCAACATAGTGTACAAATAAAGTTTATTCGAACAGCAAGCAGAGCCTCTGATACCCAGCAGTCTGTAAATGTAATCACAGATTTATTTGAAAGCTTTAGAAACACAGTATCAAATGTGAAGTGAGACAACTACACAATTTATTTTAGTTTCCTCCAACTGAAACACTTCATATGTTTTTTATGTTTATAAAGTTTTCTATCATATAAGTGCACAAACTTGGCTCTTTTAAAATAATTCATGCTTTTGCTGTATCAAGAATTCATGGCAGCTGTCACTCACTAAAAAAGCTGTGAAATAATCCAAAAAGAAAGTCATACAACCATCACACCTCCCTACTTTTAACAGCAGCAGTTTGACTTCAAATAATAAAATTGAGTCTTTGGAAATGAGGAAATGTAGCTAGTTGCTTGTTTAGTCCACTTTGTGGCACCGTTGAGTTTGTTATCAGCAGGGCCTCTGCAGATGTCAGCAGAAATTATGCTAACTAAGTTAAAGTCGGTAAAGTAAACATGCAGGCACCACCGAAAGAAATAGGGAAGCACCATCCATGTCTAAAATACAAACACAAGCCAGAGTTACCATTTTATCAAAGCTCGGCATCAAAACTCAAAGGAGAGGATTGAGGAGAGAGAAGGGAAATTAGAGAAGAATGAGCAAGGATACAGGATAGCAGCCATTGCATCATCACTATCATCAGCATCATCACAACCAACGCTGCAGTCACCAAAATCATCTTTTGCACCAAATTGCCGAGTGCTGAATTGTTGACAAAGACCTTGGTCAGACAGTGTCTCAGATGTAAAGATTCCTTGGGTAATGGGTGATTTATTCAACACCAGGGGGGCAACAGAGATGAAGAGTCTGGCCGGTGACTTGAGGCTTGATTTTAAAGGTGCCTGTCGCCCTGAATGATGCATTTTCTTTGTTCCTACATATGGCTGGGATCTGTTCAAATCCCATGGTGTGTTCAAATGTGTCCAAGGCAAAAGGAAGAGCAGGCAGTGTCCGTTGGTGCCCTCACTCTTCAAACCCAGCGAGACAGTCTGGGCTTTGAACCTGAACCAGCTCAGTTCAAAGCAGACAAACATGATCTGTCCCTCTGTCTCTATCTGTCTAATAAAGAAAAGACATCATACCCCACCACCCCCTCACTGACCGTGGTGGTTATCTGAGAGCACCCACTGCAGGAAAACTAGGCTAGGATGCAAGAACCCCCCCTTTTTTTGTAACTAAATATAGTTGTTCTCAAATATCTAATGAAAAATATTGAACCTGTCAGCATGATTTTAATATGTATAAAGCACCTGTATATTTGTATGGTAATATTTTGACTATGCTTTTTACTTTGTCTGTACAAATCAACATGGTGGTGGCTACATATTTTCACAAAGGGTCACCTGGCTAAGACCATTTAGTTAAAAAAATTGTGGCATTGGGCTGGAGGCCCTTTATAAAACACAACAGTGATCTATAACAGATGAACAGGAAAAAGCTGTTAATTACTGAAGGTCATACACAAGCAGGAAGGTTTCGGTTAAAGGAACAAATATTTTTAGGCCGGGAGCCAGTTACACCCCACGCACTGTTTTTGCTACCTTTTTTTCACTATTATTTCTTGTTATCATATACCTTGGGCCATAATAAGTTCATACTGACCGCCCCCACCTGACCGCCCCCAACTCGGCCCTGTTTGGCCCCAGGGGCCAAACAGGGCCGAAGTCAAATGATGTAATTGCAAATATTATATTACTATCTGAAGTGAATTACATAAAATGAATAATGGTATGCCCCCTGATGGACCAGGGTATCAAGGTCCAACATTAAACATGATCACACCAAATCCGGGAAACAAATAGGAGATTTATTAAAGAACAAGATCCGGACAAGGAATAAAAATGACTTGTGAACATTAATGTGGAGTGAACACGCTCAGTGCGTAAAAGCTTTCCATTTACGCACGGGGGGAACAGCTGGACCAGCATGAAGGAGGCCGCACGGGGTGTGTGTGAGGGAGAGGGGGTCAAGACCCCTGGCTCCCGGCCTATAATCCAAAAACCAAAGTATTCCAGCAAATTCTAAATCATGTTTGATAAAGTTTGTTAGCATCATCATCAATCATGTATTTAAATCATGTATTTATTAAGACATGTCTTTACAGTGGGAGGTGTCTTGTCTCTGTGGACCAGCAGCCGTCCCCCTGTCCTGAGTGTCAGGACATCCCAATTGATCCAGTCTCTTCCAGCTGTGGGCATTCCTCCTGTTCTCAAAGTGGGCAAACAAACAGGGCAGCACCTGGACCTCAGACATCCAGGCAGACCAGCACTGAACAAAGTAAGACAGCACACACAGTAAGACCGTTCTGTCAACCACTCTGAAACACAACCTGTTAAATGAACAAAGTGACATCTTCATGTGTGAGGTTCATACAGTGGTCTGATATCAAGTTATTTGATGTATCAAACTCCTGTTCTCTGGGATCAGAAAGCCCATAAAGTGACATCATGACATTTCCTAAGCCATTAGGAAGCACTGTAACTGGGCTGAAATATCACTGGACGATTGATGTCAGGCCTTGACCTCATTATAGCTGATGAGTTTGAGGACACGCCACAGCTGGACCCTCTCATTGTTGATTAGGACCCCATGAGATTTTAATCATCCTGGTCTCCTCTACCTGTAAACCTACTTGAGAGCAGATCAGGTGATCTGCCCTCAGACTTTTAAAGGTCTTGGGTAGCTGGAGGTATGTAGCAAAAAATGATCTTTCCAAGCCAAACTGCTGAGGGGCTCCAGTGAGCCAAATAAATAACACTTTTTTCGTCAGTCTCACAATCCTTATACCCTCACTCTAGAACATGATCTCAAGGGACTTGAACTTCTTCGCTTGGTGCAGAGACTCATTTCCTACTCAAAGAGAGCAATCCATCAAGTCCTGACTGAGAGTCATGGCCTCAGATTTAGAGGTACTGATCCCCATCCCAGGCACTTCACACTTGGCAGAAAACAATCTTAGTGCCCACTGGAGATCCCGGCCTGGATATGCCAACAGAACCACATTATCTGCAAAGAGCAGACATGGTATTCTGAAGGCTTCCAAACTGTAGACCCCCTTTCGGCTGTGCCTTGAGATCCAGTCCATGAGAATCACAGACTGAATTGGCGAAAAGGGATTATCTTGGCACAGTTAAAGGAACCAGTCTGCACAGCCAGGGATCTGCAAACCTAGGTCAACTACCTTGAATTTACCTACCTTGAATTTACAACTAACTTGAATACCTACTATTGAATTTCCCTTCAGGGATCAATAAAGTTCTTCTTAAATTGATCATTGCCCAGGCTTCTCAGCACCCACATATCTAAGCCTGTGGGTGCTGAGCTCGCAGGGTGGTAATGCACAGCACTTGATTCTTATTTAGGCTGTATTTAATGTCTTACAATTTTATCATTTATAATTAGATGTTACACTGCAAATCACTACAGTTACTGAACTGAGATAATGTATCTGAAACCAAGGTGGCAAACTTCTCATCACATTCTTCTAAGTGCTCGGAATTGAATTATTTGAAATGTTACCGTGTGTTCTCAACGCACATCATTCTGACTGATGGTAAAATTATCCAGTATGTTGTCTGAGATTTTATGACCTTTTCTGGTATCTTAAAACCAGATTTGGATGAAGGGGCCCAATCTTTCATGTTAAAAGCCCACAAAGATATGAGCTGTCTCCAATGGGGTTAGGAAACTAGAATTTAAGAGAAGCTGTGTGAGTTGCCAGAGGATTGCAGAGTATAAATACTTAAAGATTATCTGATTTCCAACAATAAAGTGACCCAGATTAGTCTTTACTTGCCCGACCTATAAAAAAGTCTCAACCACTCAGGTGCAGGTGGGTCTGCTCTGCTGTCAGTCAAATACAGACACTGTTACAAGCCCCTCTTCTTCATGGTTTCTCTATATCTCTCTAGCTTGACTGACATTTTAAATTTGACTGACACTCACTTGTTTTTTTCTTATTCAAGGTGGTCTGAAGGAGGTTTTATCTGAACATAAGATCAGTCTGAGAAGGAGATGTGAATATGTGACTGAGGGAATTGATGGAGCAGGAAGTAAGACTTGTCTCAACACGATCTACACTGAGCTCTACATCACAGAAGGACTGAGTGAAGAGGTGAATACTCAACATGAGGTGAGACAGCTGGAGACAGCCTTAAAGACGAAGACCCTCCCTGATGCTGTAATCAGATGCCAGGACATCTTTAAAGCCTTACCTGGTCAACAGAAACACATCAGAGTGGTCCTGACGAATGGCGTGGCTGGAGTAGGAAAAACCTTCTCAGTGCAGAAGTTCACTCTGGATTGGGCTGAAGGCTTAGAGAACCAGGACATCAATCTGCTGGTTCTGCTGTCATTCAGGGAGCTGAATTTGGTCAGAGATCATCAGTACAGTCTTCTTAGTCTGCTCCATGTTTTCCATCCAACATTAGAGAAGGTCACAGCAGAGATGCTCGCTGTCTGTAAACTTCTGTTCATCTTTGATGGCCTGGACGAGAGCAGGCTGTCTCTAGATTTCAAAAACACTGGGGTTGTTTCTAACGTCACACAGAGATCATCAATAAACATGTTGTTAACAAACCTCATTAAGGGGAATTTGCTGCCATCCGCTTTCATCTGGATAACTACACGACCCGCGGCAGCCAATCAGATCCCTCTTGTATGTGTGGACAGGGTAACAGAGGTACGAGGCTTCACTGATGCCCAAAAGGAAGTGTACTTCAGGACGAGGCTCAGGAACGAAGACCTGTCCAGCAGAATCATTTTACACATCAAGAAGTCAAGGAGCCTCCACATCATGTGTCTTATCCCTGTCTTCTGCTGGATCTCTGCAACCGTCCTAGGAGACATGATGAGCTCAGAGCAGGGAGGAGAGCTGCCAGAGACCCTGACTGACATGTACTCATGTTTCTTGCTGGTTCAGATAAAGATGAAGAAGCAGAAGTATGGTAAGGGATATCAGACCAGTCCTCAGGAGCTGATGGAGGATGACAGGAAAGTCCTTCTGAAGCTGGGCAAGCTGGCATTTGAACATCTGGAGAAAGGAAACATCATGTTCTACCAAGAAGACCTGGAGCAGTGTGGTCTGGATGTCACAGTGGCCTCAGTCTACTCTGGAGTTTGTACAGAGATCTTCAAAAGAGAAAGTGTGATCTTCCAGAAAACAGTCTACTGCTTTGTTCATTTGAGCATCCAGGAGTTTCTGGCGGCAGTCTACATCTTCTACTGTTTCACAGACGGGAACACAACAGTACTGGAGGGTCTCCTGGGGGGGAAAAATGAAGACTTTACCATGAATTCTCTCCTACATGGAGTATTGCTGAAATCCCTGAGAAGTAAAAATGGCCATCTTGACCTGTTTGTTCGCTTCCTTCATGGACTATCTTTGGAGTCAAATCAGAGACTGTTAGGAGGCCTGCTGGGTCCCATAGACAACAGTCCTGAAAGGATCTCGTTAGTTATTAAAAACCTGAAGGAGATGAAGACCAGAACCTCTCCAGACAGAAACATCAACATTTTCCACTGTCTAACAGAGATGAAGGATGTCTCAGTGCATCAGGAGGTCAAGGAGTTCCTAAAGTCAGGGAAAAGATCACAAAAGAAACTCTCTGTGATCCACTGCTCTGCTCTGGCCCATATGCTGCAGATGTCGGAGGAGACTTTAGATGATTTAGATCTAGAGAAGTACAACACATCAAAGGAGGGACAACGGAGGCTAATTCCAGCTATAAGGAACTGCAGGACAGCAAAGTAAGTCCAGGGCGCACCTTTATCATCTGAATATCTGAATATTTTGATCATGTAGCATTACAGGTATTCAGTTTTTCCAAAGATGACTAGGCCATGGTAAACTTTGGAAACTTCTAACCCAGAAGGTAAACAGAAACTGTCCCTTTTCTTGGAACAAACTTATCTTTGTAACTTTTGTTTTATCACAGACTTTCGAGGTGTGAACTCTGTCAGGCTGACTGGGAAGTAATCGTCTCCGCTCTGAAGTCCAAACTCTCCCCTCTAAGAGAGCTGGACTTGAAAGGAAACAAGCTGCAGACGCTAGGAGTGAAACTGCTGTCTTCTGGACTGGAGAGCCCAAACTGCAGACTACAGACTCTCAGGTATGTTTTGATATTGCTTTAATAGCGATTTTTAAAAAAGCCTCGTTTTTCTCAGTCTGGTGTGATAAAATACCATTATTTCAGCCTGCATATAAAGTAAAAAGCGTCACATTAAATCGTACGTGTGAGCTATACACATATCAGATTCAAGAATAATTTTAATAACTTGTATACACTCTTTATTCAGACTAAGCTACTGCTGTTTGTCGGAGCTCAGCTGTGCTACTCTGACCTCAGCCCTCAAGTCCAACCCCTCTCATCTAAGAGAGCTGGACCTGAGTGAAAACCAAGACCTGCAGGATTCGGGAGTAAAGCTGCTGTCTGGATATCTACAGAGCCCAAACTGCAGACTGCAAACTCTGAGGTTAGACTCTCTTTTAACCCTCTGCTGAGAAATTAAAAAGTTATTTTTACTTTTAGAGTTTAAAACTGCAACACGACAATCCAGCAATAAGATGTAACAAGCCTGCATCCTGCTTTATTCATTTGTAAAGATTTTCCTTTTATTTGGTTTTGATTAACGACCTCAAGGTTTGATCTGAACAATCGGCACTGTGTTGCTTTAATGACAATATCAAACCTTTATAATTGATTGAAATTTTCAGATTATGTGGCTGCAGTTTGTCAGAGATCAGCTGTGCTTCTCTGGCCTCAGCTTTGAAGTCAAACCCCTCCCATCTCAGAGAGCTGGACCTGAGTGACAACCATAAACTGCAGGATTCAGGAGTGAATCAGCTGTCTGAATATCTGCAGAGTCCAAACTGCAGACTACAGACTCTAAAGTAAGAAATCCAACTTTCTCACTGATGTAAAGAATACACTTTTTCTGTTTAATTTTTTGGGCAGGAAAATGTTGAGTTTTTTCAGACACCTAGTTATAGACAAAACCTCCCAATTTAACTTAGATAAAATCATGTTAATGAGAAACAAAGAGTGGGGTAAGTTGAGCCACCCCCTGTTGCTTGGAAAAAGTAAAAGATATTGATCATGTGACCAAATATTTTGGAGATGGGCATCAATTCATGGAGTCTGTGAAGGTTTGAAGCACATGAGTGAACGGGTTAGACATTTATTTACAAAAGAACATTTTTCACTCTTGAAAGTGAATTTAGTCTGTCATAAGTTTTATTAGAATTGTGTTCCGACCAAAAAAGATCATTTTAAATTTGTTTCATACATCAATGGTGGTATCTATGAGCTACAACAGGAGGTCAAAAACCTAACATAAAAGTCCACCATTTTAGCTTAGAGGAGCTGAGTCAGTGTCTCATCTGAAAACGTAAAGCAGTCTGATGAGAGGATCAGAGTTTCAGTTCAGATTGTTGAAATGTGTTACTTTTTCTTTTCAAAAATACAGCTGTGAATGTTCTGAATCACTTAAAGACATTCTCGTGTTAAAATGTCTTTTTACAAAACAGCTTTTTAGCAGTTATATGTAATAATAATAAAAAGAATTATTGTACCAGTTGAATAGTGTATAATAGATAAAAATACACATGAATGTGAAGAAGTGACTGTTATTTAGGGAGAGAGAAGGTGAGCGAGGGCTGGGGTGGAGAGTGGGGGGGTTGTAGGGATACGGCTCAACTTACCCCGCTCCCATGGTCAACTTACCCCTGAAAAATGGGTCACCTGACCCTAACCCCCCTCTAAATCCTGTCAATTTTCCTTGTCTCATCCAGTTTCAATCAGGGGTGTTTTACTGACTAAACTTGATTCAGCTACAATATATATATATATATATATAAAATATCGGTGCAAAATGTTGATGAAAAATTCAGACTGCTAAATTTTGCTTTCGTTTACAGACTGCGTGGCTGCAGTTTGTCAGAGATCAGCTGTGCTTCTCTGGCCTCAGCTTTGAAGTCAAACACCTCCTATCTCAGAGAGCTGGACCTGAGTAACAACTATAATCTGCAGGATTCAGGAGTGAATCAGCTGTCTGAATATCTACAGAGTCCAAAGTGCAGACTACAGACTCTAAAGTAAGAAATCCAACTTTTTCACTGATGTAAAGTATACACTTTTTCTGTGTAATTTTTTGGGCAGAAAAATGTTGAGCGTTTTTCAGAAAACCTAGTTATGGACAAAACCTCTTTATTTGACTAATATAAAAGCATGTTAATGAGAAACAAATACGATCTGTCAGTTTTCTTTTTCTCACCCTGTTTCAATCAGGGGTGTTTTACCGACTAAACTTGATTCAGCTACAAAAAATTATAAAAATATCACTGCAAGGTGTTGATGAAAAATTCAGACTGCTATATTTTGCTTTCATTTACAGACTACATGGCTGCAGTTTTTCCAAGATCAGCTTTGCTTCTCTGGTCACAGCTTTAAAGTCAAACCCCTCCCATCTCAGAGAGCTGGACCTAAGTTACAACTATGAACTGGGGGATCCAGGAGTGAATCTGCTGTCTGATCATTGGCCGAGTCAATACCGCAGACTGTGGACAGGGAGGTTAGAGTTTCAGTTTCTCCCTTACAATCTATTCAAAAGTTCATGTCCATTTTTGTTGTCAGAAAAATTGCAGGCCTTTGCTTTGCACTTTAACATAAGTGGAGAAAAACTTATTGGACTTTATTTAATTGTCAACATGTGGATAAGTAAGACAGTTGTTGAGTAGTTTTTGTTCCTCAGCCTGTGTCCTGTTTTCATCAGGTTTCAAGCCTTCATTTTACAGTTTTTGCATCCACAAAATTTATTCAGATTTAATCAATACAATCCTAAGAGATAAAAACACGAAGTGTTGTCAAACTGAGACATAATTTATTTGCTTTTCAGCTTGACTGACTGCTGTTTGCCAGAGATCAGCTGCACTTCCCCGACCTCAGCTCCTAAGTCTAACCCCTTTCATCCTAAAGACCTGGACCTGGGTGAAAATCAAGACCTGCAGGATTCAGGGGTGAAGCTGCTGTCTGAATATCTGCAGAGTCCAAACTGCAGACTGCAGACTTTGAGGTTAGACTCTCCTCTTGCGCTCTGATGAATAATGATAAAACAAAAAATACAGTCATTATGTTTGTGTCATTATCTCTGTCAAGAATTAATATCACTTCCAAAACATGAGAATATTGAGAACCCCTCAGTAGATTTTAAAATAGCCCACCCATCCCTCAAGCACCTTGATTATCTTATCAACAACAAAACAAAGAATTCTCAGTGGGTAAGGCAATCTGAACGTAGCCCTACCTAACCAATAATGCACCAAAAAATATGATATTTATGGAATAAAATATTTAAGATCATATAACAATACCACCTATGAATATGACAGGGACACCACCCTCTTATTAACCGAAGGGATAGAATATATCTTAATAGTTATATAACAGATCTTATCACTGGAGTTGCAGAATCCTCCGTGAGAGATCTGTTCAATAGAAAACTCCAGCTTTATGTGAATATGACAGTTAAATGATTCAACACTAAGTGGAAGAATGACAAGTGACAGTGGCTAAAGCAATATCACAAATGAATGATTTAAAGACAGTCACACTCACACGCAGTTCCTCTGTAGGGGTTCAGACTGGCAGCTTGTTGCTCAGCAGATGACTCTGAGTTAGGCAAGGTTTCTGGTCTAATTTTTTACCTCAATAGTATGTCCTGTTGATACAGGATGTCAGGCTGGCTGCTTGGTTGATAAAAGGAGAATGCAATAATTGAGTTCAACAAAAGAAATTCAAAGTTGAGGCATGATGCAAAGAAAAGTATTTTCATGTTTAAAACTGGAGAGAGGCAAGTTTAAGAAAGGGGAGATCTGATGCCAAGCATTGGAGATAAGATTAAGACTAATGTCCTGGTGGGAAACCCACTTTTATCTTTTTTTCGGTCTCTGTCTTTCAGGACAGGTGTGGTCTGATTTAGGCATGCAGACCTTCCCTGAAGATTAGAGAAAGCTGATTGCATTCCTTATGTAAGGACAGATATTTTAAACCATGCAAAAGAAAAATTCACCATCCTACAATGAGATCTTGGATTCTGTTATAAAGAAAAACGATTAAGACCCAGAGCACAGACACAAACTGAGACAAATTTGGAGATTGAAAACAGTTTTTAATGAATTCATTAGTTTTGCTGAAAGGATTCTGGCACTGAGAGCTTTGATGTCAGAGGTTCACGAGGGTGTGTGTTCAGAGTTGTCAAGAGTCCTTCGGATCAGGCTGGCTGGTCTGAGGTCCTAGAGCTGGGAGTTCGATTCTGGTTAGCTGATCACACTGAGATTTTGTGTGACCTCTGTGTGACGATCTGGATAGAAGTGGACAACAGAGACATGCTTTGTCCCTGCAGAGAGGGCAGCCAGCTCAATCCCTGATGAGCTGCAGGTGACGCTCTCAATTGTACCAAGGAGAGTTGATCCAGGCCCGGGTCACACACACACACACACACACACACACACACACACACACACACACAAAGAATAAGCACATCCTTACACACAGAGAAAAACACACTATGGCAAAGGATTTGTACCAGAGTGCACACACACACACATGTGCTCGTGTGATTATTTCATTAAAGTTCTGTGTGTACAGGTTTCTTTCACAATGCTTTTTATAAAATTGAGATGCATATGTTGTTTATTCATTTAAATGACATTTGTCCTTCAGGTTGTAGATCGTATATCTTATATCTCAGCAACTTCTCACTCTAAAGCTAAATATCACTGTTCAAATCCCTACAAAAACTTTTCACTCCACATTATTGTATGATTTTCCATCATCCATCTGAGTGATATTCCACTATCCCTTAAAAATGGGTAATAATAATAAATAACAACTTGTTGAGAATTTATTTGCTTTTCAGCTTGCGTGGCTGCACTCTCTGTTTGTCACACACAAAGAATAAGCACATCCTTTATTTTCATTGACAGACTGAGAAACTGCAGTTTGTCAGAGATCAGCTGTGCTTCTCTGACCTCAGCTTTGAAGTCCAACCCCTCTCATCTCAGAGAGCTGGACCTAAGTGACAACTATAATCTGCAGGATTCAGGAGTGAAGCTGCTTTCTGAATATCTGCAGAGTCCAGGCTGCAGACTGCACTCTCTGAGGTAAAACTACATACTAACCCTCTGCTTAACAATACAATGAGTAAAATAATATTTTCTGTACCTCTCTGATAAAAGTTGCTTCTCGATTTTAAAATTGTAATTGACAGAAGTTTTTTCAGTTAACCTATTTTATATACACTAAAATGATAAAAAGCCAAAAACTGTCCAGGCATTAAAATGATTTTATTACCCCTTTGTCCTGCTGGTTTGGTATGCATTAATTTTAAAACATTTTACATTGAACTTACCAGTACTTTTAACACACAAACACACAAAGAATAAGCACATCCTTTATTTTCATTGACAGACTGAGAAACTGCAGTTTGTCAAAGGTCAGCTGTGCTTCTCTGACATCAGCTCTGAAGTCCAACCCCTCCCATCTCAGAGAGCTGGACCTGGGTGGCAACCAAGACCTGCAGGATTCAGGAGTAGAGTTGCTGTCTGGATATCTACAGTGTCCAAACTGCAGGCTGCACACTCTGAGGTAAAACTACATACTAACCATCTGCAGTTATGTTTACGGTTCTTTTTTGTTTTTTTTCTAGGTCAGTTTTTCAGGTACAGAGAAATTGTGACATATCATAGATCCTGTATTATTGACTGTTATTTAATCTGTGTCCAGGACCCATAATTATAACTCAGATCATGAGCTTCATGATTAAAGCTCGGCATTCAATTAATAACTGGGACTGATTTGTTTTTTTCTGATGTGCAATATGGAAATATAGGCAACATCTTACTGTGCTGTCAGCATCTCCATGTTCACTCAGAGATGCTTGTTCAAACAGTTCAAAATTCAATACATTTACAGTATGTGACAACCTGAATGAAGTTTTTTCTTTATTATTTAAAGCTCAAATGAAGAATTATCTTTCTTTCACAATGATTCAGCAAATTATTATATGAAAAATAATGGATTACACTTAATAGCACCTTAACAAGGCACTCTGGGTTGTGATGTGAAGCTCCAACCAAGGCTTTAACTTTTTGTACCTTGACACTTATGCACCTTCAACCAGATTAAAGCAGTAACCGCTGTACAGCAATCTGCAGTAGCCCTGTGTGGACACATTGTTAAAAAAAACAAAAACATACCAACGATGGGAAAGTTTGTACCAGCTTAGTCTGTATATGGGAGGTTGAACCATAGAAAGTACCAGTCTGATTTAATGTTTGTAATAAATTGATATAGTGGTAACAACACCATGTAAATAAACTCATGTACAGATTTATAATTTCTGGGTGACTCAGAGGAGAAATTGCTGTCCCATTCAACAAAAGTAAAGTTGGTAAAAATGTCACCCTAATATTTTGTGGCTTTGTTTTTGCAATAAGGCTGATTTACACAGAAAAGGAGAGATGTAATTTGGTCTAAATGAAGACATGATAAACAATTAACATTGATGCAGACATCACTGGCATTAAACCCTTTGTGCTTCAGGAAAAATGCTTTTTTGGATGATAGTGAACCAGACCTTTGTGTAAAAAATAAACAGCTATGATTCTCTGAGACTGAGAGAATTTGATATAAAGGCCTGCCTTAAATCAAAGCCTGCCTCAAATAAAAGCCTGGTTCCTGAGGCAGTAAAACAAACAAAATACCTGGCCTGTATTTAAGGATTTACAGTACACTTTTATAGCCTCAGCTTGAGGAGAAATCCTTTACCAGACTTAAATAGAACAACAGTTTTTTCATGAAAAAGTAATGGCTATTTTTAAGGTTAAAATTATGTAATTATCATCCAATAAATTTTATTTTGAATGTTTGAATTTTTTTAATGTGTTATTTTCCTCTGTGTATTGTAATGACAAAGAAGGTCAAGTGGTACCAAGACAAAGTTTCTGAGGGACATTATCCCCCTTCATTTTCAGATTGGCTGAGTGCAGCCTTTCTGAGGCCGGCTGCGCTTCTCTGGCCTCAGCTCTGAAGTCCAACCCCTCCTATCTGATCGAGTTGGACCTCAGTAAAAACTACTGGCTGCAAGATTCTGGAGTGAAGCCATTGTATGATCTAAAGCAGAGTCCAAACTACAGACTGGAAACCTTAAGGTTAGACTCTATCCTCTCTCTCTAATAAATACCAAAAAATAATGACAAAAAGTAATACCATGACACTAATGAAGTAAAACAATTTTTAAAGTAACTGTTTTCACCTAACAAAGCTACTTTATATCCACAGACCCTTTCCAAAAAAATAGAATATCATGGAATTTTTTTTTTTATTTCCACAATTCCATTCAAAAAATCAAACTTTCGTAGATTATAGATTCAGGGCCCACTATTTAAACAATTTCAAGTATTTCTTTGTTTATTTTTTACATAATTTGGGCTTCCAGCTCATAAAACCCACGGAAACAGGAATTCAAAAATTTAGAATACTGTGAAGAAATCACCATTTATGTCTCAGTTTTTTGAAAAAAAAAAAAAAAAGAGAAATTAGGATCACATCAAATCAATCAAAATATGGTACTTTCAAAATGATATGTCAATCTTCAATACTTGGTTGGGAATCCCTTTGCCTTGATCACTGCCACCATGCACTGTGGCATTGAGGCAATCAGCCTGTGGCATTGCCTGGGAGTTATGGAAGCCAAGATTTTCTTGATGCTTGCTGTCAGCTCTTCTTTGTTTTTGGGTCTGGTGTCCCTCATTTTCCTCTTGATAATACTCCATAGATTTGCTGGCCAGTCAAGCAGTGTGATGGCATGGGCATCAAACCAGGTTTTGGTGCTTCTGGCGGTATGGGCATGGGCCAGGTCCTGCTGGAAGATGAAATCTGCATCTCCATACATGATCCTTAATGTGGTGGTTTTTGAAGCTGTGACTCCCGCCTCATTCCACTCTTTCTGTATCTCTGCAAGATTCTTGAATCTTCTCTGTTTGATAATCTGCTGAAGCCCACAGTCAGCTCTTTTGCTGGTGCATCTTCACCTGCCACATTTTGCCCTTCCACTAGACTTTCCATTGATATGCTTGGACACAGCAATCTGTGAACAGCCAGCCTCCTTAGCTATGAACTTTTGTGGCTTACCTATCCTATAGAGGGTATCAATGATGGTCTTCTAGCCACTTGTCAAGTCTGCAGTCTTCCCCATATTGAACCAAACTGAGACAATTGAACCAATCTTAAGCAATTTAATGACACCTGGGGAACCCTGTGCAGGTGCCTTGAGTTTAGTAGATGATTAATGTTTGAAATTCAGTTTAAAACATTCAAGCCCAAAGTATGTAAAAATTAACAAATAAATACTTGAAATTGTTTAAATTGTGGGCCCTGAATCTATAATCTATGAAAGTTTAACTTTTTGAATGGAGTTATGAAAATAAATAAACTTTTATATACACATTTATAGTGGATATAGATGGATCAGAGTTGGTGTGATCCTTATAGATGAACCCTAATGTTACATTGATGTTGGGTGGTTGGATATGATCTAAAGGAGTATGGCATACACCTGCTCTTTTAAAAGATGGATTGATTGTTCCTCCTCCAACAGCAGACCTTTTGTCATTTTCAGATTGAATCGCTGCAGTTTGTCAGAGGTCAGCTGTACTTCTCTGGCTTCAGTCTTGAAGTCCAACCCTTCCCTTCTTAAAGAGCTTGACCTGAGTAACAATGAGAAGAAGGATTCAGGAGAGGAGCTGCTGTGTGATCTTGTTGGGAGTCAAAGCTGTATACCACAGGAGTTGAGGTTAGAATCCCTTTTAACTCTCTTCTGATCAATCTAAAAATGTTGTATTCTTTTTGGGGCCATTTTGCATGAAAGAGCCATGTTAAGTTTAGTTCATTTAATCTTAACAGAACAAGAAAACACTTGATTTGGCACATGATCCCCTAACCACCAGGGATGCTGGCTTTGATCTAAACAAACTGGGTGGTCTTTCATGTAAAGCAATCCATATATATCTTTTTCCCTTTTCTGATGTTGTTTCATACTTTGAGTGTTTGAGTATCAGCATAACCAGTTATCTATGATTCAATGAATCAAACATGAGGAATGGTGGTGGTGATAATGTGTTGTTACTGAGAGGTAGAAGCAAAGAAATGTGCCATATTCTGATTTCAGCCAGGTATTTACACACAATCTCACACGGTGCATTGCTCTGTGCTGATTGAGTGCTGCGCTCAGAGCTGGAGAAAGGAAAAGGTGGGAGGCAAGGGGGTGTGCTGCTGTAGTTTATTTGTTAAAGTATATAACTGTATATGGTTTTGATATTTTTTAAACATGGACATACTGTTAAAAAATCTCTTAAATCTTGGCAGTGCTTTGATTCAATTTTGGGGTGCTTAAAACACCTATGTTCTTTAGCATTGCACAACTTTTTACCTGTTTGGTTGTTCCTCTGACAACTTTTTACAAACATGAAGCTGCCATCAAATTTAATAAAGCATATATTTTTCATCAATATTTTTTTTTTTCAGGGGGATTCCACGTGTGCTTTATGGTGTCTTTGCGCTATTTTTAGCCAAATACAGACCACAAATGATTCTCATGCCATCAAAGTTATATTTAACATAATTTCACTGCATCCCATCTCCACTGATATCATTATTGTGTGATAGAGGTGTCTGTACACAATGCCTTTTTGATTGATGTGTGAACAGAAGAAGATAATTGATTGGTTTCCAGCAAAATTTGTAAACTGACATCATGGAATTCTGTTTTCAGATTGAGTTTTTGCAGTTTATCTGAGGCCTCCTGTGCTATTCTGGCCTCAGCTCTGAGGTCTCATCCCTCGTACACGACAAAGCTGGACTTGAGTTATAATAGGCTGCAAGATGAAGATTCAAAAGTGAAGCTGCTGTATGATTATCTGAGGGATCCAAACTGCAGACTGGAAACTCTACGGTCAATCCCCATACTAGCTCTATCTGTCTATCTGTCCTTCCTACTCTTGCTCTCTTTGTGTATATACACACACACGCACGCACAAACACACACACACACACACACACACACACACACACACACACACACACACACACACACACACACACACACACACACACACACACACACACATATTGTACAGTATATATATAGCTAGATAGATATATGTCCAGTTGACTTCAATGCAAAGGTTTTCAGCAGTTTTTCACAACTTTCGATGGTAAAACTTCGTACACAACAGAGAAAAGTTACAGAAAACTGATCCCAATCAAACCGCATGTTTTGATATATAATTTGTTGTACAACTTTTCAAGCTGTATGACTAGTAACGATGTTAAATTTGTCTAGTAGAGGAATAAGAAAAAATTCACAGTATAACAATGATGCAGAGGAACCAGTGCCTTGGAGCCTTTACCATGTGGCCCTAATTAAAGAATTTAGCTGATTTCCAGACATTTATAATAACAGTTTTAAGTGTGCCCTATTAAGTTTAGGTGTTGGGTATTTTGATATTTAAAAATTTTACCCACAACCTAGAAAAAATTGCCTAACAATGATGCTGTTTTTCCTGTTATCAGACTGAGACACTGCAGTTTGTCAGAGATCAGCTGTGCTTCTCTGACCTCAGCTCTAAAGTCCAACCCCTCTCATCTCAGAGAGCTGGACCTGGGTGAAAACTTTAAACTGCAGGATTCAGGAGTGAAGCTGTTGTCTGAATATCTGCAGAGTCTAAACTGCAGACTACAGACTTTGAGGTGAGACTTAACTAACTCTTTGCTGAGCAAGTTAACATTATAATTATATTTTTTTGTGTTACATCTTATCTTAGAGAAAATTTGAGCCCAATTTAAAAAAAAAAAAAATTTCTAGAAAACCCCTCATTGGAGTTTTTGAAATATCTTTCTTTTTTTTTTTTCAAATTCAAAGCTGTTTGAAGTTGAAATGCTTTTACTGTATGTACCGTGGCTTGCACCCTGTTGTTTATGTTTCTGTGTTTGAGACAAAACCAAAAGCCTTTGCTCTTCACAGAAATTATGAAACATAAGGTGTCAAGCAAACTTTGAAACACATAAAAAATTTGTTTTCAGACTGTGCCAGTGCAGTTTGTCAGAGACCGGCTGTGCCTCTCTGACCTCATCTCTAAAGTCCAACCCCTCCCATCTCAGAGAGCTGGACCTAAGTAAGAATGAACTGCAGGATTCAGGAGTGAAGCTGCTGTCTGAATATCTTTGGAGTCCAAACTGCAGACTTGAGGCTCTGATGTAAGAGTTCATCCAACTCTCTGCTACTCATTAAAAAGTTATGTTTGTATTTTCCAGTTTAAGAATATAATGGTTCAAGAATTCCCTCTGAGATGACCATACGAAAAACAGGGTCTTAATTTTTAAAAAAGCTAATCAAAGTTCTTAGTAATTTAACATTAATGCTTCACAAGGATTTTGGTTTTAATACATACTATCTTAATATCATTTGAATCATTTCTATATTTGATAACTGAAAAATTCTCTCTGGGAAATTTTGAAGGGGCCAAGAGGGCTACTGCCAGGATGTGTATATTATGTTGGGATTCTCAGAGATTTCAAATAATGAATACTAGTAGCATTGGGATATTATATACATGAGCACACCTACAACAAATATTCCTTTTTTAAAGTTTTTTAATTATATGAAAAAAAAAAGAAATGAAACCAGAGCAGTAATCCCATTGACTTCAATGCAAAAAATTTTTTGCATTTTTTTGCAAAAATTTTAAATACTATCGAGAAAACTAACAGCACACAGATCCCAATCAAACCGCACATTTTGATATATAATTTGTCCTAGTTAAAAAAGATACGTTGAAAAAAAATACATAAATATAAAAGATTGTAACAAACATCATTATCTTCAATTTAGACTGAGATTCTGCGGTTTGTCAGAGATCAGCTGTGCTTCTCTGGCCTCAGCTCTGAAGTCCAACCCCTCCCACCTCAGACAGCTGGACCTGAGTGGCAACCTTGAGCTGCAGGATTCAGGAGTGAAGCTGCTGTCTGAATATCTGCAAAGTCCAAACTGCAGACTGCACACTTTGAGGTCAGACAATGTTCCTATTGTAAAACAAATAATGTTTTTTCACTTCTGTGTCATATGACAGAGCTCGAGTGAGCTTCACTTTGATAACCTCATTACTAAAGTAGACTTAAACTTGGACATAATAAAAATAACAAGACTTGATTTAGAAATAAGCTGATCTTTAAATTGAATAATGATATTATAAGCCTGTGTTGCGATTATGTTGTTTTTTATACGTGTCTTTTTTCAACATATTACATTTTAGTCTCTGCCCTTGGCAAAGAAATATGAACAGAATAAAGATTCAAGCTTGATTTCTTTTCTTTTATTATTAAGGGTTGCAAAACAAATCATGGCAAGTAAAAGACAACACACACACACAATATTTACAGACTGTAGAGACAAAATAAGAAAGAGATAAGCAAAGTAGGAACTCATAACATTTAGATATTTTATGTTTGAAAGTGTTGGAAGGCCGGCAGGGTGAGTTTGGTAAGGACTGGACATAATTGTGAAGTCTACTATGATGCCTTATAAACAATTTATGATAATGGAGAAAACAAATAAATAAAAAAAGGGAAGAAGAAAAACAAAAAAATGTATACATGTAGTACATACAGTCAGACAAGTCAAGCTTGATATCAAAGGACATTGTTATTTCTATTTCCAGAATGAGTCATTGCTGTTTGTCAGAGGTCAGCTGTGCTTCACTGGCCTCCACTCTGAAGTCCAACCCCTCCCATCTGATAGTGCTGCACCTTAGTTACAATATAAAGCTACTGGATTCAGGAGTGAAGCTTCTGTCTGACTTCCTGCAGAATCCCAACTGCAGACTGCAGACTCTGAAGTGAGACTTTCTTCTTTATTTTGCTGATTAATCAAAATGTATGTTATATTCATCATTTTTAGTTAGAATACCTCTGATTTTCAAGAAAAACCCACAGGAGTCTCAACTAAAATTACAGCATGCTAGTGGAGAATAGAGTACTTTTTTAATGTAATGATTTTGATCAAATTGTATCCTTTTGATGTGGGCTTTTAATTTGTGACCATTTATAGTATCAAATCTTTCCTCTTTTCTCATTCACAATGGGCATTTAAAAATTCCATATAAGCAATGCCCTTTTTTCTTACTGTTTTCACACTCAAAGGTGACCTTTCATTGATTCAGTTGTACACTATGTTATGAAAACGAAGTCTCTCTTTTCTAAGAAGTGGAGGAAGCGCTGAGTGCATAACGTTAAAATTCTAAATGATCATTATTTATTTTGTTGTCAGACTGAGAAGATGCTCTTTGACAGAGATCAGCTGTGCCTCTTTGGCCTCAGCTCTGAAGTCCAACCCTTCCCATCTCAGAGAGCTGGACCTGGGAAAAAACAAGCTACAGGATTCAGGAGTGAAACTACTGTGTGATTATCTGCAGAGTCCAAACTGCAGAATGAAGATTCTGAGGTTGGATATTATTATTATTACTTTCTCTCTGATTTACATAAAATGTAGTCTCTATTTCAGTGCAGATTTCTATGACTAGGAATAAGGCCTCTGTTGAAACACCACAAGATTAGAAGAAGAACTCCCCAGTGGACTTTATGAAATAACAGCATAGTGATAAATAAGGGATGTTTGTTTAGAGTTGGATGTTTCTCAGCTTGCATCCAGCTTCACTCATGTATTTATTTTCATTACATGTTCTTTATCATAAGATAGCTATGTATCATACATTATGACCTTAAAAAATCTATAAGGGATCATGGTTTCACAAATAATTAAAACATTTATTTTATTTCCAGTCTACATGGCTGCAGTTTGTCAGAGACCAGCTGTGCTTCCCTGGCCTCAGCTGTGAAATCCAACCCCTCCCATCTGGAAGAGCTGGACTTGAGTAACAATGGGCTGGAAAACTCAGGAGCAGAAATACTGTGTGATCTTGTTGATAGTGTATTCTGCAGCCTGGAGACGCTGAAGAAAATGAAAAATTTTCGAGAGTTGTGGTTATGAAAACAGACGGTAAAATGACTTGTAGTAATGCATTACTGTGTGGAGATATTGAAATTTTCACAAAGCCATTATTGTAGCAATTTGAATTTATAATAAATGTCCTAAGATTATTATTAGATAATAATCTTAAAATATGACATTAATGCACTTATTGATGAGGGCACCACCAACCTTTGATAGTGGGAAAACAAAAGACAAATGAAAATTTAATTCAGAAATTAAACATGAAGCCAATCTTAAATCAATCTTCAATCAAGCTCATATCTCAAGCTGGAGGGAATTTAGTGATGAGGTGCTTTATTGCTTCTTCTCTTAAGTGTCATTAAAAAGACTTTCACTAGAAAGTGGCTATCACAGGACAGGCCAACTCTAAACATGTGGATGGAAATTACAATGGAAGTTTACAAAATGGAAAAACTACTTCATTTGTCAAATATAAACATGAACTGTGCACTTAATAATTTTGGAAAAAATAGATTAACAATGCAACCCCTCATATCCCTGATTTTGATTTCAGAAACTGATAACTGCTGTGCACACATGATCACTCTTAATTTATTTATTTACTGCTTGATGTTTTTAATTTGTTTTCTGTTTGTTTGTTTGTTTGGTGGACTGGCTAGCTAATGTGTTTATTGTTAAAAAGTGTATCTTTTTCTTGTCTTTTTAGTCTTACATAATAAACTAAGAGTTGTGGCATACATGTATGTTGGATGTATAAGTGAATGAGTCACAGTTTGTCAATATGTCTCACAAAACATAAAAAAGATAGCATCTGACCTCCATACACAGGTCCAGAAGTTCTTGAGGGAACAAAACAGTACCCAGTGCTATGTTGCCTGGCACCTTGAGAAATATTAATTTGATATCTGGCCTTATTTTTCTGTGAATTGTTGATTAAAAGGCTCTACATTTTTGCATTATTTTGTCCCTCTAACAAAATGTGGGTTATTCACTGGCTTATCTAAAAAATGTGACCATCTTAGCCAAGAACAAGGAGTGTCAAGTCATCAGCAAATGGTTGTCTGGCATCAAAAACCACAGCAGTCTCCTCTAAGTCTAGAGCAGAATAGGTGGCAACATGGAAGTCTCTGATTAATCATATCCACACACATAAAGATCCACTCTACACCAAAGTGTGTGAATTCTGACAGAGCCACTACAGACTCCAGCAAGTGGTTTCAACAAGGTTTGTATCAAAATTTTTAATCCTTATTTCTCACAGGAGAACATTGTAAATGCAAATGACATTGGATTTAAATGCTGCAATGTCACAAAATAATCTATATCTTTATGAATATCCAAACTGAACTGGAGGGTGCTGGTGTAGTGTTAGCTTTGGCTGACACAGGAAACCCACTACGGCCAGAAAGACCACCCACGAGAGGAGAATCGAGTTCGGTAGCTTTACTCATAGAAATAAGTACGCAGACCCAGCTTCTTTTCATTATTAATCCCCATCAGCTCACTTCTGTTGTGGCTTTTTTTTATCGAGTAAGTAACTTCTTTTTTTTGCATTGCCACTTTTTTTTCTGTGTAAACTTCTGTTGTAGCTCTTTGTAAAAATCTGCACTGTTTCTTTTTTTATTTGCAGTGGGCTTTGGTTTCATTTTTTTCATCAGCAATTTACGTTGTTGCTCCTTTTTTTTTTCATTCTTTTTTATTTGCTGCAGTGGCGGTTCTCGGCCACTGTATAGTTCGATTTAAATAGATGCTCAAAATAAACCCAAAAGTCTGACCACAGTTTGCAGACGGCATCTGTGTCAGATTACGTCAGACATCACCTGACCATCCCAGTTCTACACAGGAAGTGGATTCAGAAATTCAACATGGCTGCTGTCTGAAAATATAGCAGAGTTCCCCTGTGCGATGAAATAAGCAGTACTTTTCCTATTACGAGACAGTCGACTTCGTACGGTGTGTTAGCTGGTTCTGCCGCCGATCCGACATGGCTCTGTGTGTTCAGTCGGTGCAGGAGTTCGTCCAGGACTCGTTCGTCCCGATGGTTGCCGTCTTATGCAGCGAAGAGGCGGAGAGAGTGACTCGCAAGAACAACCTGAATTTTGCCGAGCTGCTGAGGCCTTTCTGCAGACTGACGTCCGAAGGTAAGATCTGCTATTTCGGCTCTAGCTCGTGACAGACACGATCACATCTTTTATACATTGATCGAAGAGACGGAGCGGTTGCTATGGCCCGAAATGGATCATGGTTACTATTAGCATTGCGCTACCAGCCGGCTAGTAAGCTGTTGTGGCAAAGCAGCTGCGAGGTAACGGGGATCGGATGATCAGATTAACTGTAGAGAAGATAGCGACAGAGTGACACCTGAACAGTCAGCATGTGAAAAATTAACTCAGAAAAAATTACTTGTTAACAAATGGTGTTAGTGCTGGATTACGGGACGAGAGAGAGCTCACTGAGGAAGTAAACAAGTCAACTGGCTTTATCGCTTATATGAAGTTCCAGGCAACATATGCAGGCTTTAGGCCAAGATTATATAAATTCATGGTTCAAGCTGTTGTCGAAAAACAAGTAACAACAAGGAGTCTTGCGTGGAAAAGTGTAAAGCAGATGGAAGAGTTGACTGAACAGGCTACTGTGCACAGTTTCAGGCATGTCATGGACTAGGGATGGGACAAAATATCAATATTATAGTCATCATTGGTCACTGATTTCTATGCTGGTTTGACTCCGAGGGTCAGGACTTAGGCTGAGCAGAGCCAGAGTTTTTTTTTTTCTGGTGAGGCATCATGTCAAAATTGAACTTTGCTGCTCCCTGCAGTCCACGCCCTTGGAGGAAAGCTGGCTTTTTGGCACACATCAAGAACAACATCTGAAGAATCAACCAACTCAATGCTTAGGTCCTATGTAAGGAAGTCAGAGAATGGCCCCACCAATTATGAGGAACTGTGTTCAAAGTTTTTGTAAAATATTTAGAAATTCAAAATAAAACTGCTGTGAGGGGCTGAGCCTTCTGCTCATGTCCGGTAACCTGGTCAGTAGATGAACATAATATAATAGAATTCAACTTTATTGTCATTGCACGTCACAAGTACAGAGTGACGAAATGCAGTTTGCATCCATCCAGAAGCGCTTGGCAAGTAAAAATATATTTACAAATGTACACGGTACGAAGGAGATATATACATGAGTATATCACTGGTATATAACATTCTTCTGAATATGCTATAACTGTAAGTATCGCCATGTACAGGCTATGAACAGATTGTGCATATGGTTATAAATATGAAGGCTATAAACAGACTATAAATATAAGTATATGACAGATAAATTATGCAGTAGTGCAATATTAGATGGATTTACAGTAGTGGAAATGAGGTTTGAAAGGTTTTAACAGAGGCAGTGGTGGCAGTACAGTAGGGGTGGGAGGAAAAACTCAATTCCCGTTAGTATCACATATTTTTGTTTTACAACTATTAAATCAATTTTTCTGTTCAAAAATCCTTTTTTTAATTTTTTTCAAATGTATGAATAAATCTTAAAAACTGACTTACATGTGATGCGTATTTTGGGGGGAAATATGGTTCCTGGAATAGTCAATTGACAATAATAATCATTCAAATCCACAATATCGTAGAATTGCAATTTGAATTGAATCAGCATCCAAAACATTGTAGAAGAATCGAATTGGGAAAAAAGCACATCATCCCAGTCCTACAGTACAGTAGTAGCAACAAGTCCAACTGTAATGTGTCAGTAGATATGTCACTCAGCTCTGAATCCTTTGACATGTTTCCCTCAGAATCTACTTGTTCACAAGGGAAAATATAAAGGGGTGTGTGCCAGTAGCTATGAGAAAACATGAAAACTTCTTTTCTGGGGAAGTAACGCTGAATGTGGCCCAATGGAATAAGTTTTATACCATGACCTTGACTGTCTTTGCTCTGACTACAACAGCTCCTCTGTGGAGGTGGAATACCACATAGTCCATCATGTTGCTGTGGGTGATCAAGCCTCATGCTTCTGTGTGCTGTGGTGCATCTTTAGAGAACGGCTGTCTGGAGGTCAGGAATGTTACTGCAGTTATTGTCCACTTTCAAAGTATGCAGGCTTCACTTCTGGGACTTTTTGTTGAACAGATTCCGATTCCTGATACCAGTATCAGAAAATGCCAAATAGAGAGGGAGAGGAGGTTAGTGATATGAATTCAAAAATTCATTAAACTTACGATGAATCTGAAAAATTGCTACCATGCAGCTGCACTATCATGATATTTCTCATATGTGTGCTGCATAAAATCAACATAGCTTGCAATACTACCAGTCAGTGGGTTTGTTGTTGTAGGTTTTAGGAATCGTTTCCATTTTTTTCACTGGTCAGTGGGCTTGATAATCATAACCAATCTCCAGTACTAATCAACAGCTTCACTCCCTCAAACAGCAAAAAATCCTTCAAGGTCAACACTGTAGATAATAACATAGCAGAAGACGTGAAGTGAAGATCCCTCTGTTTATTGACAACTTTATGAAGATGAAGCTAACACTGGGAAACTTCAAGAGATATAATGTCAAGGAATAAATATCAGAAACAGTCTGGGCAAAGAAAATCTCAGAGGTAGGAGAAACAGTACACATGACTTGCCAACTGAGGTAAACGATAAATTCTGTTACTGCTCAGTTATGGCAAAACTCCTCATCACGATTTTTTTTTAATTATATTGAGAACCTGATTATTAAATCAAAATATCTGGGGATGTTTATATTTTATAATTTATTTTTCCTTCATCAAAATGACCCTAGACTATACTCTTCCTGTTCTTTACATAGACAGTAACCTGGTCCTCATAGAGAGTTTGTGTGGGAGACTAGAAGGGACTACTGAAATACAAATCACACAGTTTTTTTAAACAGCAACAGTGAAGTGGCAAATAGGCCTCAGAGTAATAAAGTAATGAAAGGAGAGGACAAATCTTGAAGTGTGAAGGCATGATGAGATTTCTCAACGACGTGATAAGCTGTTTTGTAATAAACAGTCACAAAAACTGCAAACCAGCACTGTAACAATGCATGTAATGTGGAAGTGGCTGGGCATGAGGCAGGGCAGGAGCCACTCAAAGGGCTTTACACACACAATAAACCTTGTTATTCGTGTGCTGGCCTTGGTGTGATGTGCATCTGCCTTTTGATCTGGTGTTGGAAATGCGTGGCTGCTTGTTTTCACCTGAGTTTGACCAGTGTTGATATCCAAGCAGAGGCTGCTGCATCTCCTATTACACAAATCAATCATAGACCTTTCCAGGCAATGGAAAGAGAAATGCTGGTTGATGCTGGGAGCAGTAGCCTAAAACATACAAATATTAGTACTTAAGTCTGTTATTACCTTACAGGCGCAAGTAAACAAGAGTGAATTGTTTTTGATGAAATGTAGTTCCTTCTGTGACAATCCATCTGCAATAATTTCCTTTTTTGGGTGAATAAAAAAATTATTTTCTGTCTTCTATTATAGGCCACATCCGGGACCCCAACAACCAAATGCAGGTTGTGAAAAATCTGCGCATTTGTGTCAACAATGTGTCAACAAGTCTGAACACAGCGTCTGCTGCCCTCAGCTCTGCCCAGTGCCGGATGCTTAATGAAGTGGTCTTATCCTGTCAGCCACAAGAGGGTGCTTTGACCAATGTGATGACAGCAGGAGACTATGAACTCAACTTCAGTGGTAAGGACAGAGCTTTTAGTGTATGAACATCTCTCACCTCCCTGTTGTTTTTTCATCACTAGAAAGACGGTTATTTGTAACCTTTGACCTCTTGAAATGACATCTGTTGCCTTATGGACAGATCATCCCGTCCATACTTAGCATAATCTTTTATTGACAGAATTTTGATGCTCCTATTCTCTTGTACTGCACAGTTGTGGGTACAGGTGAATAAATGGTGATGTTAAAGTTAGAAAAAAAATGTTTTTTGAATCATTTTCTTGTTGTAAATCAGACATCCTTTCTCAGAAGAAAAAAACTGCTTGAGGTCATCTGTTAAATCATAAATAAACTCTTCTACTTGCATATTAAAGTCTTGATGGATCCTATTACATATAATGTAGCAAAAAAATCCACAACATGAACTCTTCCAAAGTACTCATCTATGAAATTATCCGGTCTCTTGTGCAAACATTTCTCTCTCCTTGGCATATCTGAGATTTTTCAACCATAATGTGAATCAGAAAGTGCCTGTACCCTTTGTATTAATTTATTTTTCTTTTTATGTACAGCATTTTATGCTGCATCATTGTTGTATGGAAAGTGCTTTATAAATAAAGTTTAATGGATTGATTGATTAAATTTCCCATTTTGTGTTATTCTCAGCTACCACACCCTGGTTTGAGACCTACAGGGAGAACTTCCTACAGTCTATGCCTGCTTCTGACCACGAGTTCCTCAATCACTACCTTGCCTGTATCCTTCAAACAGCACTGGTTGTGAGTAGTAAATGTGCGGTGATCAAGTCGTCGTTTTTAATTTCCCAGTTGTGTCCTTGACTAACTGTTGTGGCAGGCCTGCTCGTGGTGTCTTCCTCAGAATCAGCCCCTGTGGAGCAATTTCTTAAGCTTTCCCAGGAGCAGCACAGGGTTCAGCATAGTGGGGAATATACCAACCCCAAATGGTTTATCCCTAACACGCTCAAGTACTACGTCTTACTTCATGACATGAGCGAAGGGGATGAGCAAAGGTATGGAAGCAGCTTAATTACATGCATATAAGAGTTTGCTGACCTTCTAGTTTGTGTTGTAGTTCAGAGCTTTCCACAATTTATGGTTTTATTGATACAAGTTTCTGGCATTAGCAGTTTTCTGATAGAGAAAAGTAAACATTGCTAAAATATTCATGTTTTTATCATTTCGCTGTTAAAGAATAAAAATGACCCGGCTTTTAGTTTGGAGATATTCGTCCATTTCTATTTCTATGGCATCAAGAATATGTTGTCTCTGCAGGATTTGGGAAAAGACTGTCATATTTTTCAGTGAATAGAGAATAAGTTAAAAAAATTTGATGCTTTTTAATTGATTTGGTTTTAGCTAGATTTTATGTTTTTTAATTTTGATGGATGTTTTCCATTCCTCCTCAGGGCTGAAACGGTGTATGAGGACATGAAACAGAGGTATGGTTCTCAGGGCTGTTACCTTTTGAAAATCAACTCTCGCACCCCTTCAGCTGGATCAGATGAACAGATTCCAGACCCCTGGAGTCAATATCTTCACAAGAGTAATCTGCAAAACCAGGTAAGCATTTTAGTCCCCCCAAAATAACAATCATGGTCCAGCAGAGGAGAGAGAGTGAACTTTTAATCACGAATAAACAAAACGCGGACTGGATGATTCTCCACACTGTGCTTCCCTGTTGTTTGGAAGCAGATGTCAGTCAGAACACATTGAGATTTTGAAAGTTTAAATGAATACACTGTAGAGGAAAGCAAGTGAGAATACTCAACTATAGTATGTTGAGGGGTTAAAAATGTCTTATTGATATGAACAAACGACTGTACTATAATCAACCCAAACATCAGTGCTCAATCAATCGATCAATCAATCTGTATTCATCTTGCGCCAACTCACAGCACTGTTATCTCAAGGGGCTTAACAAAAAGAGCTGGTCCAGACCAAACTCATCGTGATATTTACAGGAAGTACAAACATAATGATGGGTTAAGATGGAGTCACTCTAATCCCATCTACATCTACATGAATGTAACTCTTAGCAAGTTACTGTAGTAAGGAAAAGCTTCCTTTTAAACAGGCAGAAACCTTGAGCTCCATGGAGCTCTGATTGTCTGTTAGCCGAGCCACAGACAATCAGCCACAGACAATTAAGCCATTCAAGCTCTGGAATGGCTTAATAACGAGCTAATCATTTGAATCAGGTGTGCTGGAGCAGGGAAACATCCAAAACATGCAGGACAGTGGGCCTCGAGGACTGGACTTGAGAACCACTGGCACAGAGGATAATTTGGTCCACCTGAGAGGGACGAGTGTTCATATAGGGGCCATCACTTGAGTCTGGACAAAATACAGTCTAGAGCAGCCAGAATTAGGCCAGAAATAACGTGGTTTACTGCTCAATCTTGAATATAAGAAAAGACATGTCAGAATTGCTTCCATAAACTTGGTTATAGTGCTGTCAGACAGACACCTAGTTAGCATTTGTAGTTTTAAATTAAATCCTCAATTTGTATTTGCATGGTAAATAAAAAAGGGGTCTCTGTTGGGGGCAGACACAGTCTCTATAGTGCTGCTATAGAAACTGTTCTAAAGGAATCTCGTAAGAGTGTGTAAGACTGCAGCTCGGCTTGGTCTTGGCTGGTCTCTACTCTGGGTTATCAATTCTTTAGACTAATAAAAATTGACAGTATGATTGAGATGCTTCATCTAAAGGACATATGCCCTTCTGACTAATCAATACTCTTACATTTAAGTGAAAAGGAGTGGCAACTATTCTAGAAAGCACAACGCATGAACTCCAACAAGAGATTAGTCTGGTACACCTTCAGTCAAAGTCGGGCATGTGCTAACATCACCTTTCTTTTGCAGGATATTCTAGATGATGCGGCTCCGGCTGTCAACAGCGCTGCTCATGGGAATAATAGCACAGAGGATGTGGACTGCCATCACTCAACAGATGGAGGTCAGCCAATCAAACAGCTTTAGCCATGTGTCTGACACAGAAACAATTAACCTGTGGTCAATGTGTGGCTGTTCCATGCATGCCGATTTTAGCCATAGGCTGCATAAAGGAACTGATGGACCACTTATGAAGGTTCTAGTTGGCATATGTTTTTTCAGTTTTTCCTATCACACATGGTTCTGTATAACTTAAGAGTTGCGTGAATTTTTCTATGCTGAGTTGATTATTGTGTTTATTTGACTGTGCGTTAAATGGGCTTAGCTGTTAACAATGTGCCCCAACAGATGGACTGTCCAACAATTTGGAAAGTGGTCCCCTGCAGCTTGATAAAATCAACACCTCGGGGAGTCTGTGCAATCTTGGTGCTGTAAGCAGTGACCTAAAGAAAGGCGCAAGAGATCCAGACGGCACGTTGGGAGGATCAGGAGGCCATGGGGCATGTCTTACCCTGAATGACCATGACCGCATCAGGCAGTTCATCCAAGAATTCACCTTCAGAGGCCTGCTGCCGCACATAGAGAAGAATATCAGACAGCTTAATGACCAGGTAAAACTCTTGACCATCAAGGTCAACAATACAACAAGCTTTTAAAAATGAATCCAAGATATTGACTTAGACCAAGAAGATCATTGAAGAGAGACTTAGCTAAGTTTTCTGAAAACACACCTGAAAAACCATAACTGATCGCATATAAAAATAAAGATTATTATTATTAGTAGTAGTAGTAGTAGTAGTATTATTAGTATTATTATGATTATTATTTAAAATCAAACTGAATTTTGCTCTTAAATTCATATGTGATACATTGTTACCGTGCTATTTTGGATTTGACTGTGTGAATCCCTTTTAATAGCAGACCAGGCGTTCAGTCTTTGCATTTGTTTGCAGGTTTTAAACACGCAGACCTTTAGTAAATCAGGCCCTTAAACATATGATCTGCTTCTTTGCCGACAGCTGGTGTCCAGGAAAGGTCTGAGCCGGTCTCTGTTCACTGCCACTAAAAAGTGGTTTGGTGGAGGGAAAGTTCCAGAGAAGAGCATCAGTGAACCAAAGAGCACCTTTGGCCTTTTGTAAGTCCTGTAGCACCAACCCCATCACACTTGATATGACACTTCACAAGAGCTTTTATTAATTTGTACAGACCATGAAAACTTGATAACTATAAAACTAGTTATATTTATCTCTTTCTCTCTCAATGATTGGACCTTTGACATCTGTAATTTCAGATATCCACCAGAGGCACCAGAGCTGCAGATCAGGAAGATGGCTGACCTGTGCTTCCTGGTTCAACACTACGAGCTGGCTTACAGTTGTTACCACACTGCCAAGAAGGACTTCCTGTCAGACCAGGCCATGCTGTATGCTGCAGGAGCACTGGTAATGGTCACACACTCACATTAATCCTGCAGTGGTTCTGTTTGAGGACCGATTGTTAGAGACAGATACAAAAATGCAAATACGGAAAATACATGACCATTACAGCTGCAAAAATTAAGTCACAAACTCTGTCAACTGACTCTTCAACTTCAGCTTTGCAGTAGCACCAAAAGTGTGTTCCAAAAGATGATATTAACTTTTGTTTTTCTAAGACCAAGTACATCTAACAGCAGAATATCTTTGTTGGTTTGTATCTTTGAGGTTTATTTTTCTGTCTTTCCTCAAATTTCTTGATTTTCAATTTTTCCGTATTGTCTGTTCATCTGTAGGAAATGGCTGCAGTGTCGGCCTTTTTGCAGGCTGGAGCTCCTAGACCATATCCAGCTCACTACATGGACACTGCTATACAGACGTACAGAGATGTCTGCAAGTATGACCTAACTGCTGTTTTTCTGCAATTTTAAGTCAGCATTTTGGTAATTTTGGTTATTGTGTCAATTATTTACATGGCCGTGCTAATATTGTGTCGTTGTTATTTGTTCTTGATTGTTTATTCAAATTAATTCTGGCTCCTTAGCTGTCTGTTGGTATCAAAATTGTTTACTTTTTAAAAAGGCAAATTTTTCATTGGGGCAACTCACAAACTCAGCTCTGCTGCTCATCCTACAAATGCTTGTTTCTTAAAAATGTGGCAAAAGGGAAATTAACAGGCTTTCCAACAGAATACGATTTATTGCCTTGTTCAAGCAAAGAAGTTGTCTACCAAACACAAAATTCTTTACTTTTTGTGTGAGCCCCACCACATTGAAAACTCTTAAGCAAATTTACAACACTTTCCAGTCAGGCTTTGAGTTTTTAAGGAGACACAACATTGCAACATGAACTGAAACTGTATCAGCAGACCGACAAACACATCAGCTACAAACGTATAATCTGACAACCCTATTGAGTGACTGAGAACTGATTACATTATCTTTACGTTATCAAACATTATCTTATTCCTTATGACATTGTCTCTCAGAAATTGTCTAGTTCCTGTGGTCGTTGTTTTTTAGCTTTAATTGTCTTTCACACACTCTCTGCAGGAACATGGTGCTTGCTGAGCGCTGCGCTTTACTTAGTGCAGAAATTTTAAAGAGTCAGGGAAAATACTCAGAAGCTGCAACTCTTCTCATCAAGATGACCAGCGAGGTGAGGAAACCCACGCCCTTTTCAGTTTCTATGTACATTTTTTTCTAGACGCCCTGGGTGTAATGCTTACATTATTCAGTGTCTGATAAATACTGATTTAAGTGGACTCATTTTAGTCTCTATACACAAGTGAAACTCAGGTAAAGTGAGTTCTACAGAGATAAAGGATTTATTTTCACTCATAAATGTTCACGTTTGACTTATTTATTCCCCAGTGCTGTTTCATGTTCATGTAAAAACTTTATACTGAGATAAATTGATCATTTACAATCAATCATAAACAATCATTTTTAGTGACAAACTTAATCTAGAGCATCTCTCCCTTGACAGTAATATCTATAGGAATATGGAGCAGCTGTTAATAAATGCAAGCATTGATCAATATATTTCTCTTTCAGGACTCTGACTTGCGTAGTGCTCTGCTGTTGGAACAGGCTGCCCACTGCTTTATTAATATGCGAAATCCAATGGTACGCAAGTTTGCTTTCCATATGATCCTGGCTGGTCATCGTTTCAGCAAAGCAGGACAGGTGAGCCGTTTCAGCTAGAGGGCCGCTGCAAATATGAACTTCCACCCACACACCCCCAAGACAAAGTAGCCTAGCATACCTCAATAGTCCACTCATGATAATATCATTTTAGTACTTCTAATTGTGATATAGGCAGTATGAAATAGCAACATGGTAGAGCATTTAATGTCAAGTATATAAACTGAAATGTCACGTTGCAACCAATTTTGCATGGGCTCCTCATTAAAACCACACAAACACTTTCACAGCATCTGTTTCCTCATTGATATGAACGTAAAAGAACTGCTGGTTATAGTGACCTATAAAACAAAGAGTCTTGATAAACATATTGTCAGTACACTATTGTATTCCTTTTCTTCTTTATTTTCTAGTCCTCTTTGGTTACTTTTATGTAAGTTACAACCTGTTCTCTAACCTTTCCTCATTCTTTCTACTCCTCCCTGTATGTAGAGAAGGCATGCATTGCGCTGTTACTGCCAAGCTATGCAGGTGTACAAAGAGAGAGGCTGGTCTTTAGCAGAGGACCACATCAACTTCACCATCGGGCGTCAATCCTTCACACTCAGCCAACCAGAGAACGCCGTGGCAGCTTTCAGAGAGATCCTGGTCAACGACAGCAAGCAGACAGCCACACAGCAGGGTGCCTTTCTCAGAGAGTTTCTCTTTGTGTATAAGGTAACTCGAGTCTATCATCATGTTTCTTTACTTCATACGGGATAGAGCATAATTTTTCTTTGATGCTACAGCTCAGAGGTAGAGTGGGTTGCCCTGTTAAAGCGGAGATCTCCAGCTCTTGCCATCCATAGGAAGGAGTTGGCCTTGTACAAGATTCTAAACCCTCAATTTCTCCTAAAGGAAAACAAAGTGTTTGAGTGTTTGAACCTTATGGGCGGCTAGGCATTTTGCATGGTTAATAAACACTGTTAACTTCCTGCCTGCACACCTGTAAGAAGTGAATTGTTTCTAACCTTTTGCTCATAAATGATATGAGTTAACTGCATAGATACAAGAGATTGTTGTTGACATAAGTAAGAGTTACTCAGAAAACCAGTAACCATACAATATTTAGAAGTACATTAGATTTTTTATTATTAGTTATATCGTAGTTGCGCTCATGCTGAATTAACACATTTTTGCGTCTTTTCCAGAGTGTAATAGGGGCAAATGATGTCAGCCTCCCCGAGTTACCTCTTCCCTGCATCCACGGCTCAGCCACAAGAGTGTACTTTGGACATGATCGTTGCCTTGCAGAGGGTAAGACATATATGAGTACCTTATTGACACCTTTGACCAAAGTGGTAACATGCACAGAGGTATTCATGTATATTTTACACAAATTCTCAAATGTGTGCAAGGGTTTATATTTAAGAATATTTTAATTTTCTCATAGAGAGAGACATAACCAATGGTGAGTTTGGATATGTCACAGTAGACACCAGTCAGCATGGCTATTTGGAGACACAGTTAGATATAAACAAAGATGTGCATAAAACACCCCAAATATGAATCTCTCAATGTGAAACATCAAGATAGACATTTTCAAGCTGTAATGAATGCCATACAAAGTTTTGTTTAACAGACATTTTTGTAATAGATAAGAGACTTTACACTTATTTTTCTGAGGAAGCAGATAGCAAAAGTAAAATCGTTAATTGGTTGATCAGTTCATCAAACTTGAAACATTTTTACCTGTCCGGGTCAAGTCAATTTTATTAATCAAATTAGTCCAGTTAGGAATCATTGCATACTCCTGTTAAGTACAGGCAGAAGGTATTTTCAAACCGAGAGATGAAGGTATCTGACTGACAACAGAAAATGGATGCTATTTTTGTATCAGAAACATTACATCTGAAAAAAAAATGTTTGATTTTTTTCAGGGGAAAAGCAGGCAGCTACTCACGTATCCCTTGATCAGGAGTATGATCAAGATTTGGCTGCCATGTGGTGTAACCTGGAGGAGCAGCTTGTGGCCGCCTCCAACCGAGGGATTGTCCCTGTTAACTTCCAGCCCACCCAGTGCTGTCTCAACAGTCAGACAGACAACCAGCGCTGCCCACTGGCTGTAGTAGAAGGTAAGAGGGTCTTCAGCAGACTGAGTGGGATTGTGAATGAAAATCATACCAACACTTTTGCCTACAACTCATTGAAAGCTATTTTTCTGTTTTAACAAACTGCAGATTATAAAGAATAGTGTTACAATTGGAAGTACAGTCCTATTGAACAGAATAGTGCCTGCTTGTTTTCAGCAATCTGGAGCAAATGTCCTCTCTCTCTTTCTCTGTAGAGCCTATCATTGTAGAGTTGAAATTCAAGAACCCTCTCAAGGTTCCTCTGGCTCTATCTAACCTGTCACTCCTCTGGAGATTCACTGCTGAAAGTGGGTCTTCATCAAATAAGACGACTGAAGAGATGGTCATCACCAATGAGGAGACCTTTGCTCAAGGGGTAAGCAGTCGAGCAAATTTCCTCATGGAAACTTTGATTTCTAATTAATTATCGTCAAATACAGTAAAATCAAACAAAAAAACTCAATAGCCTCTTAAATGTCTGTTTGCTTTAAAGACAAAACAGAAGGATGATGTTGTCACAACCGATGTCATCCAGGAGTTTCAAATGAGTCCAGAGGAGACCAAAGTGGTAAGGTGTTTTCGTAAGTCTCTTTGGGGGATTGACAGTTGGGGGGGGGTGTACATGCCAGGGGTGGATCCAGACTTTTTTGACTGGGTGGCCCAACTGTGAGCAAGGTGGCACAAAGTATGTGTGTGCTTACAAACAGATGAATAGCATCTATTTATCTACGGACTAACTATTTTAGCTTTGGACATTTGAGTATGTAAACAATGTAAAATTCATAACCTTAAAAAGCAACACAATACAACACAAAGTGAGATCCATCCTGCTCTCCTGCTTCCCTGCCCCATCTTCCCTTCATGCTGGAGAGCAGTGTAAGTGAGTCAACCCAGATCTCCCTCTCCCTAGCAACACTTACCAGCTCTTTTCCTGAGATCCCAAGGCTTTCCTAGGCCAGGTGGGATATGTAATCCCTTCAGGAAGTCACTGTCTTTTCTGCAGAGGTTCTTCACATATTGAATATGTGCTGCTCATGCTTGACTGTAAAATCCTTGAAAGTGAAACTCATGATTCTTGTACCTTGGGCAGGACCAATATAACCTGAACATTCATGCAGACATATGCATGTGTAAGCCTTCACTTGAAGCAGAATAAATTATAAAGGCCGTATTCCAAAAACTAACCAAAACAATTGAACAGTCTTTTTCAATGAATAAGTTCAAGTCCTGTTTTCCATCGTCAAGTCCCAAAGTAGTCTATGCTTTTGTTTGAGACCAAGTCTTAACCAGGAGTTTTGATTTGTTTTTGTTTTTTTTTACCAGAGGGCTGTAATGTTAGGTTCTTTCTAAAAATCTAGGAACATGAGTGGTAATAATAATTGTGATCTTGGATCTCAGGCTCGACTCAGGCTGCTGCCACGGAGAACAGGCCAGCTGAATATTGTCGGTGTGGTGTATGACCTTGCTACCGCCTTATCTGGAGAGAAGGCTCCCAGCACTGAAGGTAATAGAAGAGATTTTTCAGCTGTTTATCAAATAAATTATATTCTCTGCAATTCATTTCCAATTCATTTCATTTTGGTGTCAGAAGATATGTCTGGTATGTATGAGCTTACTTTTAGATTTACTGCTTATGAAACTTTACCACTTTAAAAGATATGTGCTTTTTCTTGTCTGTTTTATTGATTTATTCTTTTTTACATTTCAAAAAATTTCATCACAGAGGAATCCTTTTACTGAATGCTCCGTATTTTGCCACCACAGTTAATCACATTACAGATTTCTTTGTGTTCAAAGGTCAGCAACCATTGGATTTGATAGTTGTTCGAGGAAAACAGGACCTGAAAATTCGTGGTCCTCGACTCAACCAGACCAAGGAGGACAAGATGTCGGTCAGACATGGTCCTGATCACCGACTTGATCCCATCATAATGCCGCCTATGCCCCTAATGGAGGTAACACCGACTCACCAACTTTAAAGTTAGCTTTAAGGACTGTCTACAGGCACACTTAAAAAGCCTTTTAAGTGCCTTTATATGTTCAGAATATATCTAATAATCTTCAACAATAAGGAAAAATGCTGACCAGTTTGATCCTCTCAGAGCCCACATCAGGGTATGGTCATTATACAGACACAGGTGAGGCTCATTTATAACAACATGTTGCCTGAAGGATGACAACTACAAGACATACTGGTAGGTAATATTAGGGCTGGGCGATATGGCCTCAAATCAATATCAGGGTGTATTGAGCAGTTCACCATGATAACAATAAATGGACGATAACTACTCCACAAGCTGCTCACCCCCTCCCACATTAACCTCGTCTACTCCAGCCCCCGTTCCAGCCACTACAAGTTTTGAACCGCCCTCCATCTCCTCACCTGTCTTTCCCTCTTTGTTACGGACTGGATGGGGTGGAGTCACGTCATGTCTCCTACATAGGACAGCATCTTAAAAGGACATGAGACCATAGCCTACTTACACACATCCAAAACCAACTTTTATTTATTTATTTATTTATTGACACCGAATATACTGACATGGGCAAAATGATGTCGGTTATTGTCGTAAATTTCGGTATCTGTAAATTTTCGGTTTATCGCCCAGCCCTTGGTTATATTGAATATATAACACAGTAAACATAAAATGGAAGGATTAAAAGAGGAAAATCACATCCTACAGAAAGGACAAACCACTATAATTATGACAGCCTATCATAGTTGATTAAAGGGGATGATGAGAACCAAGATCTGATGCTTATATATAGATTACACTAATATAGATGACCCTTACCTGTGTCTGATGAAGACCCTAACTTGACATGCCCTGAACAACTTTGTGAAGGCTTTTGTCTTGACTATACCCTGTGTACCTGATGATAGCTTTTGAGGCTTCTCCCCTTTGATGGTATCCCTAAAAGTGTTTCTGTTCAATTTCACAAACATAATTTTCCATTTAGAAGTCTTTGTCACACTCTGATCGTGTTTATTTGTGCATTTGTCTGTGTTTTCTCTCCAGATCTTCTTCTTGCAGTTCCCCACTGCTCTGCTGTGTGGTGAGATCAGAAAAGCCTACGTCGAGTTCTGTAATGTCAGCAGTGTTGCTTTATGTGGCCTCAGAGTGGTGTCCACACACCCACATTTCTTCACCTTTGGCAGCCAGGCAACAACGCCCCTCACACCCCTCAGCCCCAACTCAACAGAAAACTGCTCGGCCTATAAAACCATGGTTGCTCCCCCTCAGCCACTTTCTGGGGCGTTGGAGATGTTGGTTTCAGCAGAAGAATTCAGCCAGAAGTCTGATGTAATGGAGATACCCATAGATGGAAACACACTGCAGCCAGGGGAGTCCATCCAACTCCCTCTGTGGCTCAGAGGACCGGACCAGGAGGGAGTTCATGAAATAAACTTTTTGTTCTACTATGAGAGCACAGAGAAAGGAGTCAAGATCAGGTAAGAATGATAGTTTGTTGAGAACGTGCACAATATGATAAACCTGATTGAATATTGTAATTTCTTAATTTTTACTGTAATTCACGTCAGCGCCTGACAATTTAGTAAATAAGAAGACTTTAATGGTCTGGAATTACATTTCTAAGAGTCGGACCAAAAATGTGTTTTTTTACTTCTTTTATTGGAGGATTTGTTTGCTGTTCTTGGACAAAATTATGAAACCCAGTTTATAAAAATCAACATAGTATTTAATCATTAAAAAAACAAAACAAAACATATTTTTCTGATTCACTTTATTCTTAATATCGTAATATTGTCCACAAGTTCTTAATTTTGGATGTACCTCTATTGAAGTTCTTGCTGCATTACATCATTGGCTCTAGCACTCTGTTAAATCCTGTTACATCTCTGAGTATGTGATTTAATTACTGTAAGTAATTATCATACATTATTTTATTTCAAAAGTACCTCTAAATGAGGTTCTAAAACAGCCTGCAGACATTTCAAAGCTCAAATTCACTTTTTTCAGGCCTGAGGACCTCCACGGACACTTTTCTTACGTAGCAGCTCTGGAAATCACATCAGTTTGTTTAATGTGGTTTAACAAGCCAATCTTCGTTCTCTCCTCTTCTTTTCTCTGTCTTCGTGTCAAGTCATCGTGTGTTACGTCACACAGTGTTTATTTGCGCCAGCCGGTCTCTGAGTGTGCAGGCCTCGGCTTGCCGAAGTAGTGTTTCACCCCATCAAAGTCAGGATGACAAAAATAGCAGTGGGACGTTGGTCTTCATTGATGTGGAGAACATCAATACGGTGAGAAAAGAGCATAGAAAACACCTCCAAGGTGCACTTTCAGTAACCATCTTTTTTTTCTGCTGAAAAGTTACACAGCTCAAGTTTTTTCTTTTTCCTACTTCGGTTCCAGAACGAGGCTGGTGTGCGAGAGTTCCACATTGTCCAGGTGTCAAGCAGCAGTCAACACTGGCGCCTCCACAAGTGTATCAACCCTTCCAAGGATAAAGGTTTGATTTTAATACACGGTTCACTATACATTTTTGGGAACTTGGGTTATCTTTCTGGCTTGTATTTATATCTTAAAGCACTTTTAGAGACAAACCTTTTCCAAAAACAGCATCCTCAAATAATTGTGAGAGCGTGAGATGTAGAAACAGATTATGATTTGCAAAATACCTGTAAATTTTCATTAATTGAAAACATCTCAAACCAGACACTGAAATACAAATTTTACCTCTTTTAAAAAATGTTGTGCCCATTTTGAATTTCAACTTAAAAGGAGCAACACAGCTGTATTACCATTGCTTCTCTACACTTCAGAGCTTTCACTAGATCTGATGCTGATAGTTACTCTTTGGATTTTGATTGATAACTCTGATTATGGGATAAGCCATGTGGAAATGATCACTAATTATACAGTGTTTTTTGTTAATGAGGTTGGCTCCATTCTTACCAGCTGTAAAATAGGTTATAAACACACTAATGTAATAATTTTTTCCATTTCACAAATAAAACACCAACATGAATTTTTTTTTACAAGTTACAGACATAAAACAATTACAGACAGATAGATGTATTACAACCAGCCAAGTCAAGCCAAGTTAGAGCTTAACATTTTCAGTCAAAGTGTTAGCAGTCTGCTTTATCTTCCTCTAAGGCGTATAATCTATATTTGAAAGGATTGAAAGAGACCGGCTCTCCATGGCGCAGTTTAAATACAATATTGAATGAAGAATCGTCCTGTATTGTTAGGCTTCAGTGCAACACTTAATTCTTTCATGTCTTTCTAAAAGCCAGCTATCTGAGTCTTTCCTCATCATCCCAATTATATTTACATTTGCAGCAGCTGAATTTCATCAGTTTTCCACCTCACCTCTTCTCTTTATTCAAAAAGGAAGGAGTTTTTTTTTTTCTGCATCTAGATCTGAAGTTATCATGTTGAATTAGTGATGATCAAGCCATTTGCATTTCATATCTAACTATTACATTTGAACAAGGATGACTTCTTTGTTTACTCAGTCTTTCCCTTTTCCTTCCCAGATTGTAAACTAACTAGTAGAGAAAGAGCCAAGCTATGTTTCAGGGCGACACAATGCAAGCCTATCCAAGGTATGTCAACCATTTATGGATCTACATACACAGTTTTAGAGAAGGACAAGGTTTGATCATCTGATTGTTGATCATCTTGTTTGTCTTTTTCTTATAGCTACCTCAAATGCTGTGGAGAAGTACACCTTTGCGGACCTGAATCTGGGAAATGAACGGGTAAATTGCAGCAACATTTTGTTCTTAGTTTAAATGGTCAGAAGTTTGTTGTAATCTTTATAATTTTTAGAACTTTTGGTTTGACACTTCAGTCCAAACATTTCTTTTCTCTTTAAATACATCTCCCTGAGTTACTGAATTTGAAATAATAAATGAAAGTGTGTCTGTGTCTCCCCTCCTTCTCTTCCCCTTGTTGCTGTGTAGATCATAAGTTCCGCCACACCGTGTGGAGATTTCTTTTTCCGGGGCAGCTGGACCTCGGAGTCTAAGCGAGTGAATGCAGGGTCATCCAGGACGTTATCCAACAGCAAGTGTCAGAGCGGTGTTTCCTCCGAGGACACAGCCTCTGACATTACCAACATTGTAAAGAAGTGTAATGAGCTGGACCTCAACATTATTGTCATTTGGAAGGTACATATGCCAGAGATAAATAAATATAACAGGTACATAACACAGTCTCAAGCACAGAATCAGCAAGAATCTGACTGTGTTCATTTCAAAGCTCCTTTAACACACGTGATCAACTGTTTATAACTAAAACTGCAAAAACAAAGTAAACTGAGAAGAAACCGTCAGTTCTTGAGCCTTAAGTGAGCGATCTGTGTCTTTACAGGCTTATGTAGTGGAGGACAACAAACAGCTGATTCTTGAGGGCCAGCTCCATGTGGCCCTGCAGACCATCGGCAAAGAGGCCAGTTCTCTGACTCCCAAAGAGGTACAGTAGGCACACACAGAGGACAATGGTTTTCTTGTCTTCAACTCACTTGTAGTTCAGGGGGTAAACAAAGGAGGACATTAAAAAAACAACTTTACTTTCATTTGTTTAATGTACACATGGAGCGAATACATAAATATGAATTTTATGTGTCTTCTCCCAAAGACACAAGATCTACAGCTATATTCAAAGCAGCGTCAATGTGACAGTAAAAATCCTGCGAAATGTAACTTTAAGTATCTGTATGTGTTACTGAATATTTTGATTGCAGGAAGCGCAGGAGATGGTGCTTCTCAAGTTTAAATCAGAGCTACCTCCTCCTGTTGTCCCCGCCTCTGCAGAGCTCTCCCAGCTCATTAAATCCAACCTGCACTACCCAGAGACCTACACCCATCCTTTTTTCCAGAATAGGTAGGACCTTCACACACTCATACACCAAACACTGCAGCATCCGAGCTTTATTTCTAAGTAGACTGTATTTTGATGATAAAAAAAAATGTTGAGCACAAGATTTCGACTGGTACTGAAGCATTTTCATGGTTTGTAAATTCAAAGTAAATTATCTTAACTTGCCTACAGTTTAAAATTGTAGCTACAAATTTAACTCATACAGTCTTCGGGCTTTTATCTTTAAAATGGTGAGACTATGACTGACAACTTCATAACTTTTAATGAGACAGACAGGTTATTCGTTATTCAGCCATGCAATCGAAAATACTGGATTATTCAAAAAGTGAAATATTAAGAGGAAAAGACTGAAGCTATTATTTTTACTACTAAGCCATAAATCAAATGGCTGTGGATCAGACTAACAGTAAAAATGTATTCTTCACCTTCTATAGCTAAATATGATCAGGATATCATGTTTGACAAGCTTGCTTTACCTATGTGTCAATCAGAATATTAGTAGTTGTCAGGTGAACCTTTAAGCAATCTCTTTGAAAGTATCCCATTTAGTACAGTATGATAAAGACTAATAGTATCAGCCCCTGCTGAAGGACTGACACACACACACAAACACTGCCCTAGGAGTTCATATTTGCTCAAAGACCAAACTGAAGGTCATCGCATCTTCGCTCAGAGAGGAAGTTGACTCAGGAGCTGTTAGCTACCTTATTCAAGGCTGTGTTGACCGGGTGATGACTGCAGAGTAATTGTCGAACCACATGAATGTCAGAGTTTCCTTTGAATAAGGTCAATGTAGCATCACTATTTATGTTTGATCACCTTTTCCTCTGTCTGTAGCCTCTGTGTGGTGCCTGTTACGTTGACTTTGTCAAACTGTTCCTCGGCTCAAGTGGATGTCCTCATTGAATTACGGCACAAAAGTGGCAGGTAAGGTTCATCTGTGTGGACTTTGTGACTGTTTGTGACAAGCAGGTGACACGACTCATTTAACAAGTTGCACTTCTTTAATGACTTGAGTGAAATTCTAGTTGTGTTAGTACATTCATTGTGCAAGTACTGCTCCCAGCTGGACAGTTGTACATGTGACTGCAATATTTAGATTAACGTATACATGCAGGGCAGGTTAGTGTAGAGCAGTAGTTCTCAATCCAGTCCTCGAGGCCCCCTGTCCTGCATGTTTTGGATGTTTCCCTGCTCCAACACACATGATTCAAATGATCAGCTCATTATTAAGCCATTACAGAGCTTGATAACGAGCTGATCATTTGAATCAGGTGTGTTGGAGCAGGGAAACATCCAAAACATGCAGGACAGTGGGCCTCAAGGACTGGATTGAGAACCACTGATTCAGAGTCATACACGCATATGTACATGTGTTTTTTACATAAATGATTTCTTTTCCAGCCCAGAATCTTTAGATGTCCACAGCTCGTTCACCTGGGTGGGTCAGACCCAGTACAAGCTGGAGCTGAAGTCTCAAGAGGTGCTGTGCCTTACTCTGCGGGCCTGCTTTCTCCAGGCAGGAGTCTACAACCTAAACACTCCACGAGTCTTTGCCAAGCTGGCCCAGCTTGGTGCCATGACTGAGACAAGTCAACAGACAGCCAGTCCTGCTCTCATAATCATTAATAATGCCTGAGCGGGGCAGCAGGACATGCAAGGAGGAGGGCCTGGATTCTATGGACAGAAACAACTTGGCAGAGTCTGTTGGTTACTTCTCTACATTCGTTAACATACCTGTTTTCTGGGCTATATAGGAAAGCAGGAAAACTTGTTTTATACCAATTAGTAAAACAGATTTAAAACAAACAACTGCAGTTTTTAGAGTTTGATGAGTTAATGTTATAGCTGAAGTTGTCCAGTTTATGGACCTATGAACTATACCCCGTCTTCAACCAAACATCAAATTTTCATCTGCACATTACTTTTCTTCTTAAAGAAGCCCACTCATAAACACACGTTGGTTTTCCTCACACCAGCCTACTGTGCTTCTGTTTTTAATGCACATTGTTTAACCCACCAACACTACATCCTAACCAGAGCTGATAAATCCTCCATGTTGTGCTTCTCACCATCCTCCACATCGATGAGGCGTCCGTTCACCTAAAGTTCTTGGCAAGAGCCACCTAACCACTGGATCATATTCACCTGCCCTCCATGTGACTTCACAGCTCAGCAACTGTCTCACATGCATGCTGTTTTTCCTCGAGTCCAGCTAATCAGATCAGTAAACCCTCTCAGTTTTTGTTCAGTCTCACCGTGTTATGATAAAGATCTTGTATGCAGTGATTTAAAAAAAAATTCTGAAAATTATGCATTATATTTATATAAAAATTAAATGTAAATATGAAATAAAACTGTAATGAATGATGTTTGACTGGGATTATCTGGAAGTTTATTCACAATCACAACACAGCTGATTATAGTGGGGCTATTTCATATGCAGAGAAACAACAATGACGAAACAACCAGAGTCTGCTTGTTACCAGCTTTTATAAGGACAGATCCAAACATGGAAAGCAAAATATAGAATCTTAAAAATTTATTCATTTATTGATATTATTATTTTATGAATGAAATAATACAAAAACGACAAATACAAGAAAACAGCAATGTTAAAAAAGAGCAGATGAAAGAAAAAACTGCTGGCCTACATAGATAAACACACATCTTTTCTAAAGCTCTCAAGAAATTTAGGATTAGAGCAAACCAAGAGAAAAAGGGAAAAAAAAGAAATGCAATCCAAGATGGTGTACAACAGATCAGTATCGGCACTGTCTCTCATTCATTCATGTTCACTCCTATTGTTATGAGTTGGTTCATCAGATAAGTGTGTCCAAAGGTGTCCTCAATGAGGATTTTTGTATTAGTATCTAATGCTTTGAGTTTATGGATTTTTAATTTCTGAGAGCTTTAAACCGTGATCAAGATCCAAACAAAATGGTTTTGAAATATTTCATCTTGTGTGGTGAATCTAGAGTTGTGTTTCTTTTTTTTTTAAATTAAATTATGGGTAAACAATGGACTCTTTCAGGACAATGTTATATTTTGAGCTGCACCTACACCACCTCAAAAGGAGGTCAAGGTTTGAGGCCAACTGCTCAGAGCAATGACAATATTAATTTCAGGCCTAACAGAGTTCAAGTCATAAATAAGAGGAGTACAGGCTGATGCAAAAGTAGATGCTGGACTACATCTTCTCCCTTCTTTTACCGTTATATGTGGAGTAATAACACTTCATTTCCTTTTTCTTTTTGGGTTTATTCTGTCATACCAGTTTAAACACACCACAGGCATAGCTGTGCCCAAGGGCCATGTATTTAGATGAAAATATTTTGTCATACTGGATCTACAGTATTTGTGCTTTCCATAACTTTAAACTTTTGTGAGGTGCTTTTCCTACCTCATCATCTGTTTGGAGATCTGAGACCACAAGCAACATCAGAATATTGTAGTAACTTATGGGAAAAGTAGACTGTAGAATAGAATGAGTAGAAATAAAAACTGATGGGCTCTATACACAGCAGCCTCTGCCATCAGTGTGTGGAAGTGAACGGGTGAATGTGAGACTAAATTTAAAAAAAAAAAAGTGCTCCGAGTGGTGAGAAGATGAGAAATTACCATTCAAACACAGTCCCTTTATTTTAAACTGGTATTATAATGTGTTGTCTCAATTTCATGCACTGATCTGTCTGATTCCCACCCTTCGGATCCAAAGCTTCCTTTTCATTACGTTTTATGTTCCACTCATCAGGCACCTATAGCGTGATGACAGAGTTTTTCTTTTCAGCTCAAATGTTTGGTTGGACACAACTTTCTCTTGTGTACCATGAGAAAAAAGGTGCTGCTATCTCATGATTTCACGCAATGAAAAGGTACCAAAGGAAACATTTGCTGCACTTCAACACTGACTCACTGAAGCACATAAGGGCCCTTTGTGACAGAGACCAAGCTGATGTTCTCCCTTTTTTACAACTCTCTCCTTTTTTCAGTCCTATTTTGTCCTAAACCCATGTCTTCTTTTTCAATAAGACACTCCTGTGAGGAGCTGATTGGATTGAAAAGACTCATTCACTCAAGACAACTATGTTGGGCACCAATACATGGAGGTGAACTGTTGGAGTGTACTGGCCAAGTCTGTCTTCATTCCATCACTGACATTTATATTACTTAACAACACAGACAGCAGTCTGTGATGTGCCAAGATGGCTTCTATAATTGGCCTCCTTATGTATAAACAAGACTATGAAATTATGTATATCATCTAAAGAAAAAACACTATAATTACAGCTGTGATATTGCAAAAAAGTGTTTATAAAGACATTGTGACATTCAAGTGCTGATTTTTAAAAAGAAGGCACGTCTGTTACAGTTCTGGAGAAGATCATCAACAGCTTCAATCATTTCTTGGTTGCCCAGTTGTGCTTACAGTACGATAGATAGAGATAGAGCACTCATACACTCCCTTGAGGTTATGACGGTCCAGCCACAGAAAAGCATCAATCTTCTGGCTGCTCTGTAATAGCTTCATACTGCCGTGGCTTTCTATAGAGACAATAGTGCTGAGTCATGAAGAGGATGTCAAATACCACAGAGAACAGACCCAGGCCAAACTTTGTTGGATCTCCAAATATCAGCTGCCATTCATCTGCAAAAAAGACAGAGCAATAAGGACAACAACAGACTCTGTGAGTAAGATAAAAAGATCAGGTTAGAACTATGTGAAAAATTCAGGTGCATATATACCAACTGATTTACAACAAACATAAAAATGTGTCTGCTCTCACGTCCTAATTACGAATGCTGCGATGCATAAATGATCATTGTAAAAATGCAAAGCACTCCTGTTTTTACATTTGTTACAGATGAAAATCAAACTTAGTGTAGCTTGGATTATAGTTTGGTTTTCTATTCAACTAGCAATAACTCCAATATCTTTTTAGTTGCTGTAAACACTGTATTCAAGAATAACGAAAATATACAAATGTATTTATTTACAATCTATTTCAAGGACTCTTCTCCAACATGGAAGTTGTTCATGGGTTTAAACGTCGGAAATCAAATGAACCCTGAGGGTATTCCTGACAAAGATTAGTATACTGAGAGGACATTGGATTGGATTAGATTAGACTAGATAAAACTTTATTAATCCTTTTGGGAAGGAAATTTTAATTCCAGCATCATATTTACAGAAAATAAAAAAAGATCAATGTCGCGGGTTCAGTTTCTTTAAGTTCTTTTTCGGTTGTGGAGGGAAAGATGATGGCACAGTCGAGAACCGAGTACGGTGATTTCCTTTTATTTACACCATCTCCAAAAAAATACCCACAGGTGAAAACTCTTATGTACAAAAAATATTTACAAAAATTATTTACAAAAAAGACAGAGGAAAAACTATTTACAAACCGCAATTCAAATACCAGGACCAACATACGTCTGCTCAACCAGGAGGCACCCCAACAAGTGAGCTGAGCTCCTTTAAATACCCCTTGGCCCCTCCTCCGGACAAACCAATCAAAACAATCAAGGGGTTTTTCAAGATATCAGCTATTATATCATAACTAATATTTCTACATACACAAAATAATACAAAGCAATTACTGTTGCTCACACCCTCCACATGGCTGAGCCAATATTAAACCCAAACACAATATTTTTCCTATAAATCAATTTGTTCCCGGACTTTGGTTTCTCCCTGGATCACCTGACCCGCGGAGGCACGTCACCTAGTGCTACTTAACAGGTGACCCGGAACTGCCTCTGTTCAGTCCATGAAGCGGAGACAGAAGGTGAGTGTGTATGTGTGTGCGTGTACATGTAAGCGAGACCCGTGTAGGTGTTTGAGTGTGCACCCTCTAACACCAACCACGGGGACGCAAGAGTCCAATTATTGTTTTTAAATGTTCATTTTGACTCCCGTCCGTCTGTCACTCCAGCCGCGAGTGACCACGCTATTCCCCCACGTCGGCGCCGAGCGACGAGGGAGAGCGAGAGGGAGAGAAGGCGTCCAGCCGCGAGAGAGAGCGTGCGTCCAGCCGCGAGAGAGAGAGCGGCCAGCCGCGAGGGAGAGAGCGGCCAGCCGCGATGAGGACGGCGTTAGTGGCGCCCCGCCACATTACCCCTCTCCTCCCCGAGGTTGGCGATGTGCGGCAACCTTGACAGATAGTCTGCCACAACATTGCTCTTGCCCGGCCGATGGTGGATCCGGAATCTGAATGGTTGGAGGGAGAGGTACCAGCGGGTGAGACGACTGTTGTGATCCTTCATCGAATGAATCCACGTCAGCGCCCGATGGTCAGTCTCCAAGTCGAACTCCCTCCCCAGCAGGTAGTATCTCATACTCTCCAGGGCCCATTTGATCGCCAGGCCTTCCTTCTCCACCGTGGAGTACCTGGTCTCCCGTGGCAGCAGCTTGCGGCTCAGGTACAGCACTGGTCGCTCCTCCCCAGGTTCACCTTGGGCCAGGACTGCCCCCAGTCCCACAGCTGAAGCATCCGTCTGGACCAGGAACCGCTGTCTGAAGTCAGGGCTTCTCAAAACTGGCGAAGAGCACAAGCAGGCTTTGAGAGCGTGGAAGGCCGTCTCGCAGTCATTGTTCCAGATGACAGGGTTTCTCTGGTCCTTCGCTGTCAGAGCTGTCAGAGGCGCTGCGATGGTGGCAAACTGTGGGACGAACCTTCTGTACCAGCCGGCCAAACCCAAGAAGGACCTCACCTCCTTCTTGGTTCGAGGGCGTGGGCAGCTGCGGATGGCCTCCACCTTGTCCACCTGCGGCCGGACCTCCCCTCGTCCCAGCCGGTACCCCAGGTACTCTGTCTCCTCCTTAGCCCACTGGCATTTGGCTGGATTCAGTGTCAGGCCTGCCTGCTGGATCTGGCCCAGGACTCGCTCCAGGTGATGCAGGTGCTGCTCCCAGGTGTCACTGAAGATGACCACATCATCCAGGTAGGCAGCACTGCAGTCCTCACACCCCCGTAGAACCTGGTCCATCAGTCTCTGGAAGGTGGCGGGTGCCCCATGCAGGCCAAAGGGCATCACCGTGAACTGGAAGAGGCCGGAAGGTGTCTGGAACGCTGTGTAGGGACGACTGGATGCTTCCAAGGGTACCTGCCAGTAGCCCTTACAGAGGTCCAGGGTGGTGATGAACCTGGCCCGGCCAATCCTCTCCAGCAGCTCGTCGATCCGTGGCATCGGGTAGGCGTCAAACTCCGACATTGCGTTCAGCTTCCTGAAGTCGATGCAGATGCGGAGGGAACCGTCCTTCTTCACCACAATGACCACTGGGCTGCACCACTCGGACTGCGACGGTTCGATCACCCCCAGGCGCTGCATCTCTTCCACCTCCTTCAGGAGCTTGGCCACCAGATGTTGTGGCACCCGGTAACTCCTCTGGCGAACTGGCCCCTTGTCTTTCAGGTGGACCACGTGCTCGATGAGGCCGGTCCTCCCCGGGCTGGCAGCGAAGAGCTTGGAGACCCTCTCGAACACCTGGCACAGCTGGCTGGACTGGACAGCAGAGAGATGGCCCAGAGCAGGTTCAGCATACTGGTGGCGGTCGGCGAGGATACACTCCTCCTCCCCTTCACTGTCCCCCTCCATCACCAATAGGGCCGCCACAGGGCCCTGAGCTGGAGCCTCCTTCCACTCCTTCAGCAGGTTGATGTGGTAGACCTGCTTTGCCCTTTTCTTGTCCGGGTGGTGGATCTCATAGGTCACAGGGCCCATCTTCCGGAGGACGGTGTACGGGCCCTGCCACTTGGCAAGCAGCTTGCTGTTGGAGGATGGGAGGAGGAGTAGGACCTTCTGGCCGGGCTGGAACTCTCTGCGTCTGGCATGTTGGTCATACCACGCCTTCTGGGCCTGCTGGGCTTCGCGCAGGTTGACCTCGGCCTCCTCCCGGTACTTTGCCAGCCGGTCCCTCATCTCCAACACGAATTGGACCACACTGCGGTCACTGGTGCCTGTTGCAGGAGCCTCCCACGTCTTTAGAAGCAGATCCAATGGCCCCTGTACCTCCCAGCCATACAGTAGTTCAAACGGGGAGAACCCCGTGGAGGCTTGGGGAACCTCTCGGTAGGCGAAAAGCAGGAAGGGTAACCACTGGTCCCAGTCTTGCCCGGTGTCAGACACAAATTTCTGCAGCATCTTCTTGAGGGTTTGGTTGAAACGCTCAACCAAGCCATCTGTCTGAGGGTGGTATGGGGTGGTCTTGATTGTGGAGACCCCCAACTGTCGGTGGAAGAGCTGCAGGAGTCTGGAGGTGAAATTAGTCCCCTGGTCTGTGATGATCTCGTCTGGAATACCCACCCTGGAGAACAGCTGGACCAGGCAACGCAACACAGCCGGAGCAGTGACCGTGCGCAGGGGAAAAGCCTCAGGGAAACGAGTGGCATAATCACAGACCACCAGGATGTACTGGTGCCCTCCGCTGCTCCTCACCAATGGGCCAACAATGTCCATGGCTATCCGCCTAAATGGAGTGGAGATCACGGGTAGTGGTTGGAGGTAGGCACGGTCTGATTGGCGGACAAAGCAAGTCTTCTGACAGGTGGGACAGGTTTTACAAAATGTTTGTACATCCGCATACATGGAAGGCCAGAAGAACCTTGCAGATATCCGCAGGTAGGTTTTGTTGCGACCAAGATGACCAGCCCAAGGCAAGGTGTGTGCCAGGTGCATGATCATCTGCCGACATGACACAGGAACCACCAGGCGTCTGACCTCATCTGTCATCGCATAGAGCACATTATTGTCCACAACAAACCAGTCTTTGTCCTTCTTTGCTAGGTCCTGTCCCCAAACCACCTTGGCGAACAGGGCGTCAGAGTTGTGTCCTCCCTTTGTAAGGCCCCAATGTCCTCTGGCACATTCCATCTGTCCTTTGCCAGCCCCTTTTTTCGGTCTGGCTCCTGGGATTTCAGCCCCTTCTCAAACCGCCGCTGATGGCGGGACTTTCTGGGGCCCTTTGTGCCCCCCTCAAACAAACCACTGTCCAGGGTTGAAAAAAGTTCTGGCTCAGGGCCCTTTTCCTGCCCTGGGCCGGTTGCAATCCCCGCTCTGGCCTGGGCACGGGTGATCACCAGCCCAGACAACCCTTTCCCCAGGTCACTGGCTGTGGGTCCTGCCTCCAGCAGCACGTCCAGTAGCACTGGGAAGTCCCAACCCAGGATCGCAGCCACAGGCAACCTATCCACCACCCCCACAGTCAGCAGATAAGGCTGCTCGTCCACTACCACTGTCACCTCAGCTGTGGGGTAGGAATGGCTGTCCCCGTGTGCGCACAGAATGTCTTCCTGTCTGCTATAATCCACACTGCCCGTTGGCACCAGCTCCCTTCGCACCAGCGTCAGGAAGCTCCCAGAGTCAACCAAAGCAGTCACACATTCCCCATTTATGGTTATTTCCTTGAATCTTGGTTGCCGTCCCCCAGCACTTGCAACCTCCGCTCGGGGAGTGTAGCAGGCACTGCTAAGCTTGGCTTTTCTGATGGGGCACAGAGCAGCCTTGTGTCCTGCTTGCTGGCAGTAAAAACAAATAAGCTCCTTACCAGGGCTGCGCTGGCGAGGTGCGGACCGAGGTTCTCCTGCTGGATGCTGGCTGGCTCTGGCCGCTGGTCTGGGCTGTGATGAAACCTGCCGACTGGGTCCACCCTGGTTGACTGTCGGGCCTCCCCTCCGTGCGTTAAGGTACTGCAGTGCCAGCTTCCCTGCAGCTAGCCCATCCGTCGGCTCATGCTCCTTCACCCAGGTGCGGATGTCAGCCGGGAAGACCCTCAGCAGCTGCTCCAATATGACCTGCTCCCCGATCTGCTCCTTTGTATGCTGCTCTGGCCGGACCCATCGACGGTAGAGACCCTTTAAGCGGTGGTAAGTCTCTGTGGGGTTCTCTCCTGGTGGGACAGCCATGGACCGGAACTGCTGGCGATAAGTCTCCGGGGAGACGTCAAATTTCATCAGGAGCGCTGCCTTCAGGTCCGGGTAGGAGTGAGCCAGGTCCTCATCCATCGCTGTGTAAGCCTCCAGCGCCTTTCCAGTGAGCAGAGGCACCAGGCGACAGGCCCACTCACTGTCTGGCCAACCCCACGTTCTGGCAATGCGCTCGAAGCGGAGCAGGTAATTTTCAATGTCCTCTCCCGCCAGATACTGAGGGATCTTGGGGTCACCCCAGGGTCGGCTCTCAGACCTAGGAGGTTCTGCCAGGCTACTTGCCCTAATCCTTGGTGCCTCCACGGGAGAACTGCGTCGTGGCCGAGGAGCTGGAGTTGGTAACTCAAGACGGAGGCTCATAGTTGATCCAGCAGATGGCGGAGTGGTTCTTGGTGCTGGACTTGGTGTTACCGGCCTCCGTTCTGCCTCAGGCTGCTGCAGTGGGACTGGTAAGGCAGCTCGAAGCCCTCTGAGCTCTGCAAGCAAGCCCTCCTCTCTCCTCTGCTGCCCCTCCAGGAAAGTTCTCATCACTGTAAGCAGCTCCGCCCCAGCACCTGAAGTTCCCGGGTCTGCCTGCCAGGAAGGCCCAGCAGCACCCTCTTCATCCTCATCCTCTGTGGCCCAGGCTGCTTCCTCCACAGCTTCTTCCACTTTTTGTGACCGCAGTCCGGTCCGTCTTCCTGTGAACCGGATGCGTCCCCTTCGACTGGCCATCCCACTTCTGACACCAAATGTCGCGGGTTCAGTTTCTTTAAGTTCTTTTTCGGTTGTGGAGGGAAAGATGATGGCACAGTCGAGAACCGAGTACGGTGATTTCCTTTTATTTACACCATCTCCAAAAAAATACCCACAGGTGAAAACTCTTATGTACAAAAAATATTTACAAAAATTATTTACAAAAAAGACAGAGGAAAAACTATTTACAAACCGCAATTCAAATACCAGGACCAACATACGTCTGCTCAACCAGGAGGCACCCCAACAAGTGAGCTGAGCTCCTTTAAATACCCCTTGGCCCCTCCTCCGGACAAACCAATCAAAACAATCAAGGGGTTTTTCAAGATATCAGCTATTATATCATAACTAATATTTCTACATACACAAAATAATACAAAGCAATTACTGTTGCTCACACCCTCCACATGGCTGAGCCAATATTAAACCCAAACACAATATTTTTCCTATAAATCAATTTGTTCCCGGACTTTGGTTTCTCCCTGGATCACCTGACCCGCGGAGGCACGTCACCTAGTGCTACTTAACAGGTGACCCGGAACTGCCTCTGTTCAGTCCATGAAGCGGAGACAGAAGGTGAGTGTGTATGTGTGTGCGTGTACATGTAAGCGAGACCCGTGTAGGTGTTTGAGTGTGCACCCTCTAACACCAACCACGGGGACGCAAGAGTCCAATTATTGTTTTTAAATGTTCATTTTGACTCCCGTCCGTCTGTCACTCCAGCCGCGAGTGACCACGCTATTCCCCCACGTCGGCGCCGAGCGACGAGGGAGAGCGAGAGGGAGAGAAGGCGTCCAGCCGCGAGAGAGAGCGTGCGTCCAGCCGCGAGAGAGAGAGCGGCCAGCCGCGAGGGAGAGAGCGGCCAGCCGCGATGAGGACGGCGTTAGTGGCGCCCCGCCACAATCAAACATATAAAAAGAATCGAGATATATTTGCAAGTTCAGGTAATTTAAGTATTAATTTATAAAAAGTAAGATTTCAAGCTGTGGACATCGCACATTACTGTTACAACAACTACTACTACTGCTGAGCAGAATAGTGAATAGTGGCTACACTGTATCTGCTTGCTGTAAAATTGAGTTAAACAGAAAGTTTGTAAGTTGGGTGTAAGTGTCAAGTGAGGGCAGTCAGCTCAAGCTGTTTGTGCATCACATGGACACATAATTATACATAACAAAAGCTTATTTCTCACTCAGGTGAACTTTGCCATTTTTCTATTTGAAGACAAAAAACTTGCCAAAAGTCTAAAGCAAGTCTATTCATATACATCTTGTCTTTTGGGTATTTTTTTTAAAGAATCAACGTATTTTATTTGAACAAGTCAAACCCCGTTGAGCTCCCTAAAGGGTCTTGTTTGAATAGCAGTGTAGTGGACTGAACTGAAACTAAAGTTAGTGTTTTTTTCAATGCAGAAATTCCCTTTCAGTCTGTTTCAATAGTGGCTACTCCAAAAACAACTAATATCAAGAACTGCAGCACAAAGTATTAAAAAGTGCTGTGCACAAGTTACCGTTATTGTGAGACTGTAAGATCATCTGAAGAATACTGAAGGTTCCACCGGTGAAGTCCAGCAACACATTACCAATACTCCAGCCCTCAGTACTCTTTCTTCTGTAGTTCATGTATGCCTGAGAAATAATAAGATATTAAAAACAGATCATCAAAATACCACCATCATATAGCATTCTGGGAGTTTCATACAGACTCAAGAAAAAAAGTTAACAGATAATCAAATGGAGTGATTTGATTTGCCTCGTTCTTTTGCTTTATGGAATACCAACATCTTTGTCCTTTTTCTGTCATTTCATAAAATCACAGCGCCACTTTCTGACAACAGGAAGTTACTGTCTCCACAAAACTAGTCAAATCTTGTCTGGGTTACTAAATTGTCTGGAATATTCTCCTAAGACCTTCCTCCAATCCACCAAAGATCACATAACTGTATGTCAAACACTGTTGTCATGGCAACATAAAATCCTCCATTAACCTCCTCAGAATACTACTCCTTGTTTAAACTATCTGTAGAGTCACCAAACTTGGTTTACAGAAGCCTGTTGGAGCAATGACACATTTGATGCAGGTATGGTTGATGAGAGATCCCTTAATCATGCAATCAGCTAAACCTAAAATTTTCAAAAATCATCAGGTTTTACCAGCAAAGATGTGCTTTAATGGGCATATGCATCTTCAATAGACCTGCAAAAAAGTCTCTTGGACCCACATTGTAAAACTAACAGTAATACACACATTTTGATTAAAAATACACAATGACATTCCTTGTAAGGTAGTGCTGTTTGAAGAGTGTTCAAACATGAAAAAAGATGTAAAAGCCAGGGGCTCGGTTCTGAGGCGCCTACTCTCTGCACATCACGTGACCTTCCAAATAGACGTTTTAACAAATACAGTGTTTATCACAAAGCTATTGTAGTGCGGTGCATTGATATGTTTGGTTCTGAAGTGTGTAGCCCTTACCTGTGGTACATATTTGATTAGAGTGACTGCTAGTTTGATGTAGGAGAAATAGTAGAGGTAATCCAACCAGGTGATCTTTTGGGCAATGGCAAGACACAAGCTAACCAAGGCAAAAGTCCAGCCAATCAGCAACAAGACCAAGGCTGTCCAAGAGACCTTCTGACCACCCCTCTGAAAGAGAAAGAACACAGTATTATATATTGACACAGTGTGAAGGATACTGTACTGTAAACTGTAACTGTGGTTCTTTAAACTCAGTAAGAATCATAGATTTCAGACTCGAGGCACAGAGAAGCACTAGCTTTGGTCTTAGTCTGATCTACACAGATTAACACTCAAGAGTGTGTATATATCACAGCATAAACAACTTGTTTCTCTGTGTCTATAGCTTTGAATGAAAGTTTGCTGTTGGGGTGTCTACAGACAAATGTGGAACTATTTCCTGGAACACAGATACAGTTGACTGTTTCGTAATAAGGCCAATTGGTCAATATATGGAACCATTTCTCCCTTAAAACTCCTAAACTTCTAAATATTTCAAACCTCTGATTTTCAAAAGCTTCTTATATTTGCAGACTCGCACCTCATAAATAGCAGCCTGGATGGCGTAGATCAAACATAACAGGACAGCATGGAGACTGAAGAAGACATCATTGGCATCAACAGGGTTAATCCCGTTGGGGTTCTCCTTCAGAAACTCCTCCTGTGGAAAGACACACAGCAGACAAACAGACAACAGACACCATATACTGTTAGACAAAAAAGGGTGTGCAGTAATCCTGTGTGGTTTACATACTCCACTGCAACCTGCCCTCTCATTCAAACCAAAGTGACCAAATATATCAGAAAAACATAGATGTTATTCTTGCTGAATGTTTTTACAAAATGTTCAGTCCAGACAGCAATGACAGGGTCAACCAACACAGGCTGCCAAGAGGTGAATGAAATGTGGCATCATTTCTAATCTCATTTTCAAAGCCAATCTGTTCACTTCTCTGAAACTTTCAAATAATTTAGATTCATTTTAATTCATTTAATCTTTCCTAGAACATGGTTAATAGTGGATTTAATTTTTTTTTAATTTTTTGTTGCTGGGCACTGAAGTAGAGTTGGTGTAGGGCTGGACATTTCCAGGAAAGTTGTAGCTTTGGGATTTATTGTTTAATTCCTGAAATGTGGGTCCAGGTTCTCCTGAAAGTTTTAAACTGACCAGTGGACTGGACTGAAAGTTTAACACAGCAGAGGGCCACTTTAAGGGATTAAGTTACCTTTGTGTAAGGAATCCAGAACAGCCCTATGTTGAAGACACTGTAAGCAATGAAGCCGGTAAGGTTGAGGGCCAGGAAATCAAAGTTGAGACCTACAACACTAAAAACAGGCATGTTAGAATAATCTGTCTAATGTTTTTTTTGCAATAAAACTCTGTCAAGTAATGATTTTGCACTATCGAGGCTACATATAAACCGTTTCATCCGAGTGGTTTGAGGAGCCATAAAATTAATGATCAATATGTTTACATCTCACAACATCAAAATTCAAGCCTGTGAAATTCTTAAAAGACATCAAAATATCCAATATTAATAGAAGAGTGGACAAACTAAAACCTTTCTGAAAAGGAAAAAGAAAGCTACCTTTTCCTCCTCCAGTTTTCCCAAGCCTGTGGGTAGAAGGACACTGACCAGGCAAGAAAGTAAATCCAGCCTATCACCTGGCTAATTCCAGTGAGGATGTTGCTACGGACAACCATAAAGCGGATCCTGGTGGAGAGATTAGAGGGGAGAGAGTCAGGATTGTGAATGAAATGATTATACAATCAAACAATATTTTAAATGCTTGGGTAATGTCAGCATAGGGGATATAAAATGTGGCTAGAATACACTCCTTAAAATCCATAGTACATAGAAAACCCTGACAGACCACAAAATCCCTATTATATAATTATTATGGGGCAGCTGTGACTCAGTTCATGTTCAGGTTTACCTCTGAACTTTTCAACATTCACAACTACACACCCCACCACTTCCTAAACTAGCCATGGAGGAAAGATAAGCTTTCCCAAAAGCACAACTCTAGGCCTAAAAAGACCAATATCCTCAGCTCCTTTGTTAAAATAACTGTTCAAAACATTTGAACCTTCTTCTGTAACTGACTCTAACATATAATATGAACACAGTAACCAGAACCAACCAGAGTCTCAAAACACGCTTATATCCCTATTACATACAAATTAGAAACAGTATATGAACTCTGTTCTCTTGTGGGCCGATACCATGGTCTGCTTTACTGTTTTGTATTTCTAAAATTTGAAAGGTGCTAATACCTAATTGAATAAAAATATTAAAAACTAATAACAGAACTTTCAGTATTATTGTTTCAAGCCCTTGCAACCTCAAACGCTCAGTCATCTCCAGGTGACATCGATTAATTCCCTTAGGGCTCAGATTTAGAAATGTCTGTCAGCTCAGCCAGATGACAGTTTGTATCCAAATTGACAAGCTGACTTTTCTCTGAGCTAACTGAATGTTGAAACAAAATTGTCTCTGGTGGTGATTTGACAGACATTACTATCGACAGGCATACTTTAAGATTCTGCAATATTCTGGGAGATTTACGCTAATCTTTTTAAATCAGTCTCGGCTGCCTCTGTACCAAAACCTACCTGTTGAGATCTGTGTTATTGTTCTGCAGGTGTGTCGTCACCTGACCCACTTCATGGGACGTCACATTAAAGGTGACTGAGGTTGCCCCTGCTGGCAGAACAACCTAAACAAAAACAAGTACATTAATTAAAAAAACACAAGTGTTTAAAATATAGCCGACAAATGAGAGCCATGTAAAATAAATAATTAAGTCTTCCTTCAGTGTTTTGTTTTGTTTTTGTTTTGGGGGGGTTATATTTTACCTGTCCTGGCAGTGTAATTATAGAAGAGTAGTTCTGCTTGGAGCTGTAGGTAACATTGAACTCAATCACAGTTGATTCGTTGACAGACAAACTAGGGAAAAACAAACATCAAGTCAGAACAACACTTACACATACTGCATGTGAGTCTCTCTCTCTCTCTCTCTCTCTCTCTCTCTTCTCTTTCAAACCACAGTGAGGTCTCTTTCCAAGACATGGCTCTCCATCCTACTTATGTAAAGGTAAGCTTTTATAACTTAATTCTTGTAACCTGTGTGGATAACACAGGTTACAATACTCTCACGTTTTTATCAACATCATAATTTCTGTGTAATTCATTAACTTTACAATTTAACCGTGGATCTGCTGATTTGTATGAAAACAAACGTCAAATCAAAACTGGTCACGACAGTTTTTGTAGTTGCAAAAATGGGAAAAGATGCAGCAAAGAGCTCATGAAAAATCCCAATCTTTCTCAATCATCCAAAAATACTCTCTAGAACAAAGTGGTGAATTTAAGTGAAGAACCCAGTCTTTCATAAAATGTGAAGGTTCAATGATTTTCAGTACATTAGAGACTGTGTGTCTATCCTCACCTGGAAGTAATGGTGATATTTGCTTTTGAGGTTTCCTCTAGTGTCACCGCATTCGGAGCAAACAAAGACAATCTGGACTCTAGAGGATGGACAGATAAGAGAGGACAAACACAAGAGAGACATTATCAATCAATAATTAATACATACACAGAATTCTACAGAATTTTTAATTATCACTTTTACAAACAGATCACTGATTCAACTGCAATTGATCACGTCTTTGACATGTGGTCAGGGGGGGCTTTTGACCATATCAGTGCAGTGGCAAGACAGAAATCTCCCTCTTCGTAGAGGCTGATAGAATCGTGTAAATAGCAATAACAGTCAGCTCACCAGATATGTCAGCGAGCATCCATAGAAGCAGTAGATGAATTGGCACCCATCTCTTTGCCATCTCTGCAAAATGTTGAGTACCATTAACCTAGAAAAAGAAAAAAAAAGTTTGTTTTTTTCCATAGCGATAAAGTGTAGTTTTCATTTGCTGCTTCTGTGACACAATGCTGAGAAAGCTGTTCGAAATTTAGGGGTAGGCAGTTTTTATGTGGCATCTTCCTCCTAAACACAACTACACTCACCATACTGAGCTGAAGTGCTGCCGAGCCACAAGTGCCTGAACTATGGTCACGGTTAGAGGCAAGGGATCAGCTTTTAACAGAATGGACGTAGCAATAAAAGAGAAGATGGTAAAACTCATCAACATAGCCTACTTCATCACTAAAGAGGACCTGGACCTTGGCACGGCATAGAGCAAAGACCAGGTATGCCATATGTTTATTATAGCCATCAGTTTATGCTTCACTAAGGAGCTTCAGAAAAAGCTGCAATCCGCAAGATTCTTATCTATCATGTCTGACTCCTCAGTCTAACGATGAGTGAAGGACCAAGAGTTGATCTACTCTACCTACCTACAGGACGGCAAACCAGTGAACCAGCTCATCCAGATTGTTGCTCTGGAGCATGCCCATAGCCGGGGCATTTTGAATGCAGTTCTGGCTGGACTATGAAAGGTTGGAGTGGGAGAAGAGGACCTTAAACAACGTCTAGCTGGCTCTGGGTGTGATGATGCTGCTGTTATATGCTGGGAATGAACAATGGAGTGGCTGCCAGACTTCAACGTTCTCCATCCCTCTGCCCAATCTCAGGCTTACTCTCTAGCGCTCACTGCTCTAGACTGTCAAACAGGTTCTTCAGCTGTATGACATCAAGCACATTTTACAAGCCATACACAAACACTACACCTGCTCTGCAAAGGCCACACAGGAACTTCAGGAGACCAGCAAGGGGATGGAGATCACTATTATGAGACCAGGCAGAAATGAAGGAACTCGGCATATATCGCACACAATAGAAGCATTGATGAGGAACTACGGGCCCATTTTGGTACACTGAAAAACCAGTGACCTTAATGACAGGGAAGGAAGTGCTGCAATGGGCAAAAAAATGCCGTTCATAGTAAACACACAGGATGACTGAAAATGACATATTAAGGGAACATGCTGTTGCTGTTTTCGTAACATAAGTAACAACAATTAAAGATGATGTTTGCATTGGGTTGGTTAAAATATCTTTTCTGGACGGTCCCGGGGCGCTCAAGAGGAAAGTTAGTCTGGAGCTCTGAAGCACATCCCAGGCCTGTGCACATCAGCGGGGACATCTAAGTGCCCCTCTGGTGACAACCTTTGTGTTTTTACCCTGGGAGAGACTGCTATAATGATGGGCATGTTGACAATAACCTGTAATTTCTATACTGTAAATAAATGTGAGAATAATTTTGTAAAAACTTACAAAGTAAGAGTACAACATGTACAATTACAGCTGTAAACAGATTTTTACATTTGCCACTAACAAGTCTTTATACAGCTATTAATCTCTTTGTAAGTGATTTTGTACATGTTTGTATGATATGTACACAGTCAGCTGTGTTTCACTGATATAGACAGTTTAAAACCCACAGTATCAAACCTCCCTCTTTTGTTTTTCTTTCAAACCCTAAAGCATAACTGTGTGTTTACACTCCTGTATCTCAGTGTCAGTTCACTTAAAATGATTTTGGATAATTGGATAACATTGACACGAAGAGTAAAAGTGTTATTTGATTTAAAACTGATGAAGATGAGCAAACTTCTGTCTTTGTTTTGGATGTCTAGTTAGGTCTCCAGGTTTAAAGGGGTTTAAAGGAGAAATACCTGCTCTGTCCGATTAGTTTATCTCTTAGTCTCAGTTAAGGCTACACGCAGCAGTAGGTTATATGCTTAAGTGTCATTATTATTCAAGTTATTTATTTAAACAACATAAAAAAGATCACTTACTCGAAGCTGTTCTTGTTGCTTTCACTTCCTCAAAAGCTGGTCACAAGACCCTTCTGCCTCTTCTTCTTGTATTCCGGCAGCGTGATGATGAACGCCCCATGATGAAGTAGGCGTAACACTGCCCCCAACAGGTACACAAAACTACTGTCTTTTTATATATATTATTTCTCTGTCATATAAGGTACAAAGTATAATGACAGAACGCAGAGTGTACAAATATTAATACAAACTGAAATACAATTATAAAGACACCGCATTTAATATGTACAAAAATGAAACATAAAACTAAAGACCTAGATTAGAATATAATAAAACCACCACAGGAGACAGAATAGAGATTAATGATAAGAGAGGGATTTGTCAATAAATTAAGAGACCCACAACGGGTTAGACCAGATTATAATCATGCATGAGCGTGAACAAATTAATGGCTTGGGTGGTTTTAACCTTTTTAAAAATGTTTGTATCGAATAAATTCATTCTTATATGTATTTCACACTGGTGACATCTGGGGAGGTTTTAGTTTAGTTTTCAAAAATGGGTAGTTCTGTAAAGAAATAACAAAGGTTTTTGATTTAATATGCTTTTTAAACTCTTCAACTAGTTGACAGAAAATAACCTCAACTTTACCTCAAGAGATATTTATATTCCTTTGAGATTAAAGTGAATTCAAGTTGATATTAAACTTTTAGATATAACCTACCAGTGTAAGTGTTTTTCTAAAGTAAACAGCATTTTAAATCTCCATGGTAACCTGTGACGATGTCAAAACTTTAAATCATTACAAGTCGATAAAGATTGGTCATTTCTGAAGATTCAATCTGAAGATGGACACGAAAAACTTCTGTGGCTCACAAACTTTCACCTTTTGACAGCTCCATCGTAAATTAAACCTCCCCAGAGGACTAAAGACTCCAACTTCAACAAACACCTGAACAGAGAGGACAACATCGACTACATGGAGACCGTAAGATTTCATGACAATATCATCATACAAACTTGTGTTATCCTCGAGACTTTGAGAATAGTTAGTTTAAAAGCGATGCATTGAATGATGAAGCTAAAAATTAAGTTTTTTTTTTATTAAGAGTTTGATCAAGTTTCACTCAAATTTGTTTTCATGTTTCCATGAATCAAGTGTGTGTTTTCTACCACAAAACCTCTGCACACCTTGGAGCTCATCCCAAAAGCTCTTCTAAGTACTTCCAAGAATCTTTGTCTATTTGTACAGAGCTATTGTTCAGGACTTGTGGCTCTGGAATAAGACATATAATTTGCTGATCTGCATACCAAGACACATCTTTGCGGGGACCAGGCCAGAAGAATTTGTTCACCCCATTGCAGTGCATGCACTTTACACGAATATTGTGCTCTTCAATTTCAAGGATAATGCCAGGATAGGCTTCATTATCATAATTCAAGACACACCACTCTCCGATGTGTTTTGCCTCTATGTATTGTGGACGCCACCTGGTTTCTGTTGCGCCGTCACTTTCAGGGAGATGGTTGTGTTTACTGCTGATGGTTACTTCCATTAGCTGGAAACAGGGACAGTCCAATATCCCTGCTTCTCTTTTGCAAAGGCAGGTGATGTCCCGGTATTTAACCTTGCCTGGTGACACACTTATCACCTGATGCAATCTCATTGTTCCTTTGATTGTCTCAGTGGCAATCTAGGGTGGGATGAGAATATAGATAAGACAAAATTAAAAAACGTAAGATTATTGAATATCAAGGGGACACACATTTTCTTTTTTTTATAGGGCTCTGTGTCATTTACATTTTTTCATACAAGTAGCTACACTTAAAACTACACTGTCAGGAAAGACAGACAGACAGAAACAAAAAGACAGACAGAGACAGACAGACTGACAGATTAACAGGCAAAGACTGACTGACTGACTGACTGACTGACTGACTGAATGACTGACTGACTGACTGACTGACTGACAGACAGACTGACAGAAAGACAGACTGACTGACTGACTGAGACGGACAGACAGAAAAACTGACTGAGACAGACAGAAAGACTGACTGACTGACAGACTGACTGACTGAAAGACTGACTGACTGACTGACTGACTGACAGAAAGACTGACTAACTGACAGACTGAAATAAAGACAGACTGACTGACTGACTAAGAAGGACGGAAAGACTAATTGACTGACTGAGACAGACAGACAAAGACAGACAGAAAGACTGACTGACTGACTGACTGACTGACTGACTGACTGACTGACTGACTGACTGACTGACTGACAGAGAGACTGACTGATAGACAGATAGACAGAAAGACTGACTGACTGACTGACTGACTGACTGACTGAAAGACTGGCTGACAGAAAGACTGACTAACTGATAGACTGACTGACTGACTGACTGACTGACTGACTGACTGACTGACTGAGACGGACGGACAGACTGACTGAGACAGACAAACAGAGACAGACAGAAAGACTGACTGACTGACAGAAAGACTGACTGACTGATAGACAGACTGACAGACAGAAAGACTGACTGACAGAAAGACTGACTGACTGACTGAGACAGACAGACAAACAGAGACAGACAAACAGAGACAGACAGAAAGACTGACTGACAGAAAGACTGACTGACTGACTGACAGAAAGACTGACTGACTGACTGACTGAAAGACAGAGACAGACTGACTGAGACAGACAAACAGAGACAGACAGAAAGACTGACTGACAGAAAGACTGACTAACTGACAGACAGACTGAAAGACAGACTGACTGACTGACTGAGACGGATGGACAGACTGACTGACTGACTGACTGACTGACTGACTGACTGGGACAGACTAAGACAGACAGACAGAGACAGACAGAAAGACTGACTGACGGACAGACTGACAGACAGACAGACAGACAGAAAGACTGACTAACTGACTAACTGACAGACAGACTGACTGACTGACTTACAGAAGAACTGACTGACTGACTGACTGACTGACAAAAAGACTTACTGACTGACTGACAGAAAGACTGACTGACTGACTGACTGACTGAGTGAATGACTGAATGACAGAAAGACGGACTAACAGAAAGACTGAGACAGACAAACAAAGACTGACAGAAAGACTGACTGACTGAGAGAAGGACTGACTGACTGACTGACTGACTGACTGAAAGAAAGACTTACTGACTAAGACGGACGGACAGACTGACTGAGACAGACAGAAAAAATAACTGACTGACTGACTGACTGACTGACTGACTGACTGACTGACTGACTGACAGAAAGACTGACTAACTGACAGAAAGACAGACCGACTGACTGAGACGGACGGACAGACTAACTGACTGACTGAGACAGACAGACTGAGACAAACATACAGAAAGACTGACTGACAGACAGAAAGACTGACTGACTTACTGACTGATGGAAAGACTGACAGACAGCTGACAGAAAGACAGACAGACAGACTGACTGAGACAGACAATCAGAGACAGAAAGAAAGACTGACAGACAGCTGACAGAAAGACGGACAGACAGACTGACTGAGACAGTCAATCAGAGAGAGGCAGAATGACTGACTGACAGAAAAACTGACTGACTGACTGACTGACTGACTGACTGACTGACTGACTGACTGACTGACTGACAGACTGACAGACAGACAGAAAGATAGACAGACTGACTGAGACGGACGGACAGACTGACTGAGACAAACAGAGACAGACAGAAAGACTGACAGACAGACTGATAGACAGACTGACTGACTGACAGATGACAAACTGACTGAAAGAGTGACTGACAGACAGAAAGACTGACTGACTGACTGACTGACTGACTGACTGACTGACTGAGACAGACAGACAGAGACAGACAGAAAGACTGACTGACAGACAGACTGACAGAAAGACAGACTGACTGACTGACTGAGACGGACAGACAGACTGACTGAGACAGACAAACAGAGACAGACGGAAAGACTGACTGACTGACTGACAGACAGACAGACAGAAAGACTGACAGAGAGACGGACAGACAGACTGAGACAGACAAACAGAGAAAGACAGAAAGACTGACTGACTGACAGAAAGACTGACTGACTGACTGACTGACTGACTGACTGACAGAAAGACTGACAGACTGACAGACAGACAGAAAGACAGACTGACTGACTGAGACAGACAGACAGACAGAGACAGACAGACAGACTGACTGAGACAGACAGACTGACAGACAGGAAGACAGACTGACTGACTGACTGAGACAGACAGACAGACTGAATGAGACAGACAGACAGAGACAGACAGAAAGACTGACTGACAGACAGACAGAATGACTGACTAACTGACTGACAGAAAGACTGACTGACTGATTGACTGACTGACTGACAGACAGAGTGACAGAAAGACAGAATGAGAGAATGATGGACAGACAGAAAGACGGAGACAGACAAACAGAGACAGACAGAAAGACTGACTAACTGACAGAAAGACTGACTGATTGACTGACTTACAGAAGAACTGACTGACAGAAAGACTGACTGACTGACTGAATGACAGAAAGACGGACTAACAGAAAGACTGAGACAGACAAACAAAGACTGACAGAAAGACTGACTGACTGACAGAAGGACTGAGTGAGTGACTGACTGACTGACTGACTGACTGAAAGAAAGACTTACTGACTGAGACGGACGGACAGACTGACTGAGACAGACAGAAAAAATAACTGACTGACTGACTGACTGACAGAAAGACTGACTAACTGACAGAAAGACTGACTAACTGACAGAAAGACTGACTGACTGACTTACAGAAGAACTGACTGACTGACTGACTGACTGACAAAAAGACCGACTGACTGACTGACAGAAAGACTGACTGACTGACTGAATGACTGACTGAATGACAGAAAGACGGACTAACAGAAAGACTGAGACAGACAAACAAAGACTGACAGAAAGACTGACTGACTGACAGAAGGACTGACTGAAAGACTGACTGACTGACTGACTGAGTGACTGAAAGAAAGACTGACTGACTGAGACGGACGGACAGACTGACTGAGACAGACAGAAAAAATAACTGACTGAC